GGGTCAGTGACAAGGGCAGACATTGCACTCGAAGGAGCCTCGGAACCTCCAGAATCCATTCCAAGATGCCTTCTAAACACTATCCAGTGACACTGTGACTTCACTGACCAACCACATCGATTTTTCAGCGGGGAACCGAGACGATTCCGCCATGGATGCCTATCCTCTTGACTACGTCGGCCACAACCTTCCGCTTGTTCTTCTCTCCGGAATTGAACCCGCTGGTCAGGAATCGTTACATCTACCGTCGTCCGATGTCACCTATCCCCAGTTGAATGAGAACGGTATCCAAATATTCTCCGACTTTCCGCCATTAACAGATGCGACTGCAAAGAGATTATTAGTTGACCTCCTGGCGGAGGATGCGTCAAAGTCTCCATGGAATGCCCGGGCATACGGCGGAAAAGCAGGAGGAATCGGGTTTAGAGTAAAACGGGTTGGGCGGGTAGGTTAGCAGTCCCATGATTCATGTTGTTCCCGGCAAGGTGCCTTTCCCCAAATTACGTTCTACAAAAAAGGGACGAATTCAATCTGGAAATCCAGTCCGTCTCAAAAATTTGTGATGCTGAATTTCTCTTGGTGTTCAGAAACTCGCTGGCGGCTTCATCAAATTGAAACAAACGCGCTGACCGTCGTCCACAGACCTATACTCTCCCTCCACGTAAAGCCCGGCCGCCGATTCCATCGTCATCCCCCAGCAGCAGCAATCACAATGAAGCCGCAGGTGCTCCCCTTATCCTGCATTCGCCAATTTCCCCCCTGACCCCCGCCTCACCTACATATCCAGATGGGATAGCAACGCCCTTATGGGTAACAAAACATCAGAGCTTGGTCCCTGCCGCATTCGTCAATTTTTTCCCGCTTACGCTTGACTCAAATATGGCGTCCCTTCGCGACAATCAGCTGAAGATTGAAATCAACAGCTTAAAGAAAGATTGGGCCAGTTCTGGTTATAAGACAAGGTTCGTGGTCGCGCTTATATGTGAGGACGGGCCCGTGCCTGGAGACATAAATGATCGGATATCGAGCATACGGAGGGCTACGAATCTAGACCTTAAGAACATCTTCGTTCTTCCACCTACTCCGTCGCAGGAGGACTTTCGTGATTTTGTGAGGTCTCTCTTTTCTTCTCTGCAGGGTCCATGCGTCGAGTACTATCGAGATCTGTCAAAACACGCTAGGCGGAAAAGAAATCGAGGTTCTATACCTCCCCCAACAGCGCCCCCCACAACAGGAACATCACAAACGCTGGCAGCTCAGGGTTGGAATATCCGGTACGAGTTTAAACTCGGTGTGTTTGCAGAGTTTCGCCAGGAAATAGATGCTGCCTGTCGAAGTTACGAAAGCGCGTATGCGCTACTCTTCGGGGAAGAAGTGTTTGAAACGATTGCTGGATGGAGTCCTCGGTTCGATGATGCGCGAATGTTAGCTGATGTTCTTGCCATTCGGATCATTCGATGTCTTTTGTGGACTGAGCAGACAACTTTGGCTGTTCGAGTATGGCTGATGCATGAAAAGCGTATAAAGGATATTGTTGGCAGTCGTGGGAAGGGTACTAACAACTATGGCTGGGAAGCCTGGGAGGCTAGATGGTCACTAGTAATGGCTGATCTAATGCGCCGAGCAGATTTATCCGTTCTAAAAGTCCCAAGCCATGCAGCAGACTCCGATCCAATCCGCCAGGCGACAATATATGCCCCCCCGGAAGAGACTATATCTGCTAACGAAAGGCTGTACCCTTGGGAATTACTCCATCATGCGGGCTACTGGCTGAATCGGGCCGCTAAGCATACTTCACGAAGAAGGTTATTGGCTGAAAAGATCCCAGACGAAGATAGATCCGCGCCCACCCAAGCGTCGCCTGCCCAGGCAAAGGGTCGATCAAATGTATACGATACATACCTCGCCCCAGAGCCTTTCGATGAATACCCCCTTTCTGGTAGCAATGGTACAAACCATTCAAAACTGATCATTAGCTATCTTACAGCTTCTTCGGAGGAGTTTTCAAAAAGAGGCCAGTTACGCATGGTAGAGAGCCAGAAACTAGATATGGCAAGGGAGCATATGCGCCTAGGCGAATGGGAAATTGCATTGGATATCCTCCAATCAATATGGCCGGTCCTGACTTGGAGAAGGGATGGTTGGTGGCACCTAATGGAGGAATTTGGGTGGGCGCTGAGGGAGTGTGCACACCACGTTGGGCACTCTGAAACCATTATAAGAGTTGATTGGGAATTGATGAACCGCTGTAAGTGACTGTCGCAGATGCACACCTTCTTTGTCTTGTCTCGAACAAATTTACTTCGAAACCGTACTGCAGAGTTTTCTAATTATTCATAACAGGCTTTACACCGAGAGTAGGATGGAGCTACGATCTGAAAAGGGGCGTTGTAGATCTTCCCACTGTCGAGCCGAAGCCTTCCATCGTATTCAAGGAAGAGGAGGTAATTTCATTTTGTATGTTGTCGGAATATCTAATTCTTTAAGCTTCTCGGATATCCTAATTTGGCAAATAGTGTCAGCCTCATTCGCTTTCCAAAAGCTAGAAGGGAACGTCGGCGAACCATTGCAATCTCAGCTCGTTATTGGATCGTGTGCTCATGGAAGCGCTTCGCCGATTTCTTTAACTGAAGTGAAGGTCACCTTTGAGGGTAGCCTTCGTCCAATCAAGCTCCAGGCAAGCCATGAAGCCGCGATAGTCGCGTGTAACCAAACCGAGATTTCAAATATCACGCTATCTGACTCCCTACTATCGGATTCGGCCAGTATTCTATCACATCCGAGCAATCTGCCTTCCATGATTAGTACGGCCGATCTGACATTAGCTCCGGGTCAGACCAGGGTTTTCAATCTAATATTTATACCGCGTGAAGCTGGTGAAGTCAAGGTGTCTTCAATCACTTTGATGTTCGAAGATGACAGGTTTGACATTACGTATGTCGTAACTCAACAGCCTTCCAAAGAATCTGTCTGGTGGACTTTGGGCAAAAAAGGCGCTATGTCAAGAAGAATTGGCAAAGATAGAGATACTTCCGCCTGTAATATTTTGCCAAAGCCACCGAAGGTTCTTATCACAACCCCCTCATTGCGCAATCACTATTATACAGATGAGCATATGGTCCTTGACGTTCTAGTTGACAATGAAGAAGACGAACCGGCGGAGATTTCTGTTGAAGTTAGGTTACTTGGGCAATCGGAAGCGTCCGCTCAAATAAATTGGGCAGATGAACCAGACGCCGATGCTCAGTCTAATAAGTTTGCTCCTACAACCCCAACTGGTTCTGAACCCCCTCTGGGCCAAATAAAGCGAAGGAGTATCGGTATCGTTGATGCCACTTGCCGGAGAACACTACCCCTCATGTTCACAGACACGTCCATGCCACAAGACTACGAGCTTGAAATTTCCGCATTCTACCATCTTGTTTCAGATCCGGCAACGCCGATATTCAAAACAGTGACTCTTGACCTCTCTTTTATTCGCCCCTTTGAGGCAAATTATGAGCTCATGCCTCGTGTCCATCCAGATGCTTGGCCGGACTTTTTTCATCTCGATGAGCCTGGATTTAGTGATGAGTCCGAGTCCAGGGCGCACGGTCTGCAGCAACGATGGTGTTTGAATTGCAAGATAATCTCATTTGCCCACGAAGCTCTATTGATTGATGAAGTAGAGGTAACAGTAAACGGAATAGCGGGCGGGCTCGTTCGCCAGGTCGGACCAGCGTTACGCAAGGATAATAACGCAGCAGAGATCCTCCCGGAACAAGTTTGCGAATGCGACTTCAATATTGAACTTCAACGCCTCGCTCTTGACGACCGCCAAACGACGACGCTAAATCTATCCCTTGATATCAGATGGCGCCGGCAAGGGGCAGAAGTGGCATCGTCCTCGACCATTGAAGCATTCATACCTAAAACGACGCTCCCAATTCCCCGCTTCGTCATTCCTATGGGAGAACCACGCGTTCTGGCAACGGTTATGCCGTCGTCGTCTGCCCTCTCCGGTTTCATCCATCTGAACTACACGCTTGAAAACCCGTCAATGCACCTTCTCACTTTCAACATTACTATGGAAGCCAGTGACCAATTCGCGTTCAGTGGGCCAAAGTCGATCGCAGTACAGTTGGTGCCGTTGAGCAGACACACCATCCAATATAACCTCCTGGCAACTGGAAAAGACAAATGGATACAGCCTCAGTTAGTGGTGGTTGATTCCTACTACAACAAGACGCTGCGGGTGTTGCCCACGGAAGGGATGAAGGCGGATAAGAAGGGAATTTTGATCCATATAGCCTAGTCCAGGCTTCCATACAAGAGGTCTGCTTAGATAGAGGATAATCTTTACAAAAGTCACCACCCGCAGAATCCTTTGCTAGGCTGTCAACCTAACCTTCAATTCCCCCCTTCTTCTTTTTCAGATCAGATGAAGACCAGAGCAATAAAGCTTATACAAGACCTAAGTTAAATATTAAAAGGATAAAGTATCAATTTAATAAAGAAGACAAGCAGGTACAGTATGTGTCTGTCAACTATACTGACTATATTATCACATAGCTTCACAGAACAAGCTGCACTGTTAAACTTAGATATCACAGTGAATAGTATTTTTCTACAAACTGGTGTTCCAACTGGATGAGAATCAACCAGAGACATCCATAGAAGTTATTAAGATGTTGAACAGAGCTGAGGCTGACTAGTATGACATCTACAAGACCCAACTCACTATACCAGATCTCCCGTCATAGCCGGGAGCGCGGAGCAACTATTTAGCCGAGCCCTGAGCGTCGCTTAAAAATAAGCCACGCTTCCTCACACACTGACTGGTTACTTTATCTAGGATAGCTTACAGCTCAATATATTTCTAGATTGATTCTCTCACGTTGTTCTCATTCCCTTGGTAGGGTATTCTCACATCAATTGCCTTAGTTAATAATGGTATGGCTCGGCATTGGCCGTGTTTTCTGTGTGAGATTTGAATGAAATTCCGTTTGGGACACAGCAATATGCTATCCCTCCTAGATTTGCCTGACTTCTTACTTGAGGAAGTGATTGCGATGGCTATTGGTTATGTTAATTATTACGACGCTTCCGGGACGCATAGTGTGACCAACAAAGTGCTTTCCCTAGCATTGTTGCTTAACTGCCGCCGCATAAACGCACTCACGGATCGTATTCTCTTACTCCAAGGCTTATTTCATGTCAACACGATTCAAGGTTTTCAGAGTCTCGTCGATCTGCTTGGGCATGAAAGACTGAATTTGGTGAGGTGGATCTTTATGCCTCTAAGTAATGTTAATTTGGGAGATAATTCTCGTGAGGGTGATATTGCGACGGCCGAAGACGGATTCGAGCAATGTATATCGCTGATGAATTGTCTTTCTCCACGTCTTCGTGTGCTTCTCCTGCGCGATCCCTCCTGGGACAAGAACCCCATGGAGTGCGACAGAGCCCACAGAATCATTGCACAAGCTGTACAGCGGTTTGGTGATTTAAAACGCCTCGGCTTCCTGTTTCACCATCAGTCGCTACCCCTTTGCGTCTTATTATCGTCCTCTAGCTCCTACGTAGGGAGCAGGGCTGCCAGTTGTGCTTCTGTTCCGAAAAGACCAATGTTTTCTCAACTCCGACACTTACATTTGCATGGTCGTCTTCTGCCACATGTTACATCTCGGCAGCTGATCGAAGCTCTCTCAGAGCAAAATTTACCCTCTCTCATAAAGCTGGATCTTGGCCATATTTACCATCACCCTCAGTCCAATGATGGGTTTGAATGGATCGTGACTCCGGAAGTGTTCCTAAATATGCACCCGCTTGTTCACCTTCGTTGGGTTACAGACTGTGACGCCAGCGGCGCTGAAGGCTCTGTTCCACATCCTCCACCTACAAATGATCACTTGGTAGCTCTCCGGCAAAAGCATGGCCACACTCTCCGGCAGTTAATAATGCAGTATGCCACATGGCTTGACGAAACAAGTGAACCAGCTACTCTCGGATTCACCAGAGATGACGCCGCTATTTTCTTAAAAAACTTGGACCTCGTAAAAGTGGTCCTCACAGTCCCACACTTAGATCTGTACCTAGTGTGGACTACCCCAAAAGCAAAGCTGGAAGCTCTTCGGTCCATAGGGATCAGCCCGTAATCCGATGAGGAGCCCCTATCTATTCTCCGGCGTTGCCATTGAACCGGATCGGATCTATATTATTAGGTTCTCGAGGGATATGGGTTCTCTACCTCTCATAGGTCGCTCTGGTGGGCGCCTAAGTGCGGGGCTAGTCTGGCGATGAACGGAGATGTGTAAGCGCCGGGTTCCCTCCTGAAGTCGATCTCACAGCTCAACAATAGCCCTATCCTCGAGTTCTGCAGACTACGGAGTTCTGAATCGTTTCATCAATTGGAGAGCAAGTACTCAAACGGAGAGAGGTTTGTAGGTACAGGATCGCGTTGGCACACAAAGGGGAAGGCATAGCAAGGAGAAGCTTTCAAGCAGGTTCTGCCTCTCCCTGCAGCTCTCTTGCTTCGATTTCTGTGTCTTGTTTGCCCAGCGAAGCGCGTGCCTCCTCCCGGGCAAGTTTAACTACCACAAAGGCAGTGAGATGCTACTAGTACTAATAGGAATACTTGTTTTCTTACCATGGATGCACACTGCAGCCCGCTTGCCGCTGAACATGGCGTGTGGCATGTTGGTGCTGCCGTTGTTGTTGGCGTCTCCGACCGCAAAGACACCCACAACGCTCATCTGCATACTTGCTTGGTGCACTGCTATCTGGTTTGCTCCCTAGCGATGGACTGTTGCCTGGCGCTAAAGGTCTATCGCTGGCATTGCATAGAAAGCTGGCCAATTACCATTTATTGGGCCTCTGAATATCTCAAGCTAGAGGCAAATACTGCATGGAAACCATGGGAAGACCATTAGCACAGCCATGCTCTGCTTCCTCCTTGGCCTTCTCCGGCAAGTATTAAGCACCAGCTCAGGCACGAAGTAGAAGCACTTGTGCAAACCCCTGGTGGTTACCTGGCCAGGCATTCAAATGGTCGACAATGCCATGTTCTTCTTTCAGATTGAAGGACACCGCATCTTCGAAACTTCGGGGGTGTCATCATTCTGATTAGGCGCCTACCAGGACCTACACCCACTCGATCATCGAGCCGGGGAAACAGAACCTATGGCCAATCATTGTTTACCCTGGGCAGCCGCCCAGGGTTTTGTATCCCGACCGGTCCGTTGGGAATGATAAGCTAGGAGGGCACAGAGCCGGGGTTTGTTGCCCAGGCTCTATCAGGTTGCTGTCCATTCTATTTCGAGAATCGTGGATTGACTGCCCCAGCATCTTTGACAATGAAGCATTGAGAGCTGTCGACCAGTGGTTCTACATTTTAGCTCCAAGTGCCTTGTTACATATTTGTGATTCTCCATGAAGGGTGAGAGAAGCTAAGCACTGCATTGGATGAAATGTTCTTCTAGCTGCTGCCTGTCTTTAGCTCTCTTCTTATCCTATCATGCATGGATCAATTGAGCCCAACCTGAATACCATGCAGGCAGGGCGCAGGGCGCGTAGTGGTATAGTTACAGACTGTTGCCTGCTATGTCCAGTCGTCTAGACATCACTCAACACATATAAAGCCCTATAACCTTGATGATGTTTTTGGATTCTTTTGAACAGTAAGCAATTCAGCAAACCATTCGCCTCTGAATCAACTGTCCTCATTCTGATCAGCCTTCCTAACCTCTGCAATATTTCACTTGTCTTGCCCTTCCCCTGTTCATCATGGGTGGCCGTATCATTGGATATCTCGGGATCCGACGAATCCCAGTCGTCATCGCGCGAGAGATTACCGTCCGAGGCACGGTCGTAGCTAGACGTCTTGTCGACACCATTGATGCCAAGGTCGTCGACGTGATATTCCGAAAGGTGGAGCACGCATACCATGGGAATATCCTGTTCACGGAGGAGCAAAAGAAACAGCTCACAGAAGTGCGAATAACGTATGCACTCCCTCTCAAGTCGAAATTCATAACACGGCAGATTCCCATCGCTAACCTCCTGTTATTACCACCTAGTTCAATGCCCCACGAAAGTGATCTGGATCTCGACAACCACCTTTCCTTCGTTGCGGACAAAGAGGAGGAGCCCGACTTCCTCAAGGGGCATGTTACCACCAATCCAGCCCAGCAGAAGGTATGTTCTGGTATTACGAGGAAGGTGTGATGCAAGAATGCTAACCTGAGATTAGCTGGTTGTCTGAAGCTTCGTGTGTTGCGCTGCCAGGTGGTTCGCAGCTACCGCAAGATCTCTGCCTCTGGTTCCAGATGGAGGAGGCAAGTCGAGTCTCGATTCTGTATTGCTAGTGTCGCTAGCAATTAAGTCCAGTCCAACGCTGGACAACATAAAGACATGAAGTGACCCTTGATTGCTCCCACCCTCAACACTAGAAGAATCGAATAACTTTCTAAGCGACATCCTGAAGCCATGGGTGTCTAAGCGCTTGCTCAGCCGTCGGTCGCTCATCGGGATCCCAAGTCAGGAGATGACAAATGAACTCGACGCAATCCTTCGGGACTTTCATGACTGAAAGCTCGTCCTCCAATGACTTTGTACCAATGAGACCCCCAGTAACAAGAGACTTCGCAAGTTCAAACTCCTCCGCGTACTGAGAATCCTTGTCCCAGGGGAAAAGTCCAACAAGCTGGAAGAGGTTTCCGATGCTCCACGCTGCTTTCGAAGTCTCAGGAGATTTTGATAAAATCTGAAAGGTGAGTCCTGATGGTCCAAACAATGTCTTGGTCGCGAGAAAATGAGCCAACTTGGGGCCATTAGTAAACCTCAAGCCGTGGAGGAAGATGGGAGGTGTTGACTTACGCTAACGCCCACAGACCATACATCACACGCGGGAGTTACTGGCTTCCCCATCCAGACTTCGGGTGCGCGTATAGCGAGACCTTGGATACGTTCGTCGAAGCATCTTCCGCTCCGGATCACTACCAATACTGAGTCAGACAACAAGAACATAGTAGTTGCAGGGACGGTGAATGCTACTTACAACCGCCCAAGTCAGCGAGCTTCACAATTGGTGAGGCCGAATCAGCGCCAGAGACCAGGATGTTGTTTGGGTTGATGTCTAGAAAACGCGTTAGTTAGCTTATACGGAATATTATACAGAACAGTCTGACCATTTCAGCTCATGGACAAGGAGACACTTGTACCTGTATGGACGGCAGTGCCCTGCCCATCCATGTCGGCAAAAGCCGTCAAGGCCCGCAGGACCGATTTTGCGACCACTTTTGGAAGTGCGTTGCTGGGAGATCTTCGTTGATGCCGCAATGACCACAAGTCACTGTCCATCCACTCAAGCACCAGGCATTTGTCTGTACCATTATCGACGGCTTCGTGCAATGATCTTATGACAGGCGAGTTTCGGATGCAGTTGAACTGATACGCACCCACCTCCCGCTTATACAAAATCGGGAGGTCCTCTATTTTTATCATGACGCTTTCATCACACTCAATTAGTTTCGTCAGCAATCAATGAGGCGTTATGCTGTGCTAACTCACGGAGTTGAAGTGCCTTGGATGTGGCCCTCGAAAACGTTGCTCTTGATCGCGCGATCCACCAGATATGAAGCTCTCTGGCCGGCTATCAGGACCTGCTGTCCTCTCAGGATCAGGTCGTAGATCGGACGCGTCATAGTCACGAGTAGCTGCTTAACTGGTTACCGATATGATCTTGGGTATCTTTCTCTTTTTGGTGAACGACTTGCGGGTTTCTGGATACAGCAAGGAGGCTGGAAAGGGGCGGCGCGTGGATGGGCTCGAGGCCAGCAACACTGGTGGGTGACTAAGCAACGGCCACAACGGAGATGACCCTTCCATCAACCACCCTGATCTTGACTACGGACGCTATCTCGATGCTCGACTGAACGTTTGCTATGAATTTGCAGAATATTAATATTATGGGCCCAAGCCACTACTTTCAAGTGATCTGTACTCATGGATTCTGTATAACTTGGTCGATGAATACACTGGAGAAATATACACCTGTATGCGTTTTCCACAGTCGCAAAGAACGAGGCTCACCTCCAGTCGACCCATGCAGCCTTGTCGTCTCGCGCGGTCTGACAGCAAAACCCGCTGCGCTATCTTCCCTCCTCCTTTCAGCCCTGATCAACATTTCAACCACACCGTGTTGCTACAGGACACATAGCTGATATTTCTTTTTGTCCCCAGGCTGATTCGTGGGGACAGAAGGTTGTGTAGAGATGTAATATTCAGGCGGTCAAAGCAGACAAAATCTAGTGAAAAAGAGTGGTTCTGCTGGGACCTCTGAATAGGTACTAAAGTCACGTGATATAGAAGGTCCAAGTTTCAGATTGGTAGAGGGAGACTAAATACACCGGGGCACCTGACATAGGGGGAAGCCGTATCAAACACAAATCGACTGCCTTGCTGTCAGGAGTAGCATGTGCCCTTGTGCCAAGCGTACTCATCGATGGGCTTGTAAGAGAGCCGGCGGTGGGGCAAGGACAGCTACCGCTACATCACAGTCCCGTAGCGCAGTCGCATATTGCGAAGCCGCTCGGACATTTCATCCCTGTGGCCAGAAATCGTCGAGAAGTATCCGTGCATGTCAGCCAATCGATTGGGTTCTTGAACATGAATAACCAATGGTCAGAAAGGCCCCCAACTTGCTCAGATCAATCATTTCCAAATCTTTCCCAGCCCATCGCGTCATAGTCTGCTCCCAGCCCGATTATTGCATGTGATGGCAAATTTTATGTATTAACTCTTCTTACCCTTCCAGCAGTCAGAGATGCAGCTAATGTGAACATATATTCAAGGAAGCTTTCTCCCGGAAAATTGTGCTCAACGACCGAGAACCAATACTGGTTGAAAAAAAGCCTGCAATTTCTGTATCCTGGCAATTATACAATCCCCCTCCTTTCAAAGGTACCCCCGAGCCAGCATCGGAGAAGACACCCGACGTAGCAGCAGAAGCAGCTTTCATGCATTGATGTATGTTCAAGGTGACTATTTTCAAATTGATGGGCTTAAAGTGATCGCAAAGCGATACTTTCAGGCGTCGTTTTTGGAGTGGCACAAGATGTATTCATTCACCACTGCTGTTGAGGAAGTGTATCGTTCAACAGGCAAGCATGATCCAGGGCTCAAGGATTTGGTCGTAGAGTTGATGATGGCTAAATTGTGGATTCTCTGGAAGGAACATAAGCAAGCTGTCAACAAGCTCCTGGAGACTATACCTGCATTTTCACATGACCTCTGTGTTGCAATGATGGATAGACGCTATTACCGTTGAATAGATCCATCGTACTAGCCATTAGACAGAGAAGTCTTCTGGAAGTTAAATTGCGTAAATACATCAAGGCTTAGCAGAAAACCACATAGATCTATTTCTACTTTGGTCGTCTACCCCTTGTCCGCCCTCGGTTACTTGGTGTTGATCGGTCGTTGAGAATCGAGTACCTTTGCCGCAATGACGCCAGCGTCCTGTTTGGGAACCTCTGCTGGATCACCTCCCGGGGCTTGTTCTGGCGCCTTATCGACAGAAGAAGCTCCTCGTCCGCCTCAGACCATCGGGCCCGGTTTGCTCCTTGGTCGATCATGCTCTCCTCGTAGTCCGCGCGAACTTGTGGCGGTCCAGACCCTCCTCCAGATCTTCCAGGACCGGCAGGGGGCGTGCCCATTGTAGAAGGGCGCATGAGGAGCGAGTAGAGTCCAAGTGCAACAGAAGAAGCCAGCGTCATCGCCTCCTCTGAGGGCATTGGAGTGTGACCTGCCTTGCACAGGCATGTGTGACCTGCTCGGGTAGGCTCCCGAAGCTGGAACTGCTATTATTACAGCTATTAAGTTACAGCAACAAACTCCTTCACATCAACAGAGAAAGGTTTCCCCGGAAGCCTTGTCAATCCAGCCTGATGCATCCATCGCATCCATTTGGAATTGCCATATCTCATGTAGTATGCACCTGAATTTAAGCCATGGGAGATGGGAGAAGCCACTTCCAGCTCCCTCTTTTTGTGGTGCCCTGGGAGATGGAAGATAAAAGAGAACTAACTAATGGAACAAAGTACGCGGCGTATCTAAAAGCTAGGCAAGTACATACAAAACAAGCCACAGTAGCCTATCCCACTTTGATATTGTCAATAGCCTTGTCAAAAGCCTTGATGATCGGCCCATAGAGAATCTCTGGATCCTTTGGTGTACCTGTAAAGATGTCGCTTTCGCGCAAGGGAAATAAAATTCCCCGCAACTCTCTGCAAAGCGGCTTGATACTATCAAACTTGGGCGGAAACTCCTCCAAAATGAGCTCAAAACCATTGGCACCGACCACACCTCGTTTTGCAGTAGCAATGTTTCGATAGCTATTAGCATACCAATTTGTTAAAAGACTCTTTTTCGGCCACTCCTCACCCCAGCCACGACGGGCGCATTGCCAGATAAGTACATAGAAGAATGATTCGAGATCGTGCCGATATGTATGATCGATGTTGAGCAGCACCTCAATAGCCATGAACTCCATGGTGCCAGTGCGATAGCGCGCGCCGCTTCGCCCGGTGCCGAGCTCCTTGGCAAGGTCCATATCAATCAGCATCCCCGCGAAGCCAGTCTTCTTGGAATCGGTTATGATGATGTTGTTCTCAGAGATATCCCGGTGGAGGATGTTTCCTTTGGAGTATAGGGATCTATGTGCCTTGACTGCATCACGAAGCGCTTCCAAGAGTTCCAGAGGCGACTTGTAGTTATGGATTGGCCGGCCAGCCGGGAATATGACAAGACAGTGAAAAACACAGTTATCATATGCACTGTCGCTGGGAGCGAGCAGACTGGCCCCTTGGGCTTCTTTGACATCGTATGTAACCTCATTCTGTGGCGCGCTCGATTGCCGGCTGTTGGACTTGGATCGCTTTGATTTCGGGCCAGCATGGACAGACTTACGCTTCTTCAGATGCTCAGCGGAACTCTCTGTGATGGTTAGGCCATGGTGGTTGCTGAATGATCCGGAGAGGACACTGTGTGGCTGAGAAAAGGATTGTGAGAAGGACGACACGGCGCTGGGTGTAACACGGAAGGAGTACGGCATTATGAATGTCATGCCTGAGCGCATCTCCTTGACACTGGTGATAGACCGATGGCCAACCAGTCTGGCAATGCCTTTGACTTCTCTTTGGTTGGCTAATCTGAGGAGCTCCGCTTCAGGCTTCTGTCTGTCAGAGGTCCAGGAAAACTTGGTGATGTGATCCCAGTCCTTGGAGTATGGGACTTTTGTGAGATAGCAGGATGTTCCGCGGCAGACAATCGCCCGTTGACGGGTGAGAGGCTGTGGTTTCATCTGCAGCTTCATCTCGGTCCCCTCCTGCGCAACATATATGAAGCGATGGTTGCTGTCCTGCTCTGTAAATGTGTCCAGACCTAGTTCCTCCTCAGTCATCATTGTATAACCAGCAATCACCTGTATGAATCGTTCTGGCTGCTCATGGATATTGAACAGACCCGGGCTGTAGGATCCTGAACGGTCAAAGACCCATGCTGTCATGAACGGCCCACAGATGGTAAATGCGTGAAGGTACTGCCGTGTCGGCTGACAGGTAAACACATCTCGCGCATATCAGGCGAGCTGCACCAATGTCCTTTTGACACCATCATTGTTAGATGCCTTGAGTTCGCCAATCACCTTGATGTCTCCCCAGTCATGCTCTGTATCTGATGGTTTTCCGCTCTTTGTTTTGACAATTAGATTGACCTGCTGCCGGCCGCCGGTAAGTTCTGTTGGTATGTTTATTGTGTAGTAGCGACGTTGCTCCTTCAAGAGCAGTTCATCCTGCAGTTGAAACAGCCAGTTCTGTATGTTGTCCTGGGTACACTGAAGAAGTTTGGTCCATTTGCCGCCAATGTGTTGGTTCTTGATTGACTTGTAGACATCCTGAGCACGATCTGTCCAGTTCTTTCCCTCAAAGTATTTCTCAAAGAACCCTTGCACGTCCCAATATGTGCAGCCCTAGATCTCCTCAAAGACTCTTGCCTTGACCAGCTGTTGAGTCTGTTCACTGTCTTGCTGCAATGCAGAGGTATGCATGATCAGCCTGCTGTCAAATATGGGAGGGACACTTGGTGCAGTTGGGGTCACTCTTGAGAGTTCAGTAATGAGATTGAGAATGGCACTCCAGATGTCATAGTCAGATGCCTTTTGGATGATGAGCTTTACTAGCGGGCGGTAGTGGGTGTAGCTGAAGTCGCCGTTCCGAACACGCTGAAATAGACGCGCTATTTCAGACGCGATGTCACGACCACTGTTCCTCAACCGAAGATTGAAGGCTACTTTTTTTCCCTGCAGGGCAGGGAGCAGTTGTGATACTGCCTCCTGGCAAAGGTGTTCAGGTCTGTCGTCAGCGCTGTCAAGAGAACTGACAGAGGAATACGAATGCTCCGCGTCCAGAAGTGACCTTCGTAACTGGTCGAGAGAATCGTTCAAGGGATGGTTGTTAATAATCTTGCAATCGTCTTCCGATAGAGAAGCCATTTCTTAAGAGGAGGGGAAGGGAGATCAGACTTGGAATAAGGGTAGAGCAGCCGGGGGAAAGTTTCTTAAGGCTGAGCTCTCGACCGTCATTAGCTGCGGAACGGATCAGCGCGTCACGTGAGAAAAGGTGTCCGCCCGGAGAAATGCGGGAGGGGGCGGTTGATGGAGGTATTCAGGCCAATGATGTTATCTGGAATATCCGGGTACCTGCAAGAGCCTGGGACACGGCCACAAGGGCTGCTATGACGCACTCCACGCCCGTGGCGCAGGCTCTGCCTTATCCGGGGGGCAAGTGGGGCTTGTTGCTGCCAAATTACAAGTAAGCTTTCGAGGATGTGGAAAAACGCGGGTTCTGATTGGCGCCATACCTTACGCCCGTGTCATGCTGAGACGCGTACTGTGCTCGAACGCCGGGCGAGCACGGCGCATGGATCGCGGTCGCAAAGGGCATTCCCGGCTGCAATGACAAGCTCAAGGAGGGCAGGAAGAGGCGCCGGCCTCCGCAAGCTATACCGACCCGAAGAACAGGAATGCTGGAGCTTCACGGCCCGAGACAGCCGGACGCGCACACATGTGATCTGACTGGCCTATACCTCCGTAGTGTGTATTGGGGAATACGGAGCTAACTAGCTAATTGCTGATGTTTGTCATTAAATTAAATTGGCCGACTTAATAGGTAGTGGTCTTGTCAATCCCGTCGCCATCCCAGCCGCAGTCAGCCAATTCCGCCGCATGCTGTGCAGCGCAGATCAATCTCTGTGATAGTTACCATCGAGCTTGGTTTGTCATCGAAACTGATGCTCCGATCTGGCTTTCTCCAATTATCTCTCCACAATTTCTGAAGACGGTATCTCGTCAGCGCGGTCATCTTGGCTGAGAGGTATTGATTATCGCGGATAACTGTTCATTAATTCGAATTGATACTCGCGCTTTCTTTCGAGACAGTTCAATTTCCATTTGCGAAAGAAGAAGTTGATTTAAGAAAAATAAAAATAAACATGGAAGACTCAGCTCCTCAACCAGCCGTCTCGCTGGGACAGGGGGTCGAAACTGCGCCCGGTAAGTAACCATTGTCGGCTTCGAAGTTTCTCTACGACCAACCCATAGTTATGTCGACATGTATCCATATACATAGTAATAAAAACCTTGAAAAACCTACAGGTCCCCTTCAAGCAGAAGCCATGGGCTCAAACCACCCTGAAGGCTATGACCACGTTTTTGACACATCCGACGGTGTGGGCAACGGCCCTCGCATTATCAACATTAGCGACAACTTGGAGGTCTTGTGTGGACCGCTGCTCAACTACAAACGATTGAGTACGGACGATAGTGGTCGCACAATATGGCACGGAACGGTGCTTATTGTTACGCTCCCTGGCCAAAAACACCCCATGTTGCGATTGAGGCCAAAAGGCCCAGTAGCTCGCGGCCAAACTGAGTTCCACACCAATGGCGATGTCGCTACTGGAAGCGAGACGACGATCAAGGGACAAAAGCTCTTTGCGGATCCGGATAAGGCTTTCTGGAGATTTTTTGTTGCCGTCCCGCTGGAGAACTTTGAGGCGAGGTGGGAGTATATCATTCCAACGTTCCGTTACCAAAGCGGGAAAACAGCGAAGGAGTCCTGGAATTTTGTTGTCCCATCTGTGTCAGAGTCAATGCGCATCATGTTCCATTCCTGCAACGGGTTTTCGGTTGGAACGGACCTTGACCATTGGCAAGGGCCACTTTTGTGGAACGACGTGCTTAGGCGCCACGAACAGAAACCATTTCATGTCATGATTGGTGGTGGCGATCAGATTTATAACGACTCTGTACGGGTGGATGGGCCATTAAGGGTCTGGACCGATATTACCAATCCCGCAAAAAGACGATCACACCCTTTCCCTAATACTATGAGAGAAGAGTGCGACAAGTTCTACTTCAATAACTACATCCGATGGTATTCTACGGAACCGTTTGCAACCGCAAATGCGCAGATTCCCCAAATCAATATCTGGGATGACCACGACATCATTGACGGATTTGGCTCTTATACGGATCATTTCATGAAATGCTCAGTATTCCGTGGAATTGGGGGTGTTGCTTACAAGTATTATTGCTTATTCCAACATCATACCCCGCCGGCAATGTCTACCTATACCACTGATACCCCGGAGACCATGCAGGCGGTCAATGGCACTTCCGGGCAAGACCCACGGCAACTGGAGAACAGCTACGTACTCCAAGAAAAGGAGGATGACCCAAGTTACATTCGCGGTGCTAGGCCTGGCCCATACGTGGAAGAAAAGGGCCGAAATATCTGTACTCGACTAGGCAAGCGAATCGCATTTATTGCAATCGATGGGCGTACCGAGCGTACTCGTCACCAGGTCAACTATCCAGAAACTTATGACCTCATATTTGACCGACTAGAAAAAGAATTATCCGCAGCTAATGGCGAAATTAAACACGTGATTGTCTTACTAGGAGTTCCTATTGCTTATCCTCGTCTTGCTTGGCTGGAAAATATCATATCTTCCCCAGTTATTGCTCCTATTCGTTTGCTTAATCGACGTTTTGGTGTTGGTGGTGATCTTTTTAATAAGTTCGACGGGGAAGTCGACCTTTTAGATGATCTGGACGACCACTATACAGCTAGACACCATAAACGCGAGCGCAGGATACTCATCCAGCGACTTCAGCATATTTCAGAGAGATTCTCTGTTCGAGTGACCATCCTTGGTGGCGATGTACATCTAGCAGCCATAGGCCGGTTCTACTCGAAAGTTGGGAGCAAGATTCCGGTCATCAATGACCCAAGATACATGGTTAATGTCGTCAGCAGCGCTATTACCAATAAGCCCCCGCCAAAAGCTGTTGCCAATCTACTTGCTCGCAGAAACAAGATTCACCATCTTGACTTTCACACCGATGAGACGCTTATGAAGATTTTTAACGAGCAGCCTGGAGGAAAAGAAAAGTCTGCAGATTTCAACAAGGTGACGATGCCGTCGCGCAACTACGCATGCATTACTGAAGTTGATTTTTCGGGTGTCAATGGGGGAACAAAAGTTAACGAGGAAGAGCTGGCGCAATTCCCGGCACCGAAGAATGGTCACAACCCTCTTCATCCCGGTGAAGTGGATGCAGGGACAACCCATCCAGCTGCCGATGGAATCACTAGTAGAGTGGGCATGGACGGTGGATTAGATGTGTCAATTCGAGTTGAAATTGATCCTGCCGACAAAGAGGGCACAACAGAAGGATACGGTTTTTGGAGTACGTTCTTCATACCCACATATATCCTCGGAAATACACCCTTGGGGGAAATTATTGAGAGGTTATGAATGCTAATGATTTATCTATTAGTTCCACCATTGGTGTCCCCGAGAATGGAGGGCCATCACCGTTTCTCCCGTCATCGTGAGGATCGGCAGACAGCAGAACCCAGCGCAGCCTAGATGTACCATGGATAAAAGTATTCCTTTTCTTATCTTTTATATGATGTATCCTATTTTTGTCTTTTCCTGTTGTGAAGAACTTTTTCGGGATTCCTAAACTGTACTTTCTGGTGGAGGATTTTTGCCCCGATCTTGTATTATAATTTTTTGTTGGTTTTGGGCAGTTGTTCACGTACAGTTGATGCATTGTACAACTTTCCTCTTTTGCATACCCAAACACTCCCTGAGCCCAGCTACCTCTTCCCTGTCTTTGCTCAAATTTTGGTGATTGCATGTTAATATCTCTCTCTAACCCCCTGCATTTTACTCCATAAATCTTCTCGCCTCTTGAGAAGCTGTCTCCTTTTATATCACTTAATGTTTGGTATGGATGCTGTTAATTTTTTTTCTATCCCGGTGGTGCTGGTCATCTCCTAGCTGAGAAAAGAAGTCGCAAAGCTCCCACATATCAACTTATCAAAATTTCTCATCTGTTCACCCACAGCTTCGCCAAGTTGCCGCCTTGTTTCCTTCTGCATAATTTACATGATTTTGGGCGCTATCAATATTCTGGTCACTGGTTAATTAAGGCTGATCTGAACTGTCCGTGCGGGCTTTCCCCAATTTCCGATCAGCGAGAGAGGGCATACGCTACGATATCAAGTGTACCTATCTTTTGCAACATGGGAGGTTTGGTATTCCTTTTTATAGGCAAGCCAGAAATGATCTTCGGCTTAGGAATGAAGCAAGTCATAGCTTGCACTGGGTTTGACTTTGGCCCATTCGGTGGTAGATAGACCTGTAGGGCCGTGGACCTGGTTGAAAAAATATTACTAGATCCGGGTGAGACAGGGTGGATATATTTTGTTTTGCTGAGCTATGGTCTCTGGACTCCGTGTGCTCTAGGATATGAATCCTCTATACTCCGTAAATACCCATATGACTCTTTTACAACTAACGTTTGGTTTGAAGACAGGCTGGTTATGCAATGACATCATAGGCTTGGCAGGAGTTTTTGGCTCTGTGGTGCCCACATTTCAAGGATAGAAACAGGAATCCAAAGCTTGCACGGACTAGTCTTCTCGGTGGGAACTTCTCGCTGGCCTGACGTGTTGACCCCTTTCTTTTTCCCAAAGGGGGGGTTGATTGACAGTGACATCACACTAGTCACGATGTGGCGGACCAAAAACCCGCCTCGATGGGGAAATAGTATATGAATCTCCCTCAAGCCTTATATCATCCTTAGTTGGATTATGGTATATATTCTATACGCATGATAGTACCTTTTTAACAAATAAAACTGCTGTGACTTTATACTCTTTGGTTGCTGCTTTAAAAAGTTTCTCTGACATTTGTTCAATCTGCTCCACTACATTTTAATCAGTTGCAATGGCAGATTCGTATGTTATATAAGTTCTATGCTGGCTATCAGACGGCTAATCTTCTTCCAGGCCCTGGCGCAACCAATATCATGAAGAGGAGTCCGATCCAGAGCCAGAAAGGGAAAAGGCTCAACCACAGCCCCAGGTAGCGCAACAGCCGCAGCCGCAGCCGCAGCCGCAGCAGCAGCAGCAGCAGCAGCCTGGCAGAATCCTTACACAAGATCCGCAAGCACAGCAACAAGTTGCAATACAACGAACGGGCAACTTAGGGGGACGAACTGGCGCAATCCGCGAATCCCGCATCAAAGACCGCCCTCAACCCAAGGATCAACGAGACAACAGCTTGAAAGTCAAGATAGAACTGGATCTTGAAGTAGAGGTAGATCTCTACGCTCGTGTCCAGGGAGATGTGACGATAGGTTTGATGTGATGCATAAATATAAGAGAATGGTAGGATTACTTGATCTTGCCACTTGGTCCATTTATGCCTCCTGTGCCATGGCGTTATGGTGTTCCTACTGTTTTTGCCCAGGGCTTTGGTTGCGGGATGCTTTTGGTTTGGCGAAGCGGACACCGGCAGGTGTTTTGTTATGAGATTTTGATCTGCAATTTAAAGATTGGCTAACTGAATTTGAGAGAAATTTTTTTTTGCGGTTGATTCCTGCGCTGCCCTGAATTTTAGGGTATAGGACTACATGTTGAAGTTGATAGGATGAAAATATATCCTAGAAATAGCTTACCAAACAGGATTGTTAGTTTTCATCATAACAGGGCTTCAAATATCATAGGGAAACTTGTTGGCAGCATCTGTTTTGTCACCCATACAAACTATAAACTCAAATAAGCATAATTTGATTTGCATGTTGCTGTTGGGTGTCACCAAGCCCACAAGCCGAAAAGCTTTCAACCGATTCCATGACAGTTAATCTGTTAGAAATTGTGAACTTGTGATGATGATTCTCCTATTGAGAACTTAATAGAATATCAGCCACCTATGTCCTTATTAATCTCTATCAGAACAACTAATGACTTCTTTATAATACAAGCTAAAACCTTTATATCTAGACAGCAAAGTAACCAGCTCTCTTATCTGCCCATAACGCCCAAATATGTTACAGATGTGATGGGTACTCACTTGTGAAGTACCCATTTTCTGGCGCGACTACCGATATCCGTCAAGAAATCTATGCCAAAAATTCTTTTTCCTTTCCCTCTCCCGTTTCTCCTTCCATAGCCACCCAACAAGAGCACCAGTAGCATATCCGCCCAAATGCGACCAGTGGTCCATGGCCGCTATTCTAAACGGTAACGCTAGAGTAATAATTTCAACAAGCACGATTACAGCCAGGAATGTACTCCCATTCGCCGAAAACATCTCTTGCCAATCGCGTGGAAGGAATGCAATCGTGAGTTTGTCACTGGAGGTTAAAGATGGTTAGTAAAGTTTTTGAAGTGAATAGGAAGGACATACTTCGAGTGTAGCATGCACCAGGCTGCAACTAATCCCGCAATGGCGCCACTGGCCCCCAGAGATGTGATGGTCAGTTTATTTCCGAGAACGTGAGCGGCGAGTGACGTTAGGGAGGCGATAACTCCTGAAGAAAGATAAAGCGCCAGGAAGTCACCGCGACCGACCTCATCGTGTACTATGAAATGTATATGTAAGCACATTTTCGACAGCTGAATACCGATAGTTGACTCGGGGCAAACATGCATCTTGTCCCAATAAACCAGAGTATAAACATATTAGCACCCAAATGACGCAGTTGCTGATGACTGAACACACTGCCTATAGTACTTAACGAATATGGGTATAGAGGCACACTGATAAAGTATCTGTTAAGCATCCTCCATGCCGGAGGGAACGCTTTCCACATCAGAAATACTGTGACATTAGCTCCGATGAGCCCAATTGCAGTCGCTGCGGCAGGAGGAACGGTAGGTAAGAGACGGTGTTCACGAGAGGGAGGCTCATATGTCTCGGAGTATAGATAGCAAAGTCCGGCGGTGAGAATGGCGACACCCAGCGAGGGAAGTATGCGGCGTGGCTACGGATCTCATTAGAATTGCAAAATATCCAAAACTGGACGAATACATACCTTATTCATCTTCGATGTGTCTACATTCGTAGATGTGGCGCGTATGTGATGCTTTTGAATCCATGCCAGAGCAGGGCGTAGCTGTGGATCCGCACGAGGACGAGCTACAAATGCGATTAAATACACTCCTTTGAACAGGGCCACAAGCTTAGTTAAACTCTTACCTTCTGTGATCGCGGATCCTTCAAAATTTGCCAATTCGGTATTCCTCTGAATCGACCTTGCGAAGTTTTCTTTCTCCTTTGCCTCGGACTCCAACCATTGCTGCCTCTCATCTTCCTCTTTTTTCTTGTTAATCTTCTCATTCTTCTGCCTAATCTCTTGGAGTACACTACGCCCGTACACGTCTCCTTCTTTTTCAACCTCCGCTCCAAATCTTCCGCTTTGAGGCTTGTATAGACCCAGTTTTTCAGCACGCCGCATTAACTTTTCCTCCTCTTCCTGTTCTTCCCTCTCAATTCTCCTCATAATGGCCGCATCTTCATCAACAGGGAAATTCCTGCGGAGCCACTCCAAGCCATCGTCCAAAATATGTTGTGGAACCCCGTTCTTGATATCTAGCGGCAGCTCCAAGTCCAGAGTGCCGGCCAGTCGCCGGCCATGGAGGACTCGAAGAACACGATTCCCGAAAACAGGAGGTATCCTCGGTGTCCCAAATATCTGTGAGATCTGAGAATGCGAAAGTTCACGCGGTTGGAATCGAACGCCTTCTTCTTGCGTCTGGCGACTATTTGGAGGGGCGCTCGGCTGTGCGTTGAGGAGTTGAGAGGTGTTAAAGGAGCGGTAGAATCTGCAATTGTACGAAACTATAGTAGAAAAAGAGGTCCCACTTTGCTTTGAGGTTCGAAAGCTGAAAGCTCCTTGGTCCGAGCTGGGCGCAACTCCCATGCGCAAACCTGGAGGTCGGCTATCTAGGCATAATAAACGGGCAAAGCTTCGAGCTGAGGAGGATGGCTTGCACGGCGGTGAGGAGCGAATTCCAGTGCATGGACCTCGCCATGTCATCGAAAATGCATTGTTCATTTCTAGCAGCTAGCTTTAATCTCTTGAAAAGTCGGTTTCTAGTCTCGTGAAAATGTTTGGGATGCCCGTACTCGCAGCGACGGAGGAGGGCATGCGTCCTGCTAGAAGGTCAGGGTTGTGCGCAAAAAAACAATTAACTCATTCAGCGCATCGCGGTCAGCCAATTCACCCTCCACAGAGGATAATATTACCCAAGTATTGGTCTGTCCTGATTCATGGATGTCGAATTCTGGGCTTCCAACTGATTTCGAAATATTGATTACGTAATATTTCGGGTTTAACAAGTCAAGCTATGCTTTTAACTCCGGAGGCATCACATGATTGGCATCATAAGGTCGTGGATAACGTGGAGGCAACAGAGCGTCAAAGCACCAAAGCATCACGCAGCTTTCGACCATACAGATTGAAAGAAAGAGATAAGCACTTCAGGGCAGAATGTCGTCCGAGTCTTTACCTATTACTTCGACTGCCTTCGCTGCAGCTCTCAAAGACCTGACCATTCCATTGCTCTACGCGAAGGTGTTTGAACTCCGCAACTCAATATCCCACCTCGAGCGATCCAACACCGAACTCAAACAATACATAGAAATAAGCCCAGGAGGCGATGAAATTTGCCAAGAAGCCATATCTGAAAATGAAGAAGTCATCAAGCGAATGTTGGACCGGATTGACCTCGTCAAAGCCGAGGTGGAGGCCCGTGGACAAGAGTGGATCGAATTAAATGGCACAGACAAACTGGATGAAACAAGTGAAATAGGACTTGGACCTGAAGCGGAAGATATTGAACTACCTGATGCACCGATTACTGGAAGTGATAACGAACGACTGCAAGTTGGCCAGCCCCAGACCCGATCTGTTGAAAGCAACGGGGCATCTCAACAGGAATCGATGGGGCCCCGGTCAGGAGGCAACGAAAGACAACAAGAAGACGAGTCAGAAGGGGTGTATCTTTAAACTGAACTGAAAAGAGCGATTGATACACAAAGCACGGCAGGTCCTTATCCCTGCTGAGCACACTGCAGACACTGCTTGAGTTTTGAATTCTCAGAAAGTGTAGCTTTGCAGCCCGGGATTCAAAGCTTTGGATGCTTAGATTGCTTTACAAATCCCGCTTCATACAGGCGCCTTGATCTGCTTTGGACGGACCGTTGAGCTAGGCTATCAGATAGAATCTGGGGATGGAGAAGAATACGTGAGCAATAGCCGCATGATACCCGGGTTAAAAGTCCTTCCGCCCGAATGCATGAGCGGCCGGAGAACAACCAGATATTCGCAGCATTTCCATTGAACTTGGCCGTAACTGGAGAAACAACCACTATTTCGTAGCTGTGGTTGACATAGCAACTTGAATATGGACAGAGAAATCAAGTAAATAAACATGAAATATGGTCCATTTGCCCACAGTGACAGAGTAACACCGTAATTAAATGCATATATGACTTTCATCCAGTTGAGCCTTCTTTTCTGTGGCCGAGATTTAATCAAGCGCTATAACGCCCATGAAAAAGAATATGAGAAAGACACATCGTTCCGTTGGTAGTCATGCAGAAACTTGCAAAGATTGAAAACGCCCGTGATATCGTAAATAGCCAGCTTGTGGGATGTTTATCCTTGAGAAGACGTAGAGGGAGCAGCAGGCTGCTGGGCCCAGTGACCGGCAAGGGCTTCTGGAGGGATTTTCTCCTGCTTGATATAAATGTCGATCAACGGTTGCATCGGTTCCATCTCCTTGTCAGCGACAAGCTTGTAGTATTTAGCTACCGTCACAAAATGCACGAAGCACATATTCAAAACCTCGTGTTTGTTAATATGCCAAAACGGGTTTTCCCAATGGGCATGATACAAATGAGCGTAGCAACGGAACATTTGTTTCATAATGCCTTGGCAGTCCTTGTAGAACGTTGGTGGGAAACCACTTGATTTACCAATCCAATCTTGGGGAGTCGCTCCAGCGGAATTGGTATTGTTCGTGGCTCCTGCGGGTGGGCTGGCTGGCGACGGATTTGCTACAGACCCAGGCGTAGTTGTGAGTTCAGCAACGGCGAAGGTGGTGGGAGGCGATGACACTTGTTCCGTCGGGAACATCACCGGGTCGTGGATTTTGCTCACGATCCATTTCTCGACGCGATTTATAAATTTGGGAGCCGATATCTTCGCTGCTTTCCCGTCCACCAACCAGGTATATGTCAGGCTATAGAGACAATGGTTATGAGCACGTGTTCACTAGCATCGGCATAAATGGCACAGCATACTTTCCAGCAGACATGGTAGGGCAAGTTAGTTCGTTACAGATTGGAAGCCCGGTATGAGTGTTGACTTCCTGGACCACTTGGAGCATGCCATGAATGAGGCGGTTTTGTTCCACAACTGTCTTTGTATTAGATCTTCTGAATGAGCATGTTGAGTCTGGTAACGTACTCTGATGGGCCAGCCATTCCCCAAGCTCTACATTCTTCGGACAAGCACAGAGAGTCAAAAAATTCCCCTTGACGTTGAGGGGCGCATATTTCTCCTGGAAGAAGTACTTGATGCCTTCACGCTCACTCGGGGTATTATCAGCACTAAGCGGGGACGAGACCGAGGATGCATTCGTGTTTGCGGTTTGACTCGACGAATACGTAGGTGACTGCTGATTCGATGGTGCCGTGCCATTTTTCGGAGGGTTGTTGTTATTGTTGTTCTTATTCCCACCCCTACCAAATCCCTGACGGCTAAACAAGGGGAAATTAGCAGCAGTTTGAACAGCAGAGCACAGGGAGAAAAATAAAACCAAGATCAAAAGAGTACAATCAAGACTGAATGCAACAAGATGAAGGAAAGTGTAATATCACATTTGAAAGGCCCTGTATAATGGGGACACAAGCCATAATAGTTAGAACACAACTGGGGAACGATGAGGGACAACATACACGCTCTGGAAGAACGTCGCCATGATTGAAATCTGTCTAATATTGGACCACAGAACCAAGCAGTAGTTTACCTATGGTGTCTTAGGTCGCAGCAACAGCTAGATTGAACAATAGAAGAAATTTCTGTCCGTGAAATCTCTCAGTGTGTTTGGAGAAAGTGAGTAAGTGCCTCAAGAATAAGATGGCAGAACGGGGGAGAAGGAAACTCCGGCTCGGATTATCATCTCACTCCGGCATCGATTCGTGCCCTGCCACGCTAGGAGAACTTGGGGAATTAGCGTTAGATCTGGTGGAGCAGAGAGAACTGGGAATGCGCTCACAGCTTCAAGACCTCGTCTTCATCAAGTGGTGTTAGTGCGACAAACTGTTTTTCAACACTACTTCCTGTTACTCAGCGCGTGCAGCTTCTGCGATAGCCTTTCGTCTTGTTCAAGCATTTTAGGATTTACACACTCACAAACACGCCACACCTCTACGGAGTATTTCAAACACCTATCAGCCTATCCAAGCTCTGAAGGGATACTCTACGTTTCTAGGAGATGTCTTCGGGTGGCGATAGTCCCAGAGTGGACGAAGATGAAGTTAGGGATACAATTGAAAATGCATCTTTACCAGGCGAAGATAGTCCACCATCGCTTGAAGAGGATAAGCCGGACCTTGACAACGACGACGCGGACCTCTTTGGATCTGGCTCTGAAGGCGGAGACGATTCGCACGAGTACGCTCAACATGGCCTTGATTCAAATTTAACATTGTGTGCTAACACGTATTAGAAAACCCCGACGAAAGCTTGACGATGAGGAACTGGATTCAGGCGACGATGAAGGGCGCTGGGATCGGCGTGAATCCCCGATGGACGAAGATGGCGCGGAATTCGGTGAGACGCTTAATATAATGGACCTTAACCTTGGTCGCACTACAGAGCCGGAATCCACGGACGGACAGGTTGGTTCTTTTCGCCTGTGGTACAATTTCTTTTACTGACATCCGTAAATTTCAGTTCTATACGCTGAATATGCCGAATTTCCTGTCCATTGAGTCCGAGGATTTTAACCCTGAGACGTACGTTGCGCCGCCATTTTCTTCCGCTTCAACTTCGCTTTGCTGGCGCTATGACCCCAAGAATGGAAAGGATATTCAATCCAATGCACGTATCATCCGCTGGTCAGACGGCTCTTTGACACTTCAACTTGCCTCAAACCCGACCGAACAATACCGAATGCCTCTGAAACCTCTGGGGCGACCTAATAATTCCTCTAAAAACGCTGATTATGACTCTGAATTGGACTCGCATGTCTATCTTGGAGCTGCTGCAGAAGCTTCATCAGTCATCCGTATCACTTCACACCTCACCGGACAACTTTCCGTTCTTCCTACTACAGTTGAAACAGATGATGCGGTTCAAAAACTACAAGAATCATTGGCAGCTGCAACCAGAACCGGCCGAAAGAATCCTGATGGCACTGTTGCTATGTTCGATGTCAAGGAAGACCCGGAACTTGCAAAGAAACAGGCCGAACAAGCTGAACGCGAGAAGCTTCGCGAGGCCCGACGACGACAGCTAGCTGCAGATCGCGACCTCGATCGTGGAAGGCGTGTAGGCCTCCCCGGAAGAACCGGTGGAGCTGGTCTTACGATCGCTGGATTAGAAGGTGACGACATGCTCGCCACTCGAGGGCGCATAGCTAAGAAACCCAGGCGTAAGCCCAACCGCCGTGGAGAAATTTACACCGACGATGAAGAGGGATATGGTCGCAGGGGTCGGACTCGTGAAGATGAATATGACGAAGATGACGGTTTCCTTGTCCGCAGCGACGAGGAAATAGAGATTGGAGAGGAGGAGGAAGAAGAAATCCTAGAGGAAGACGATAACCTAGAAGCAGAGGGTGAAACAGACGACGAGATTTCTGCTCCACATAAGATGGCCACTCGTGAAAATGAGAAGTCTCCGAAACGACCTCTCGAGGATGGTGAAGAACCGGAAGGGGCCAAAGCGGGCACTCCCCCAGTGAGAAAGAAGAATCGATACGTTGTGGAATCTGATGAGGATGAGTAACTTTAGGATTCCGGTCTGTTCACTCGAAGATCATCAACAATTCCGTAAATTGTCCCTTTTGTTTCTCTATTTCATTTTTTTTTTTTTGTTTTCTTTTTTTCAAAAAAAAAAAAAGAAAATCGCCCGCACTGTGAGATACGGGTGTTTTGGGTGGGAGCCATGTCTTTATAGTGCACTTACATTGGTATCTCCATACGTTGGGCGTCTTATTCTCGGTATTTCATGGGCAATTTAGATCATAGGGTTGTCGCATGCGGAATACTTCGTACCTAGGTCCAATCCATAGGAAAGTGAAAGTCACTTCGGATTCCTCAATATCCCTCGCAACTCCCTAAAATACCTATATAGAAGCAGAAACGCATGTCCGGACATTATTCGTGCCTTGTATGGGAACTGAGAACTACATACAGAGAAAGTTAGGTGAGAAACGGAGAGAAGAATGTGGTCCTAAGGCTGCAAGCCCGCAGAATCCAGACAGTCACACAGATATATTCCACACATTCCAGTTTGTGAGGAGACCATTGTAAGACCTGTTGTCTATCAGCTAAAGGCCCGATTCGCCCTCATCAAAATTAAACCTTGCAATCACCTTCCTTGCACTACCTATGACCCTCAAACAAAAGTAGTCTTGCTCCTTATTGTGCTCGCTCTGATGCTGACAAACTGTGCCGGGTGCATCCGCCGGATAAGCTTTATCCTGCCAGGTTTGCCCCTCTGCATGGATTTTTCGTTGTCTCTCCTCCATATCCTCAATCAACGAGAGCAAGCTCGGTGTTTCAAGGCATTGAGATTGGACAGCATGGACTATAGGCGGCACGCTACTTCCAATCACAGCATGCTTAACGACATTATGTAACCATGCTCTCCAGTGCTTCCGGCGCGGTTCGGGATCGGTAGGCAGCGATGCAATATATGAGGGGTCGACGCTCAGGTTTCCCAGGGCTTCGGCATCTTTGCCAAACACTAGGAGCCACCCATCGGCTACCACATTCAGGAGCGTACCGAGGAGCATGAGGTTTTGCACTGAGGTGTTGAAAGCTTGCGGGCATATTTGGCAGTGAATCACGGATTTCGCGGTGCGTGCTGCGCTGTATAACGTTGTTAAAGTGTGGACAGAGAGCGGAAATGACGACAGTGTTGATATGGAGCTGAGGCATAAGTAGAGATATGATAAACATGAACATTGCGTCGTTAAACTTGGAGCCAAAGGGGAGAAGCTGGAATCTGTGGGCTGGTAATTTGGTGTTTGGAACATCATTGGGGTGTTTATTTGCGAATAGTCCGGGTTATGTGGCTTCCACTCCAGAAGAGGTTCTGGTTGGAAAACTTCGGACTCGAATATCGGCCCATCTGTGACAAACGGACCGGCTCTCAAATCATACTGATTTGTCATAAAAGATTTATAAATTGCCGGGCACATGTTAGCGGCCTCCAATGCGCCCACGGGGTCTGGAATACCCTCAAGGATCGGTAGTAGGTCCGTAATATTGCTGTCATCCAAAGTCTGACTAGGTATGGAATTCTTGCTCTCATCGGACCGTTTCCTCTTTGGAGGCCGCCCCATCGGCTTCTGGAGGGAATAATGACAGACCAACGACTGCTTAACACAACGGCTGCATCCTGTCGCCTCTCCCGAACATTTTAACTTTCGCTGCCCTATAATCGAAGACGTTGGTACGCGAGAGACACCAACGCGCAATCAGTCAAAACGACTTACTGCACTCATCGCAGGCGGTGTGCCGCTTTGGGAGGGCTCCCGGATTGAAGGCCTTGACATTCGAGTATGAGAAGTCCATAACCGGGTCAAGCCAGGGAGCAGTTGCGTTGGTTTGATTGATGTGCATCGCAGCGGTGATGCCCAGAAGAGCCCGACTTAATATTGACAGCAAACCAAAAAAATAAATTGCTACTGACTGCGAGGGCTGGGTTGGTGTTGGTCGGAATTTGTCGAGCCTGGATAGGAGATTCGATGCCCCGCGCGATTTCAGGCAGGCTCCAAAATCTTTCAACGGCAGATGAAGAGCAGGTCCGCCTTCGAACATGGAACTCTACTCTCTCAGATCGACCTCCTTAGATTCTCTGTTACCCTTTTCTGTGATTTGAGGCGACGTTGACTTCATAACATACTTAACCTTCTAACCATGCGTGTTGCTCCGTTGACCAATGACAGCAAGTTCAGGTGGCTACCAAGGTTGAGAGCGACGGAACAACAATATTCCTGAGACAGTCGGAATTTTGTTTTTGCAGGTCCGGGCAGTTTCGAGCGGGAAAAAAGCTGCACAATTTCGAGAAACTGCGCCGACGGCAGGGCTCAGCGAGTCATCCAGGCCCCGATTGTTCGCGATGGATTACTCCAAGGGCTCCAAGAAGCGCAAGGCTATAACGAAAGATGTTGACGAAGACCCGAGCGTCGTCTCTGGAGATGAATACGACCTTGAAGCGCTCGACAGGGACGATTCTGATAGCTCCGCCGACGCGAGCGACTCAGAGATTGAGTTGATTGGCGATTTCAGCAGCGACGATGGAGAAGACGACGATGAGCTTCATAGCGATGAAGTCCCATCCGATACGGAACCCTTTGCCCGGGCGAAAAGTGGGAAAATTGCAACCGGCCTTGACGGTTCTTTAGATGGGGAAAGCAACGACTTGTCCGACGATAATGAACCAAATTACCGAATTGAAAAAGATGCAAATGGCAACGAGCGGTATATCTACCCCGAAATCAATCCTGATGATAATTCGGAGTATTCCGAAGTCGATGAAAAGGCCAATACGATTGGCGATATCCCACTGTCTTTCTACGACCAGTATCCCCATATCGGCTACAATATTAACGGGAAAAAGATCCTGCGCCCCGCAAAGGGTCAAGCATTGGATGCACTGCTAGATAGCATCGAGATTCCAAAAGGCTGGACTGGTTTGACCGATCCATCCACCGGAAAGCCATTGCAACTAAGTCAAGAGGAGCTGGAGTTGCTGCGTAAAGTACAGATGAATGAGATCACCCAGGATGGCTACGACCCCTACCAGCCTACCATCGAGTACTTTACGAGCAAGCAAGAGATAATGCCTCTCAGCGCAGCCCCCGAGCCAAAGCGAAGATTTATACCTTCGAAACATGAGGCAAAGCGTATTATGAAAATTGTTAAAGCCATCCGGGAAGGCAGAATTCTTCCGTATAAGCCCCCGGAAGAAGAGGACGCAACTCAAGAAGGAATACAGACATACGATTTATGGGCTGACGAGTCTCCACGGCCAGATCATCCAATGAATATTCCAGCTCCCAAACTACCACCACCAGGATATGAGGAGAGCTATCATCCGCCGCCAGAGTATCTACCTGATAAGAAAGAGAAAGAAGAATGGGAGAACCAAGATGAAGAAGATCGCGAAAGAGAGTATCTGCCAACGGATTATAGCACTTTGCGAAAAGTGCCAGGTTACGAAAGATTTATTAAGGAGAAGTTCGAACGTTGTCTCGACTTGTATTTGGCGCCAAGAGTACGACGGAGCAAGTTGAACATTGACCCGGAGTCTCTCCTGCCTAAGCTACCTAGCCCCGAAGAACTTAAGCCGTTCCCAACAACCTGTGCAACACTATTCCGAGGTCATCGCGGGCGTGTTCGAAGCTTAGCAATTGATCCCACTGGGGTCTGGCTAGCTAGTGGTGGAGATGACGGTACCGTTCGCGTTTGGGAGCTACTCACTGGCCGACAATTGTGGAGTGTTAAACTAAGCGATGAAGATGCAGTCAATGTCGTCCGTTGGAGGCCAGGCAAAGAAGCTGTCGTTCTAGCAGCATCTGTTGGTGACAGTATCTATCTTGCTGTTCCCGATGTTGTTAATCCGGAACTGGAAGCGGCTAGCCTTGAGGTGATTGATGCTGGCTGGGGCTATGCTACCTCCACAGGAACAAGTGCTACAAAGAAGACTTCACCGGTACAATGGACTCGTCCTGCATCTTCCCTCGCGGATTCTGGCGTATATGCAGTGATTCCATTAGGTTATATCGCCAAGTCAATATCCTGGCACCGTCGTGGAGACTACTTCGTAACCGTCTGCCCTGGTACATCGACCCCTGCCTCAGTCGCGATCGCCATCCACACTCTCTCCAAACACCTTACGCAATATCCATTCCGCCGACGTCTCAAAGGTGGGGGTTCACCTCAAGTTGCGCATTTTCACCCTTCCAAACCTATCCTCTTCGTTGCCAATCAGCGCTCAATCCGCGCATATGATCTCTCCCGTCAAACTCTAGTTAAAATTCTCCGCCCTGGCGCCCGATGGATCTCCTCCTTCGACATCCATCCTACATCCTCCTCTACTTCTGGCGGCGATAATCTTATTGTTGGTTCTTACGATAGACGTCTACTCTGGCATGACGTCGATCTCTCCGATCGCCCCTATAAAACGCTTCGGTATCACCAGAAAGCCATCCGTGCCGTTAAATATCACCCTCATTACCCTCTTTTTGCAGACACGAGTGACGACGGCTCTTTACAAATTTTCCATGGCAGTGTCACGGGGGACTTACTCAGCAATGCTAATATTGTACCTTTGAAGGTGCTAAAAGGACACAAAGTCACAGGGGACTTGGGAGTGCTAGATCTTGATTGGCATCCAAGGGAAGCTTGGTGTGTTAGTGCTGGAGCAGATGGCACGTGTCGGCTATGGATGTGATAGATTTGATACCTCCTGTCTTGTGTAGTGCACGGATATGCCCTGATACATGTTAATTTAAAGCGGCGCTCTGGGGTTAGCTGTGAGATATAGTGCTCCAAGCTTTCTCAAAACATGCCATTCCTTTAATGAAAAATGCCAATGAGATATTTTAAGAAGACGTCTAACTGGGTATATTTTCAAAACTTAGAGGTATATATGTACGTACATACATACAAAGAGTATGGTGCTGAGACAAATAGTTAAATCGCGACATTCCCGCCTCCCCATTCTCTCCTTAGTCTCTCATATCTCCTCATGTCAGTAACACTTGGTCTAATCTCTGTCTTTGCAACTACGAAATCTTCCAATTTGATTGTATCTCGCCGCTTGATCGCTGCATAACCGGCACGGCGAAGCAATGAACCCAAATCTGCACCGCTGTAGCCCTCACACGAGCGCACCAGGGCTTCGATTTCCGGGGTGACTTCAACAGTTAGTTTACGAACCAATGTACGAAGGATATCTACTCGCTCATTCTCGCTAGGTAGATTAACAAAAAGAAGAGTTTCAAGACGACCAGGTCGTAGCATGGCCGGGTCGATGATATCTGGCCTGTTGGTGGCAGCGATGACATATATCCCTTGTCGTGCGCTACCAAGCCCATCAAGCTCAGTAAGTAATGTGTTCACCACACGCGCAGACGCTTCGGAGAGTGTATCATCGCGACGAGGGACAAGAGCGTCAAGTTCGTCAAAAAATATAACGCAAGGAATAGAAGACCGCGCACGAACGAAGACTTGCCGCACTGCTCGTTCTGATTCGCCAACGTATTTGTTGAGAAGCTCGGGCCCCTTGACACTAATAAAATTGGCACGCGATTCGTTAGCAACGGCCTTAGCAAGCAGAGTCTTTCCACATCCTGGTGGTCCCCATAGAAGAACACCGGTTGGTGCTGATATCCCGACCTGAGCATAAATTTCAGGGGTTTTGATGGGGTCGACGATTGCAGTGACGAGTTCTTCGCGCACGCCACCGAGGGCGCCCACATCAGCCCAAGTCGTATCAGGTATTGTGGCGAAACCTTCACGTTTCGAGGAAGGTTGAATTTTGGGGAGTGCGGCCAAAAAATCCTCGTTGGAGACAAATACCGTTTGGGGTTCAGATTCCGGAGGCGCCTCTCGAGCTCGCCTTATCAGGCGGCGGAGTTCTAAGATTTTCGGGCTTATGTTGCTCTGAGGCTCTTCAATGTCCATCTCTTCATCGCCTAGAGATTTTAAATGATCTAAATATCGCTTGATAGCAGCTGTCCCCGCTGTAGATACCAGGTCATTCAAATCAGCTCCGACAAAGCCAGGGGTCCGTTTCGCAAGTAATGGAAAATCCAGACCATTGGCAAGATTCATATTTCTTGTCAATGTGCGTAGGATTTGTTCTCTGACTGGTTCACTAGGAACACTGAGATTGATCTCCTTGTCAAAGCGACCACCTCTTCTCAAAGCTGGATCAAGACTGTCTGGCCGATTTGTTGCGGCCAGCACAATAACTGGTTTTCCATCCGTCTTTTCCAAAGCTAAGTCGTCCATGCATGTGAGTAACTGGGCGACAATTCTCTTCTCCATTTCACGCTGGGCACTTTCACGCTTTGGAGTGATAGCATCAATCTCGTCAATAAAGACAAGACAGGGAGCAGCCTTTTTAGCCTCGTCAAAGTGTTCCCGGAGTGCCTTTTCCGATTCACCCGACATTCCAGAGACAATTGACGGAGCAGAAATGGCGATAAATGGAACACCCAATTCTGCCGCGAAAGCATTGGCAATTAGAGTCTTTCCACACCCGGGAGGCCCGTGCAGTAGGACACCGCGTGGCGGCTGAACTTTGGACGAGGAATAAACTTGAGGCCGAGTCATTGGGAGGACAATTAGATCTTCCATCTCTTGAATCACGTCGTCCACGCCTCCTAAATCTGCAAGGCTCAGATGTGTCGGTGGGGATCGGTCGATAGAACTCTCCGCTTTTCGACGTTTCGAGATCGATTCACCACCTGTTTGACGCCTTTTGTTTGTGGGTTGGGGGACCGACGACGACGACTCAACCGCACCATCTAATTTCTTATGAGTTGGCGGTGTTTTCGACTGTGTGTTCCACATTCCCACGATGCTCTTGTTTACGCCATTCAAAGCCTAAGCGGATATCAGCAATGTATCAGCTTCCAGTGAAATCGTGGCGCCATACCGGAGGCTGTTGTTTCTCGACCAATCCCTCAAAGTCTCCTTCCAACGACTCAGACTCATCTTCACCCAAAGCGTCAGCTTTAATAACGTCCAATACCCGCTCAATACTGTCCTCTAATAATTTTTTGGGTCTGCGATTTAAACTGGAATTGGATTTCTTGATTCGGTCGTAAATCATAGGCACACCAAGCCGTAAATCCGAACCTTCCGCTTGCTGTTCGTCCACGAGCTTGCGGATAATTTGGTAGACCTGCAACGATAGTGAAAAATTCAGCGCTCTATATTCATTCGGGAAAGCCATCAATGTGCTCACCTCCTTATCAAGGCCATGCCCAAGGCTTGGCCGACCGCCGCGATTCCTTGGTGGCATTTTGTATATTAAAAATGCGCTTGTCTCGCTCGCCGCCCGAGATCAACTTTCGCTTCCTGTCATAAATTTGCTGTATCGACAGGCCGGTAAGTTGCCCTGCCGAAGATACCGGAACATTGTTAAGCCGAGACGTAGTCCCTGTTTATGTAACGATTATGCTTATCGATAAGGAATCGGTACCGTAATTCCGATACAGTCGGCTGATACAAGCCATCCGTCGTCGATTCAATGCGTGAGAAGCACCTCACTGGATTGGAAAACGTGCTCTTGAGACTATTGGAGATGCTAGTAAAATGGGAAACACTTCCAGCTCGCATAAAATATCCGCGCAAGATAGGTACGTGTGGTACTGTTATCACAATTTGCTGCAGCGCAAGTCGTCGAATGCGCCGTTGAGCGAAAGGGCGCCTCAGCCGTTTGCCGTTCCTGTTCTACTATACAAATAGAGATTTGTTCTTGTTTTACTCGCTGACTATGAGATTCTGATTCCAGAGCAATTCTCGATCTGAAAAACCAACGAGATAAGCTACATCAGTACCAAAAGCGCATCACTGTCCTAACAGACCGTGAAACGGCCATTGCCAAAGAATGTTTGGCTCGCGGCGATCGATCGCGTGCTCTCTTAGCACTACGACGCAAGAAATATCAAGAATCTCTACTTTCCAAGACTGATTCACAGCTTGACCAACTGGAAAAATTGACAGGCAGCGTGGAATTTGCCTTGGTCCAAAAAGATGTCTTGTTTGGCTTAAATCAGGGTACGAAAGTGCTACAAGCTATCCATAAAGAAATGGGGGGACTCGAGGGAGTAGAGAAGATGATGGGTGAAACACAAGAGGCTAGAGCATACCAGGAGGTTCGTTTCCTACGCTGCTATTTCGTTCCATTATCTAGACCTAGATTACCAACGGTTCGCAGGAAATAAGCCACATGCTCGCCGGACAGATGTCGAATCAAGACGAAGACGAGGTAGAAGACGAATTGGAAGAACTCGAGCGAGAGGTTGCTGGGGGTGTGAAGCTCCCTGATGTCCCAACGTCAGCATTGCCGGAAGAGGAAGAACGGAATAGAGCCACGACAGCTAGCCAGCGTGCCCGCGCAAGAGCCAGGGCACAGGCGCAGAATGCAGTCCCCATGGAAGCCTAAGCCTTGTATCCCTATATCTGCAGTTTCTTTTCTTTATTTCGCCAGGGTTCCCGCACAATATACAGTCACCGCACGGCATGTACATACGCGGTGTGATGTCGGTCTGATGAGTGTTAATAGAAGGAGTTAATGGTATCGTCTGATTTCCTACGCATCCGGTGCGTGCACTTACTACACTTTGGACACAGGATATATCATACCCCCAGTTGTTGGTAATCGGCACCGCTCCCTAGCTAGTATTAATTCATTATTATCATTTCGCTAAGGTAGAGGGAAGCTAAACTAATAGAATAATAGAGATCTATCATATCTTCCAGTATGTCCACCACGGAACCCGTCCTACTGTCCAATCGTCCTTCCAACCCCTTCGCCCACACCTTGTATAATAACATGATCCTTCGGGTTGGCCGCTGCCTCATACAACACCGTAACCGGTTCTCTGATGAGAGCCATATAATGCCCTTTAAAGCCGATATACCCTACCTTTGTGACCTCCTCGTCTCCCCCACTCCAGTTATCTTCGAAAAATAAAGTAACAGATGTCGTAGTGTTCCACTGAGCTCGGTTAAGGGGAATCTCCAGGGCATCGGCATCTGAACCTGTGAGTGTCTGGGGAACAGTAAGTGTTTGGGTGGCCTGGAGATCGGAGGCAGTGGAGAAATCGAGATCCGGTCGATTGCGGAAGAGTTTAATGGTCTTTGGGGCGGAGGTGGTAGGAGGTGCGTAGAACAAGAGGGAGTGGAGTTTAACCTGGCCAGTGAATCTGAAATTGACTCTCGTCAGCCGGAAGTACTGGGTTTGTTAGATGGAGATGTGGCGTCAGAATATATTGACGGAGGGGCAGAGCATGGCGGGGTAAATAATGAATCAAGAGGCGTCAACTTGCGGCATTCGAGGATCGGAGGTTGGACTTACGGGATATACATCAGCATCTGCTCATCCACATCGCTTTCCAGCTCGGGGCTATCGTCTAAACGCTGAGCCCATGTTTTCTTGACGATGGCAGTGCCGGCCTTTGGCTCGGATTCGTTCAGCGTGACAATTCCATCGAAATCGATCTGCTTATATAAAAGCGACTGGAACGCGGGGGTCAAGTCATCGCTATGGTCATGATCATGATCGTGGCCACCATGGCCATGGTGGTGGTGGTGGTGGTGATGTGACATTCTAACACCGCGGTTCTCTATAGTTGGTAGGAAGAAGCTGATTGAACACAGAAGGGACTTGGATTTAGATAAACGATCTGGGTATTATAAAACGAAGGATGGGGTCAAGGGTGAACCTCCACCCTCCAAAATCTTTTTGGGTCTCGAATAACGATCAAGCAAGGGGTATTCCCTTATTCTTCTCTACTTCCCACTAGGATTAGGCCGTGTCGCCCCTTTATGTAATTCGGTGACAGAGACATCGAGATCAACAGACGAGTTTCTTGGACATGCATCACAACGTTTGCCATTTACTCTACTTTTGCCCTCAACACAACTGTAGTATCTAAGCTAAACAGATCACTCTTTCACCTGGTAATAGTCAGAGGCATACTCAAGGAGCCATGACTTTTGAATTTTAGTGATATCCCGAATAAATATCTTGCTGCTTGTTTGCAGGACCTCGTGGAAAATCACCCAGTCCGCCTTTCGATTCTATTTGTTACTTGTTAGTACTTCAACATCTGACCACTTTCTCTTGGATATAACTTACAAACAACAACGAACTCGGATGCGCGTGAAGGGTTACTCCTCCGCTTATGGTTTTAAAGGTGCCGTCTGGCTGCATCCTAGCAGCATGTCCAAAATATCCCGTTGTGAGGCACCGTTGTATCTGTTCCGCAGTAGTAGCCAGCTGAGACTTGCGGGAGGACAGGGTTTCGTCGATCTGAATTCCAAAGCGGTCCAAGTATCTTTTAAGCTGTGCACGGATGCTAACTGCCTTTTGCATCGATTTATAATTTAGCGAGTTCTCCCGGCACCACTTCGAGTCTTTCTTTCCCTTGGTGACAAAGGCCTGGTACACATTCAGATATGTTAAATGATCCCCTTCCTCCACGGCAAACTTTCTCCGCGCGGATTCCATACCCTTTTTGTCGCCCTCTTGTTGAAACCAAACGGACCCTTGAACACTCGTCATGGCTGCTATGGATAAAATTTCACTGAGGCATCCAAATGTAGAGGCGTTAAGCAAGACTTTGGCCATCATAGGCTCCACTGAAAGCTCAGCCATGTGAATACCAAGAGGTTTGGTCAACTTTGCGTACTCATCCACAGCTCCTAAAGAGTAGAGCAGCTCAAGCGCTCGAACAACAAGCTCCGCAGGTGGGCTAGAGAAGAAATCAAATCGGACGATATTATCAATCCCAAGTGCTTTCAACTGGAGAATCACCGGTGCCAGGTTTGACCTTTGAATCTCTGGAACAGAGGCATCTGGTAGACATGCGTATGATTCCTCGGTATAAAGGCGAAAGCACTTGCCTGGTCTTGTTCTCCCGGCTCGCCCGGCTCTCTGGGAAGCAGATGCTTTTGAGATAGGCACTGCCGTTAAAGTATCGATCCCAGTATTTGGGTCATAAGCACGGAGCTTAGCATATCCGCAGTCAATAACGAATACGATCCCATCGATTGTCACGGATGCTTCAGCAATATTAGTGGCGACTATGACTTTGCGGGTATTTTCAGGAGCAGGGTCAAAAACATAGAGCTGCTGTTCCGTAGTAAGTCCCGCGTACAGGGGTAATGGCAGTAACTCCTGGGATTTTGGGGGTAAACTGGCAGCACGCTCCGAGATTTTTTGGATAGCAAGATCTATTTCTTCTCTTCCGGTGAGAAACAACAAGATATCACCATTAGTTTCCCCCGCATGGATGTCGAATACTGTCTTGATAGCTCTCTCAACATAATCTTCTGCCGGACTCTCCAGAAACAAGCAATCAACCGGATACATTCTCCCCTCGAGGCTAAGAATTCTTCCCACTTTGCCGCCCATTTCGCTTCCATTCTCCGCATTAAACTGGTCTTCTGCAAAAAAACGTAAAAATTCCTCTGCCTGCAACGTTGCACTGCTCACAATAATCCGCAGTTCCGGTCTCTTTTTCATGATCTTTTTGAGTATCCCAAGAAGGATGTCAGTGCTTAGGGAACGCTCATGGGCTTCGTCGACCATAATCACAGAGTAACGAGATAACAATGGGTCTACGAGAGCCTCTCGCAACAGGAGACCGTCCGTTAAGAATTTTATCCGGGTTGCAGAAGACGTTACGTCCTCGAACCGAATTGAATACCCGACCTCTTGGCCGACACTACACCTCATTTCCTCGGCGACCCGAGCCGCAACAGTTGTAGCAGCCACTCTGCGAGGCTAATTCATGAATTAGCATGTGCATCTGTAATTCTACCGCAATGAGATATCAGTAGTTAACATAGCTGGGCAACAACCTACCTGGGTGACTGCAATCTGCTTTCCATCTGCACACCATCCTGCTTTGTCAAGGAATTGAGGCAATTGGGTAGTCTTTCCGCTACCCGTTTGTCCCACGACTATGGTTACAGGATAATTTTCAACGACATAAAGCAAGCTATTGCGATGTTGTGCAATCGGCAATAACGCTGGGGGTTTATAGAGCGACGAGATGAAGCCCGGGGAGAGGTCAAAGTCGGTGGCCATCTGAGTAGGTTAAAAGTTCACCGGGCTAGTCCAACAGAATATATTGCTAACCGTATTGAGCTAGCCATGACCGAACGCTCAAACTCTCAAATTCCCGCCCAATCGGTGAATATGACTTCACTGTTTTCGCGCGATGCTTAGGCTTAGACAGACGATTAAGTACCCCGACCTCATCTGGGGCCGGGGCTGGCTAGGTTGCTCGGCGAAAGTAAAATCCGAGACACCAGCCACATCACCTACTAATCAGTTTTCTTTGGTTGTCTGGGGCAGATGGCGTCACTTGAGTTTGAGCCACACAGGAACTCGTAACGCAACCGTCAACATCCCGAGGGGGGTCAGCTTTCTCGTCTCATTCACCGATCAAGTGCACTTTTATTTTTCGCTTCAAAGCTAGCTTACTTCTTCTTTATAGATTTTATTCGGGCTGTTTTTACGACATAAAAGTCAACAGTATAACAATCATGGCTGACGGGCCAAAGGTACGAGAAGCTCAGATTTCGTGCTGCCTAACGGCCAGTATCTTGCTGACTGTCGAGCGTTTAAAGAACATTGTCAATCCGGAATCCCCGACGACCGCTCGCCCGCTCGATTTTGATGATGAGCCTCTTGAAACGGGAGTAACTTCAACAACTCCAACACTTAGAACTCCGAATGATGAAGCTCCTCCGAAACCCCCGCGTCCACTTAGTCCCGAGCAGGAAGCTGAGAATACGCTGAAGGAAGCATTTCCAAGTATCGATGCCAGCGTTGTGAGAGCTGTGGTAGTGGCTAGTGGTGGAAACATAGATAGAGCCTTTCATGCCTTACTCGGTATGTGCTTTCGAGTCTTCTCCCCATGTGGTACGTTTTGTGAGCTCATCTCAGTTTCAAAGGGATGTCCGACCCGGATGCGCAAGTTGACCCTCCTCCTATGAAACCACCTCGCCCTTCAATCGCTACATCCACCACCCAGAGACAGCTCAAGCAAGATGAAATGTATGCACGCCAGCTGGCTGAGCATTATAACCGTTCGGAACAGCACCGTAGCTATCCTCAGTCTGGATGGGATCATGAACCCCACTTACCACAGAGACAAAGAGAGACCGGCTTAAAGCCGAATGAATTATATGATGATCGAGAGCACAGCTTTATTGATGGTATGCGTGGAACGAACTGCAGACGAGGCCACGGTCGTTTGAGCTAACGTTACCTTTAGACGACCTTCCGATAATTAAAGAGAACATCCGCAAGGGTTTCTTGGAAACCCAAACAAGAGTCAACACTTGGATGCAAAATTTAAAGAAGAAATTGGATGGCGAAGAATCGGAAGATGAGATTAACTACGAGCAAAATCGGCAAGGTCAGCAATACAGACAAGGATTTGGCGAGTCACAAAATTATCGACCAAGGAGAAGTGGTGAGGCTCGTCGCAGTGCGGACCGCGAACGATATGATGCGGATCCACGGGTTTTGAGTGATGATTTTGCAACCTTGGAATTAAGAGATGAAGAGGGTAAGCATTGGCTAAGATCGCCTTCGGAAACATAACTGACGCATGAATGAAGCACCTCCAATTCGTCCACCGCGCCCCGCTGCCAACCCGGATTTATTCAAATCTAAATCATCCTCCCCTGATCAACGAAAGGTCTCATTTCAAGAAGGCCCACCAGAGGAGATCGGCGCCCCCCATTCTTCCCGTTCAGATTCTCAGAATCGCGCTGCCCAACCACAAGGCAAGCCGAGTAAGTGGCAGCCGTTAGCCACGGTGGAGCCTTCTCCGGTTACGGATCACGATCCTTTTAGCCTTGGGGATTCTGATGACGAGAAAGAGGTTAAAAAGCAGGAGGTGAAGTCGGAGGAGAACGAGAAAATAAAGTCGGCCACAACAGAAGCTGCTAGAGGGGATGCTGGAGCGAGTGGTAGTAATAGCAAAACTGACAGCACTTCTGGAAATCTATAACCTGTAACATAGCACTGAGAGCGAATATACTTGGTCACATTCCATGTTGACCTAGCGTGCATAGTTTCCATATTACCAATTGATCTATTTGCCTTATGTATTCAGGTCATTCCCATCTTGTGTGAGGGCCACAAACAATCCTATAAGAAACACATTGCCTGAAGGCCCAGCATGGTATCGTGTCATAAATCATAATAGCAGCGAATAAAGTACCAATTGTTAACAAAGAAATATCCTCCAAAACGTCGCCAGTATTGTTCCATATCTGGCACTTAACCACCCAAAATAGCCTTGGCCCTATTCACCACCGACAAGCCCTCTGCTTTGACTCGACTCCTTCCGGAGCTCCTTGATGACGGTCTACAGGTGATAGGATGACAGCTGGAGTCAGTCTATGCTTCAATTTCCCTTAAGGTAGCTCTGAAGGGAAGCAAAGAGAGAAGTATCATGGTTTTCTTTTCTGTGCTGATTTGTCCAAAGAGGCATTACGGGGGAACTTACGGCCAGCGCCTCGGGGTTGACGCCATTTTCAATTAGAGATACACATAGAGACAACTCTGTGCGGTCCAAATGGGTATTCTTGACGATCCGCCTATGAGCACAGCCGTCTCTTTCATGGGACGAAGAATTGCGGAGCGTGTACGTACCAGGAGCGTGGATATCTCGTGAAGGATATCGATGACTTCACGAGCTGCTTGGCGCTTTTCGTCCTGTTGGGATGGCATTTGCGAATTGAATGAATACTATAGTCCCTTGTAGAAACTCCAAGGTTGAATGTATATATATAATTTTTCTTTTCCTTTTTTTTTTTCCCCTTTAGACAAGTGACCGAAATGTTGGAGAGTCCAGCAGGACGGCCAAACAAAATTAGAGCGCGACCAGTGGAGATCCCAAAAGGCAAATCAACGCCCACTTTTTCCCTCCTCGAGGAACACAGCCAAATTGAACCCAATTAAAGAGGATAATCACTTAAATCGTGCAACAGAAGTCATGTCGCTATCTTCACAACTGGTAATAAGTGACATTCACACACTCCCTCAAAAAAGTGCCACTGCCATCATCGAGTGCATCACGCGTCTTGAAAAGCGCACTTTCCCGCCCTCAGAAGCATTCGAATTTACCATGGACCTATGGAAGAAAAAGCCCAACACGCGAGTGATATACGTGAAGTTTACAGAGATGGCCTCTTCAGTATCTCCGAAAACGAAACTAGCAGATAGAGTCACTAGTAATAGTGCTACGAATGTGATCGGCTACGCAGTGTACGTGCGTATGAAAGGCACTGCACTGCTGCATAAAGTCTGCATCGCGGAACCGCACCGTGGGCAGGGAGTCGGCAGGCAGTTGATGGCGTATATCGAGCAAAGATTACGGCGGGAAGGCTGTCAAGCTGTGCAGCTGTGGGTTGACAAGGACAGGGCGGCTGCGAGGAGGCTGTACGCGCGATGTGGGTTTGAGGAGCAGGAGACGGTAGAGAATTACTACGGGAATGGGAGGACGGGGATTAAGATGGCCCTGGAGCTCGAAAGCCGCTGAAATCCTTGCTTTTCTGAGAGTCGTCGTCGAGAAAACGAGCTTTGCCAGCTTTGTCTGGTTCTTTAACGTGGGATAACGGTCGGCAAATTGTGCGCGCATTGTCATTGAAAAACCAGGGCCGCTGAGAACCTGGGATAAGAAAGACTGACACTGCAATCCTTCGTGCAGCAAATCACCAGGAACCATTGGACAATAAGACTTCACATGATCGGAATGATGTCTTCAGTGATGGTGGTTAATCCTATGAAGTAAAGGCTCCGTCTAGACATCTCAAAAGCCACCAGCAGGGTGAAGCAGCATCATCTCTTCAGGAGGAACAAGGGGACCCCAATGACCAATCAGGGTGGGTTTAATCAATTGAAGCCTGCTTCTATCATGTGCAAAAGGGAGACTTTGTTTGGCGCCCTTTAGATTAATGTATACAATGTACTCTGTATTTCACAAAAGAGAACGGATGTCGCTCTGGAGTGAACTAATTCTGTGTCCGTGTGTTCTCCCAAAGCTCCATATGGCTGTCCCGGCTATTTTCCCTAAGAAGCAAATCTGAACCTTCTCCTTTCAAGGAAGCGGGCTGGTGGCGCAGCGGTTAGCGCGTAGGATTGCAGATCCCAAGGTCCCCGGTTCAAATCCGGGTCAGCCCTAACATAGTGACTTGATTTTTTTTTTTAGCCCCATGATCGATTAATTATATATAGGCGGTGGAGAAAATGGTGAGGAAATGTGAGGAAAATACTCCTTCGCTTTTCAAGTAGCTTCTTAGAACAGCCGGCTACCATGGGTCATTACTGAATTGTCTATATTTATGTCGAGCCGGGCACACGCTTCGGCTGACTCCCCTGGAAGGACTAATTTACGCAATGCCAATTTCTAGAAGCTAGAAAATCATTCATATTCCGCTTTCTCAATTAATTACACGGCATTTGTGGGAACGACCTAAAGACTCGGCATATTCGTGCTTGAGTTTCGTGACTTGCGGCCTTTGACGAAAGCAGCCCGAGAAAAATGGCCACTGACTTCTGTGTACTCCGTCCCGAGTCCTCTCTCGCTGTTGAAAAAAAATTGTGATTGGGAAAATTTAAGCAACAGTGCCTGGAGACTTCAGGGATGGGCTCCACGATACCCCGTCCTATTCGGCAATCATCGCAAATCAATAGCGTTAAAACTCTGCAAAAGGGTGTTTGGTGGTGCGCTTAGTCCGGAGTGCTCAAGGCAATGAAAATTTTTCACTTGGCCTCGTGGCGGGATAGTGATCCAGATGGTGGCTTTCGAGCTCAGAAGCGCCGTGGATGCGGGCGCTTTCAGGGAGCCCCTGTCATTGGACAAGAGCGAGAAAACTTGCAGCGGGGAAGCGTTTTGGTCGGCCTAGTTTACTTATTTTTCTCCCTTTTCCGTTTCGCATTGAAAAGCAAGGCGTTATTAACTAACATCCCGAGCAGCAATGGTGAGTTCCCCCAAAACACACTCGTTGCGCTGACGCATAAGTGCCCCGTGTAGACCACGGGCTCTACAGTATTATCTCGCACGATTTTCATCGTTAACTCGGGATGTACGGAGTATTTATGGAGGTATATAGATCCATAGGTTGTGATGCGGGTACGGAGTACCCCGAAGGAGATCTCTCCATCAGTCTGAGTTTAATCAAGAACCTCCAGCTTGTTTCGCGTGTTGCTATCTTCAGAGACATGGTGGAGTCTGGGCGGCAAAGCCCATCCCTTGTTGTACTGTGGGCATGGATCGATGGATGTACCTCGTTGCCTCCAGATCAAAGCTGTCTGGCTTGACCGCAGTTTGAACGGGGCACCGGCATTGAAAGCAGTAAAATGTTTGTTCTCCGTAGTTCTAATTGTTTTGGTGATATTTGTTCGAGGTTCCAGATGCTTTTGACACCCCGCCAAATTGCAGTTCAGAGAGCATAATTTAGGCTTTTTCTTTGGTCATGGCGTAACTCTCAGGCGTACGGCAGCCCATACGATCTTTTCCGTGAAGCTTTTTCGTCATTTCTCACATCAACCCTCCCAGCACGCGACCTCCTCCGTTTGCCAACCCCTGATATCTGATTTCCGAAGGGCAATTCGAGTAGAGAAAGGAGCTCTTTCTGGCCGGAGACGAGGCACACGAGCCCAACAGCAATCTCGGCACATCCTCGCAGCCGCCTGGACCCCCAGGCTGCTCCCGCTGACAACCCACATTGACCTTCGTCCTCCACCTCACTTCGCCCTCCTCCATCCCCCGACACAATCTCCCCTTCAAACTCTTTCACAACAACACAAATCCTTTCTCCCCACGTAATCCTCCCACCCAACACCCCCGGGAACCTCGCGACCACGCTCCTCTCACGCCCAATCGACATTGCTCGCTCCATCGACCGAGGTTGCACCCATAAGACGACACACACAAGAAACAACGCCTTACCTGGACTTGACAACACTTGAAAGATGGGTCAGACTTTGAGTGAGCCTGTGGTTGAGAAAGTAAGTTGCTTCTGTGTTGTTTGTTAGAGACAGATAGCAGCCATTCTCGCGTCACCTCAGCTCCAAATGGGCGACTAAGCGGGGCTCATGCGTGCAGCTTTGCACAATGCTTAGTCGTCGCTCCTCTGTTGCTCCCGCTGTTAATACCATGGGACTAACATGACGCGTTTTCTTCTTTGTGACAGAACTCTGAAGAAGGCTCTGATGAGTGTGTTATCTATGGCCTTTCTGCCATGCAAGGATGGCGCATCAGCATGGAAGATGCTCACTCTGCCGTGCTTGACCTTCAAGCAAAGTACCTGGCTAAAGACCACCACCCAACAGACCCAAGTAAACGCCTGTCTTTCTTTGGTGTTTATGACGGGCATGGAGGTGAACAGATGGCCCTGTACGCGGGGAAAAACGTCTCAAGAATTGTTACCAACCAGGAGACATTCGCGCGTGGAGATATAGAACAGGCGCTGAAAGATGGATACCTTGCAACTGACCGCGCCATTCTTGAAGGTGGGTGCCATTCTACATACGTTCCGAGTGCTGTTCGACTCGGCTATACTGATTCCGTGCGACCTTGTCTTTAGATCCTAATTATGAAGAAGAAGTTTCAGGCTGCACTGCAGCTGTGGCTATTGTCTCAAAGGATAAGATCAGAGTTGTATGCGGCCCACCTAAAGTCTGTACAGTCGGCTTTCTCTATTCGCTGCTAACCTCTTCCTAGGCAAACGCAGGTGATTCCAGATCTGTTTTAGGTGTCAAGGGTCGTGCGAAGCCGCTCTCCTTTGATCATAAGCCCCAGAATGAAGGTGTGCTTTGTTTCTATGCTTTCATATGTCAGTTTCTGGGCTCCTAACCTCCAAATAGGTGAAAAGGCAAGAATTAGTGCGGCTGGCGGTTTTGTTGACTTTGGTCGTGTCAATGGCAACCTTGCTCTATCCCGCGCCTTGGGGGATTTTGAATTCAAGAAAAGTCCGGATCTGTCGCCTGAACAGCAAATTGTGACTGCTTATCCTGATGTCACCACTCATGAGATAACTGAAGATGACGAGTTTCTCGTTATTGCCTGCGACGGTACGCCTTCATGAGTTTTGTTCTCCTCTGCCCGAGTTCTAAAGTTCCTAAGCTAACATATTTCTACCAAAAGGAATCTGGGACTGCCAGTCGTCTCAGGCTGTTGTCGAATTTGTTCGACGTGGAATTGCCGCAAAGCAGGAATTGCACCGGATTTGCGAGAACCTCATGGATAATTGTCTGGCTTCCAACAGTGAGACCGGTGGTGTTGGTTGTGACAATATGACTATGATCATTGTCGGTTTTCTCAATGGTAAAACGAAAGAAGAGTGGTATAACATGATTGCTGAACGGGTTGCAAACAACGATGGACCCTGCGCTCCTCCGGAGTATGGTGAGCTTGATATTACCCAGCCCAGCTCCTTGAACTTTGGCTAACTCGGTTTTCTAGCTCAATTTCGAGGTCCTGGCGTTCGACGTCAATTCGATGACAGCCCTGATGAATACGATCCAGGACTTGATAGCCGGCCAACCGGTCGCAGCGGCAGAATCATCCTCCTCGGTGATGGTACCGAATTGCTGACCGATATGGGAGATGGAGAGATGTTCGAAAATGGGGACAGAGTCTCTGAGCAAGAGTCTACGCGTGAAGTCACTAGCTCTGTTGATGAACCGAGAAACGAACGTAAGGGCACTCCCGGACCTCAGACCAATCACGTTGCTCACTCCAATGGCCCAAGCAACGGATTGACAGCGGAAGCAAGCACCACCGAGATGAATCCTCCAGCCCCAGCTGGAGTCGAGCAGTCTGCCAATGCGTCTACCACCGAAGAGCAACCGAAAACCACCTAAAATGCGTCCGTCTTCTTTCAGTTTATTCTTCGAAAGTAATGATTCTGCATTAACCAGTGTTGGGGGTATTTGACATGAGCTCGAGCTTTGTGACCTTTTCGTGATGGATTTTTCTTCTCCTTTTTCCATTTCTTTGCTTCTTGTACTTGCTGATTATTTTCCCCTGGGCTTCCGTGGCGTGCTTGCGGAGGCCTCATGACGAATACAACTTTCGACTACATACGTGAGCCTTCGGCGCTGCCGTGCACGTATGCTATGCCCTTGTCACCAGCTTTTTCGACTTTTCTTTTCCTCTATGAATGCATTTCCTGTCTTGCCAAAGGAGGTTATTCGATGAATGAATGAGACTCGCATGAAACGACGGGGACCGGGTGGATGAAGGCCAATTAGGTTACTTGCTTTCTGATATCGTGGAGGGGTTCCATCCATTTTTCCTATTCTCTTCCTTTGTTCCCTTTTTCTTTTTGTGTTCCCTTTCATTGTCCGTTATCACCCTGTCGAGGCGTTTACATGGGTTAATTTAATCTTCGAGTGTGCAAGCTGAGGATAAATAGCCTTCTTCCCATTTTACCCTTGTGTCCACTGTTTACCCTATCTTACAGAAATTCCCGGCACCAAGCCCACGCTGTTGCAAAGGGAAACGGTTTCTGCTTGAGGAGGTAGCATACTTTCTTTGAACGGGCCGTGTTTATTTGGTCAAGCGCTGAGGCGTGAAGAATGCAGCGATCCCACAGGCAGGTTGTCGTAAACTCGTCTGTGCGAGCTTGCAAATCCAACCCGCGACGATTCTATAGACACTATGTATCAGTCTTCTTAAGATGAGGAGCAATCAGAGCAAATCAATTTCTCTTCTTTTTACACTTCGCGGCAGGGTACAACCGATGAGGCGGGATATTATGCTACGTAGGCCAAGTGCCGCTTCATCCGTATCCCTGCAAAACAAGATGATCATCATAGCTTTTGAGAAAAAATAAAAATAAGAACTCACCCCCTTTTCCATCATTCTCTATCAGTGGAAAAAAAAAAAAAAAGAAAGAAAAGGCCACAGTGCGCCGTCTAAGAAATTCCAATCCTTGAATCCAGAAATCGCCTTTTTGTTTTCGTTCTGGAGAACAGTTCTCCACCTGCTGTCCGGAATCGCGGGAATGGAGCTCGGGATCCACCGCCATTGGTAAACCTGAGGAAGATTGGAAACCAACACATTTGAAAGTTGAAACCCCCTTCTTCGAACAACCTTTCCGGATCTCGCTCTGTCAGACACTCAATCCTGATTCCTCGGAATAGGACGCGTGCAGAAGGCGACCGAACGTACATCTATCCTTAGAGAACACGCAAATGTCGTCGCCGTCGTCAACGGCCACGAAGCGGAAACGCAGCGTCTCCCACCTACCCGCTCCCGATATCCCCCAGTCATCAACTGCCGAATTGCTTCAGCCGTCATCCCGCGACGCCTCTGGTGAAGAAGGGGATGAATCCGCAGCTCCCAGCACATCCGTGAAACATAAGAAACCCGCCCTTGCTGCCGACACGTCCACCGTTCCACCCTCCAAGCGTCCTAGGACCCGATCTATAATACCTTCAGACTTAGCGGCCCAGACTCTCAACGGCGATACATCGTCAATTAGCAAAAATGATCCAGGCGAGCCGTCGGAGACGACGGAGGCAAGTGTAGACATTGAGCATCGGGTGAAACGTCGATCGGGCTCATTCCGTCAGCCAAGAAATCAGGATGAGCGGATGAAGCCGCCGATGAGAGCGGGTTTGCAAGATCCGGCTGGTTACAAGACCAATCCACCTCCTACTGGACGCCCAGTGAGGGTGTATGCGGACGGTGTATTCGATTTGTTCCACCTTGGGTATGTGTTATACGTCCTTTCTTCCAATTGATACATAATTTTTATTTTGACCGGAATACTGATGGAAATTACAGTCATATGAGGCAGCTGGAACAGGCCAAGAAAGCATTTCCCAATACCCATCTCATCGTCGGTGTGACCGGAGACGCGGAGACACATAAGCGAAAGGGTTTGACCGTTCTGAGCGAGGTTGAGAGGGCAGAAACCGTCCGTCACTGCAAGTGGGTGGACGAAGTTATACCGAACTGTCCCTGGATCGTAAGTCCGGAGTTCCTTGAGGAACACCAGATAGACTATGTTGCCCACGACGATATCCCATATGGAGCAGACGAGGGCGACGATATTTATGCCCCGGTGAAAGCGGCAGGCAAATTTTTAGTCACTCAAAGAACAGAGGGCGTGAGCACCACAGGTATCATTACGAAGTATGTCCTTCTATCCATGCCTTTGTACCATTCAGATAAGCTCCTCTGTTGCTAATACAAACCTTCACTGTCCAGGATTGTTCGAGACTACGAAAAATACATCACTCGGCAACTCAAGCGAGGAACCTCCAGACAAGAGCTTAATGTCTCCTGGCTGAAAAAGAACGAGCTTGAGATCAAGAGGCATGTCATTGAGCTTCGCGACACCATAAAGAATAACTGGTCGTCAACCGGTCAAGAATTAGGCAAAGAACTGAGGCAATTCTGGCAAAGCAGGCCAAATAGCCCTGCTCGACGAAGCTTTGACTTTGGACATAATGGCGTCACAAGCCCAACGGGGAGCGGAAATATATTCGGATTTGGAGGTAACAAGTCACACCTCGATAATTCGAACCGGCCAGAGAGCCCCGGCGTAGGCCGGACAGAGGATTTTGCAACAGGATATAGTTTAGGGTTGATCGGCGGGGTTCGATCATGGGTGAGTCGCATGCTCATCGGCTTCTTTTTTTTTTTTTTTTTTTTGAAATTCTACCCCATTGCTCTTCGAGTCATTCCAGCGTCGAGCTTTCGGCCATTTTGCTTACCATCTTGTTATAGATGATGCGCAGCCGTACTTCTCTGCGTGATACACTCAGCCTCCCAGCATCGCCTTCTGGCAGTGATGAGGAGCGCAATGGTACTGAGGATACGAAGGCTGAGGCCCCCGGGAATTCGAAGGTAGCTACCTAATATTTCATATACTCAACAGAATGGGCAGGACGATTGAGCCCAGGAAGACCGTGTCCTGAACCTAATGATATTTCTGTATAATGGCGTTCGTTTTTCTTGGTAATAAAACGATTGCTTTGCGACTATGTTAGTGGGTAGCTAGGAATCCCTAAATATCCACCTCTAAATGACCCTGTCTATGTATATACACCTTATGCATCTCAGTTTCTGCTAGCATCAATATATAGCCTAAAGGATCGCTTGCCTCGCTTATCCCCGTTTGGGTCGAGACCTACGATTGGAATATTACCTAGAAAGTATATTCAATCATTGGGGACTGAAACCATACGAGATCTATGTGGATGGATGACATGGTATATATGTATAGAGTCCTCCGTACTCCGTATATAGAATTAGTTCGCATCCTTGAAATAGTCCTCGGGATTGAACCGAGTCGCCTCCCAACCAAATCTTCAATACGGAGCACATAGCATTCGGCTCCGTCGGCATTCCTCAATTTGATTTCGTAGCCACGGATCCAGCCAACAGGCTATTAGTCATAGCACTCCTCGTCATCGGAAGCGAAGTTGTAATTTCTACTACGTACGATGTAAAAGATATCTACGACGTGGAGATTCGCGATAAAGGAACCGAACTTCTGGTTTAACTAGCGGAGCGCACATCTTATGGCGCGCAGAATTTTTTTTTCCCCCCTCCCTCGCCGTTACCAACGTAACTAGATCGTCCAAGCCATGACAGTTTCTCCTGTTGAACCTGGGGGGAGTCCCGCGACCGTTCCACCAGACGAGCTCCGAGAAGATTCGGTATCGCGTGTCGAACTGGAAAGCGATTCTGCAGAGCCAGGGGCTTCTCGGCATGACCAGGATTATCAAGGTGCTCCAAACAAACCGCAAGCAGCTCCTCCACGCCCCGACCATCAGAGAAATAAACGCCACGGCGCATACCTGGATGTCACGAATGCCGGTTCTTCACACTCTTCTTCGTCCGATTCCCTAGTCTCTGCACACTTGCTTCCCCCAAACACCGTGCAATCCGAACCTGTATTTGGAGAACCAGTCTCCCCGTCACCATCGCCTGCACCGGAACTCACAGCTGCGTCCCCGCCTCCGAAATTAGCATGGAAGCAAAAAATTACCCGGACGTGGCTTCTGGGTAAGGGGATGCTGATGGTGATGTCGGCGCAGTTTTTCGGTGCATCGATGAATGTGATGACGAGATTGTTAGAATTGAATGGGCCGCACGGCAAAGGGATGCATCCGTTTGAGGTAACAAGCTCATCCCTGCTGGTTGCATCCTAGTCCCCGGAGAGACTAATAGGTGTTTTAGATCCTCTTTGTCCGCATGTCTGCAACCACTTTCTGCAGCTTCCTGTACATGTGGTACACCAGGGTTCCGCAGCCTTTTGGTGCTCCCGACGTTCGAGGCCTCCTAGTTCTCCGTGGAGTGAGCGGCTTCATCGGCGTTTTCGGACTATATTACTCACTTGGCTACCTGCCGCTGTCAGAGGCGACGGTGTTGACATTCCTTGCGCCGATTCTAACTTGCTACGTCTGCTCTTTAATCATGCCGAACGAAACTTTTACCCGCAAACAGCAGCTGGCCGGGATTGCTTCGCTTCTAGGTGTTGTCCTCATTGCCCGTCCAACGTCGCTCTTCTCGAGTATAGTGAGGTCCTCTGCAGAAGGCATCCCTCCGTATAGCAATACCACGTCCCTTCAATCGCCCATTGCCGCAAGAAACGCCATAGTTGGCAAATCTAGCACCGGTCCCGACTCCGACTCGACACAGCATCTCATAGCCATTGGCGCAGCTCTCGTCGGTGTTCTTGGTGCCACATCAGCATACACTTCCATCCGCAAAATTGGTCAACGAGCCCATCCTCTTGTAAGTGTAAATTACTTTTCCACCTTGACCACGATCATCTCCACTATCGCCGTGCTGGTGCTTCCTAATGTATCGTTCCGTCTCCCTGCCAATGTCACGGAGACTTTGCTCCTCTGCGGTCTGGGCATCTGCGGCTTTTTCCTGCAATTCTTGCTCACAGCTGGGCTGTCGTATGTTCCTCCGCCATCTGTTGTAGGCGGGAATGGCGCAGGATCCGGGAAAGGTAGCTCGCACGGCTCGCGGGCTACAAATATGGTGTATACCCAGATGTTGTTTGCATTGTTTTATGATAGGATGATTTGGAATTCAATGCCGTCGGCGCTGAGCTGGGCTGGGTCCGGGATTATTCTTGCCAGCGCGATTTATGTCGCGATTGCGAGAGATGGGAATAGGCAAAGTATTCTGGCGAATGTGAAGCATGAGGGTGAAGAGGAAGAATCTGCAGATGGGATTCTTGCGGGTGCTCGTGGTGATGATCTGGAGAGCGGGACTGCTAGGGCGAAGGTCGTGTTCCGGAATGATGGGTGCGAGGCGGTGGATGAGGAAGAGAGGAGAAGCTTGCTGCATGGTCATGAAAACGACAATGATGACGATGAATATGACGAAGGCGAACGAGCGCAGGAATATACGCTGCCACGATGATCTATGAATAATGATGGATATGACCACCCAATGCGAACGGGGTTAATGAGGATGTATGATGGGGATAAGTTGGGTTCGGACTCCGCGATGGATATTTGTCCGACCCATACCAAAAGAAATAACGATTGCGGGCTTATAAATCTATATAGAAGATGTCTTAGTTAACTAGAATGTATGTACCGTACTTTTGAGCCTACGGCTTAACAGTGTTCGTTTTTGATGACCGAGAATCAGGGCAGTCCACCATAGCAAGGAGTACAGAAGCAAGTCGGTATTACGTTGCGCCAAACGTGAACAAATCAGAGCAGCTACGCTCAGGCAGTTCCCTTGTATATCAATTTCGATTTATTACTGGGATTCTTGCCGTTCGCTGCTCAGCCTAAATTTCTACAAACTGAACTAAAGGAGCTTCGGGAGATGCAAGACAACTTGCTGCACGAATGCCTTTTTGTCATTCTGAATTTCAAACATACATATTATACTACGTGGGCTCTTCGCAGACTCCAAGTCCAGCACAGGCGCCCAGGGAACATACCACTTATCTATGTAAAGGTGAAAGTATCTCCGCCCTTCTCCATCATCATGCTTCCTATCCTCTTCGTCCCTACGACTCTCTCTAACTTTAGCGCATCCCACTTCGAAAACAGAGCACGCACGCCTTTTTCTGCTGCTTCCCCAACCGCAGAGGGGTCCAGTCCCAAGAAAGCCACAATCTCCCCGTAGAATAGAGGGTTATCGGGCACACCGTACATGATCACGCGCTTAACACCGCGGATCTTGTAGCGGCGGAAGTGGTGTAAACGCTCTGTATAGAGAAGTACAGAATGGCGGCCATTCATAAAATAGCTTCGGGCGCGAGCTACATCGCGGACAGAAGTGTACTCCGAGATTGCGCCAAATGAGAGATTGGTGGTTTGCGAGGAAGTGGCAAGGTAATTCCGAATACGAACGAAGTCGAGATACGAGGGTATAAAAATCAGGGTCCCTGAGGCAGAAGACTTTCCGGAGCCAGACCAATTCTTCGCGAGGGACGAAAGAACGGTGTTGGTGAAATACTTGAACCGAGTCTCTGGGTCCTTGACGGGAGACAGAGAGTCGAAACGCGAGAAAGTTTGTTTGACGGGCACTGGAACGGGTAGATCGAGAATCGCGCCCTGATATGTGGTGTTTATTTTGACTTTTCCAGACACGTTTTGAGCGTAGGTGGAATAGACCGAGTTAATTTCAGGAGACATGAAGGATGTGAAAATAAGTGTTTGGCGGAGGTATTTGGCGTTTCCATCAAGGTACCATGTTCTGACCCGACTGAAATCACACCCATGGGCTGCTTTTGGTTGCAGATTCAAATGCGAGAACACATATTCAACGTGATCCCAGTTCTGCATAAGAAGGGCGTCAGCATGATCGACAACGACCAGTTCAATAGATGACAGAAAATCATATTCTTGCTTCTTCCCACTGTGAATAGTCAGCGGCGCATCAGCAGGAGTGAATACGGTGTTATCCTTACTCTTCCTTTTCCATTGCAGTTCGCAAGCCGAGTGGACTCGCGAGGATGATATCGGAGTTGTAGAATTGGGTAAAATATTTCATCGTTTTCCTGGTGAACTTCAGACCGAGCCTGAACATGTCATCATCGTTACCACCAAATAGCTCCTGGAAGTCTTCAGGTTTGTCTTCCCAGGACTTATCATCGGTTTCAGAAAACGTCTCTAAGAATCGCTTTTTATTTTCTTGCTGGTCGGCTCTATAAAACTTAGAGATTGAATCTACGACCCGCACACAAGCTTGTCTGGTAGGGAGCAGGATCAGAACTTTAGGCCGCGTGAAGCCTTGATCTCTCATTTCAACGTCTTCTCCTTCTTTAGGGACACGCGAATTATTCTTAACCACTCGATCTCGAGTTTTAATTATGTGATTCAATGCATGCAGGCAGTACATGTCTCTCAGGCTGGCTGCATTTTCCGTAGTTCGGGCACCATAGAGCATGTCATAATAGCCAAAAATATAGGGTGCGATGCTGCTATTTTGGGCGTTAATTTGTGACATGTGCTCCGATGCGGTTTCCGATAGCTTGCGTTTGAGTGGCAAATCCTTTAAGCTATGTAAGGGAGGCAGAGCCAAGGACTGTTCATTGCCCGCGTATGGATATGTTGCCGTAATTCGCATGCCGGAAGAGAGTTGATGCTTGCTTGTTTGCCATGTTTTGGTAGAGGCTTCGATCCGTTTGGATAACCGAGCTTCATCGGGCTGAGAAAAGTGTGCTTCGAAAGGGTCAGAACCTACGTTTATTGTTAGCCGGATGCTTCTCAAGACAAGCAAGATAATAGGGCCATACCAGCGGCTGCGTCACGATCAGCTTCGTCAATTCCATCGTTTTCATCCCCACTTTCGCTCTCATCATCTGATGCCTCCTTGACGTCTAGATCGTCCTGTAGTTCCGAGTCGACCTCTCTTGGTATCGATCTCTTCACCTTGTCCACTTGGTCTTCCTTGCCATTATCTTTATTCTTATGTTTTAACTTTCGTTTCTTCCTGGCTGGCCCATTTGGATCTGCGCCAACATTCAGCAGCTGAAGGAGGGCATTGTAGGGTTTCGCGGTCAGTCTTTCCTCTTCCGCGCTATCGGATGAAACTACCGAGTACTCCGCATCGCTAGCTTCGTCTAGCGACTCGTTGTCAAAAGCATCTGGCCCCTCGCTTGGGGAATTATCTTGACTTCAAAAAGGCGGTTAGCTGGAGGAACTTGTGGGTGGAAAAGTATTGGACATACTCAAGGTCCTGCACTCGAGAAGTTTCAAATTTCGGCAGCTTTCTCCTAGGAGGGCCTCGCCTGGCGTGCGCACCTTTGACAGCCATTGTCAATGATTCCCGCCGGGGTAAAGCAGTGTTGTTGGCCTTCCACGCTGACGCTCGTGGTGGTAGGCTTTTTTTTTTTCGTTAGATGATCTTATCTTATCTTAGCGTGAAATTTCCACACTGGAATCCGCACACACAAGACATTCAACATCACGACAAAGCGACCGACCAATCCCGCCCCCCCACGCCCTCCAAATCTTGCCTGATACCTCGCATCCGACAGGCACTATTCTTTTTTTTTCTGCTGCTTGCAATCATGGCTGACACTGGATCGTTTATTCATCTGGCACGGCCCTTGGGTCCGGCCACCGTCGGAGTTGCTCCCAGCACTGCCCCTCTCAACGTTGTTATACAACCACAGGTAAAGCCTCGAAAATGCGAGCGGAAAAATTGAACATAACTAAATTAACACATATATACAGGCAATTTTCTCTATCCTTGATCATTCTTTGCGCCGAAATGCTGACCAAGAACGCGTCATTGGCACCCTTCTCGGTACCCGATCGGAAGATGGCACCGAAGTTGAAATCCGCACTTGCTTTGCTGTCGGTCACACGGAGACTACCGATCAAGTTGAGGTGGACATGGAATATCAAAAACAAATGCTTGCGCTGCACTTAAAGGCCAATCCTAAGGAAGTTCTCGTTGGTTGGTACGCCACTTCGTCGGAACTGAACACTTTTTCTGCCCTTATTCAGAATTTTTATGGAGGTCAGGGAGATGGGACGTGGCCTCATCCTGCTGTGCACTTGACTGTTTCTACCGAACCCGGAAAAGATATTGAAACTCGGACGTATATCTCTGCGCCAGTGGGCGTTACTGCTGAGAGAGCAGCTGACAGTGCTGCGTTCATTCCTGTTCCATATGAGATCCGCTACAGTGAGGCGGAAAGAAATGGTTTGGAGGCTATTGCGCAGGCAAGAGATGCAGAAGACCGGGCATCCAGTTTATTTACCGATATTGAGACCCTCGAGAAGTCGATTGAAGAAGTCCTCGGCATGATCGATAGAGTATCGAAATATGTCGAGTCGGTTATTGATGAAGAAGCACCCGCTTCAACGGCTCTTGGCCAGTTTTTGCTCAACGCGCTTGCTCTGGCACCAAAGGTTGATCCGGCCGATATTGAAAGTGACTTGTACGTTGTTTACCCTTGCCGTTTCATGCGAACCCGTTTAAAAACTAACTTCTGGCACAGCAACAAACACATCCAAGACATCCTCGTCGTTTCGTATCTCGCAAATACTATCCGTACCCAAATGGAACTCTCCAACCGGCTGGCTACCGCCCAGCTCACCCTTGGAGGTGGCGACAGTACGGCCATTGGTGGTACAGGTGCTGAAAGCGGAGGTCAGCGTGGTGGCCAGCGCAACAACCGCCAACGAGGCGGCCAGCAACGGAATCAAGCTGAGGAATTGCGAGCATAATCCACCTAACCGTCAATCCCTCTTAACGAACGACCTTTAAACCACTCAATCTCACCCTTCCTATCCTCACCTGCCCTCTTGGCCATGAATTAATTACATACGGAGGCCCTGGACTGCTAGACACGATGTTTCCTCGGGAGCTAGCGGTTTCTCCATGCTCTTGGGAACTTCGATGGATCGCAGTTATTTATTCTAACCTATTCGGCTGTGGCTGTGGCTAAAAGCAAGGCGTCTTCGGAGTTGCTGTGCCATGTTTCTGGTTTGTTGGTTTATGCCAGCCGATGCCCATGGGAATCTTTTGGTATTCTTTGCTTGAGGAGGATCGCGAACAGATTTTTGAATTTCTCTGCATGATGGATCATGAAATATGAGGCATGCATGTATAGACCAAATGAATCATTTGCAATTCAATTTTACAGTCACAATCCCTACTTGAATTGCTCCCGGAGGGACGCACGCAGAAAAAAAGCCCAAATACACCTAGCAGTTACGCCATTCTCATGCAGTCCCTGATCAAATGCAGAAAAGTGTGCTAAATCGCGAGCCATGTAACCCAGATGTCATTCGCATGCTTGATCTTTCTCGTAACGCCTGACTCGCCTGTGACTGAGACCCGTATCCGTTGAGCATGTTCCTTATCTATTAAACGCTGGTTCCCAAGTCCCTTAAAAACGCCATCATTGCATCGTGGATATCGCTGTGTCGTAGAAAATTTAAGCGGTTGATTCTGCTTTAACAGTCGAAACCTTGCGCTTCTTTCCTGCCCCACTTTCTGAAGCAGCAGTCTCCATACCGGCAGCACGCTTCTTTCCCTTGCCCTTTTTCTTTCCGGCGGCAGCATTAGTACCATCCACGACGGTTTCTGCTCCCTCGCCATCAGAGCCAACAAGTCCCTCAATTTCCTTTCCAGCGGTCGCGTCTTTGCCGACTCGATCGTCGTTCTGATCAAAGGCCTTGCGGGCTTCTTTCAATTCCTTTTCTAACTGGAAGAGTTCTTGGACACGGCCGAGCTTAGCAGCATCGCGACGAATGACGAACATGAAATCGTCGACCTTGACTTTCTGGCGGCCAGCATGGGCTGCGACTTGGGCTGCCGCGTGGCAGGTTTCGATGATAAAGTCGGTGACGATCTCATCGAGAACGCGAACGGTCTCCGGGTTGGGTTCCTGAGGAAAGTCGGGATGAGGGGCGTTATCGCCAAAAGCGCGTAGGAGCTGTCGAACTGAAGATAGTAGAAGAGTAAGTATGAGTAGACATGTTTGGATAAGTGGACTGCACCAGTAGCAGCGCGTTCTCGAGCTCATTAGGAGAAGAGACAAGCAAAGAGTTAAGTTAACCAAGTCAACAGAAGGAAGGCTTACGCTCGTTGCCAAAGTTTAGCTGAGCATGGTGCCGGGTCAAGCGCACGCGTGGCTCCGACATCCCGCTGGCCTGGACAGCTGCGGCAGCCAAGTCTTGTTCGGCGGTCTCTTCGCTGTTTACAAATGCGAGGGTATAGTGCTCGTAGAGTCCGGGAGCAGGAAGGATCGCGTACGAATGGTCGCCGTGTTTGAAGGTGAGAGGCTTGGAAGTTTTGGGAAACGGAATCCAGTTTCCTGCTGGAGGAGGAGGAGGAGCAGAATGCTCAGAGTGTTTGTGATGGGCAGCATCGTTACTTTCCATGGTCCTTAGTAAGGTGGTTTAGAGTCAACTAGCGCGAAGCTGATTCACCAATAGTTAGTTAGCCGCGCGGTTAGGAAATAGGCGCAAGATGACCCACGCCAGACACCCAACTGCAAAAGACACCTTCACAACAACCGGGTAGGAGAAAGGAAAGAGAAGAAAAGAAAGAGAAAAGAAGTTTTTGAGCCCAAGAGGATCCAAACACGAGCCACAATGGTAAGTTCCTTTACCTAAAGTTCCTGATTCCTCTCAGCAGACCTAGCCGCCGACATCAGCAGTGATGCCAGAACAGCCGCTTGTCCACTATGCGTGAAACATCTTACTGACAATTGTCTGATCAGACTGCACTGTTCAACTTCCAATCACTCCTCCTAGTTATTCTCCTAATCATTTGCACGAGTACTTATGCGCACTCAATAATGCCCGGGATTATGGACCGAAACCAGAATGGGTAAGCTTCCACCGTTCAGACGCTGCCTTACATCGACTGCAACCAGGTTTATGAGGAATAGCAAAGATACTACTGAAATCACTGTAGCCAAATGCTGATGCTGTTGTTTCTAGATTCTTTGGGATATTTTGGAAATGCGCCAGGGTTGGAGAACGGCTGAGTCCGTACGTGAGCTTATGCTGTATTGCCATGGCTGTAAGTCCGCCGAGCGCCTTAGAAGATCAACCCAAATGCAGTTCCTTATTTGCTCTAATGGGAACACAGGTTTCCCTTTTCATCGGCTCTTAGAATGTCTTGCAATTCCCTAGTCACACGTTCTACGATGTCAAGCGGGTTCCGGCGTTGGGAGTCATAACTCACTTCGAAGCGGTTTATCTTACATCATTATAATGCACGAAGGACTAAACTATCCTGACTGCAACATGTCTGATGCATGGGATGCTTGGGCATTCAATTGGCCCGCTGCTACACAATGCGATCCTCTCATGGTCGGATCATATAGGCATCTTCGGAAGGGTTCCTCTCCTTGATAAACGGCCCTCGCCCCCTGGGCTTTCCTATCGCACGCGTTGGGAATTGGCACCAAAATGGTTTACTATCTCCAGTGGCCCGTGGCAGCCGTTATTCTTCGCTCGCCTAAATGAATTTCAGGGCAGGAATGCACATAACACGTGTCCAACCCATACCAAGTCTTTCTCCCCGACCTATTCTTGCGTCGCTGACCCCAAAATCCTCAAACTCTCATCTTTCGGACCTGTTGAGCTGTAGGGTATACCTATGCATTCCTCTCCGATCACCAACTTTATATCATGGCTTGCATCCATATCATATGATTCCATACTAGCATTCCATGGATTTGGGACCTTTCGTTTTCTTTTTCTTTTTTAATCCCTCCGCATGCAAGAGGCGCAGGAGAACATGTAGGCAAGGGTTTCTCATGATTAGGATTGGCTGTAAATACCATATTTCGTCGGTTTGTTTAGCATGCTTTCCGTCAACTTGGTTTTGCAATGTCTCTCAAGTCATGAAATTTGGGTGGCAGGGTCTGCTTGGAAGTTCCTTGCACATGGAAGATTGATGACCTCGGGGAAATATAGGGCCAACATGTGTGAAAACCGATAGCAAAGTTACCACGGTATGCATAAATTTTGCTCATTACACATATCATGAGTAATGCCCTGTGGGGTAAGCTCTGTTGACGTTTAGCTCTTCAGTCAAGTGAGCTTGTTCATCCAAAACAAGATCTTTCACCAAATTTTGACTTGACTCTCTTGGAATGTGCCCATTGGAATTGCTGTCCTGCTTTTCTTCACGCTGATCAATTAATGTCAGAGTTTCCGGATCCACGCCGGCTTTTTCTAGCCCTTCACGAAGCCGCCCTTGATCCTGGACCGCTTTAAGAGCCTTGATAGTATATCTGTTGGGAGTCAAGTCATCCAACAGCATTTCTTTCAGCCCCTGGGTAAACTTCATAACCAATCCCAAATCTGCATATCCTCGAAGCATCACATTCCACGCCGGGACGTCCATTTGCGCTCCACATTCCTGCATCATCTCACGAATTATATCGGCAACTTCTAGTCTCCCATGGGCCATTGCACCAGCCAGCAGAATATTCCAAGTCACCATGGATGGACGAGCTTGCTGAATCGGTCTATTTTCTCCTCTAAGGATTGCCGTCTCTGGGAGGGGGTCGTACATATTTCGAACTATCGTTATGGACTGACTGACCATGTCTCTATCTCGACGAAGCGCCATCAGAAACGTATCGTAGACATGACTAGTCTCCGCTAATTTGCCAATAGGATTGTGGCCATGCCGGACAAGCTCGCAAAATCGGTCATAGACTTTAAGGGTAATTGCTGAGCTATTGCGTAGCTGGAGATAGGCAGCAACCATGATAACCAAGGCATGCGATGACGGAGAGGAGCAGTTGTCCCGGACAGTTGGCTCTCCCTGGATTATGCCAAGGTCTTTGAGTGGCTGAGGATCATGCCCTTGGCAATAAACCTGCATCATCTTTTTGAAAACTTCGGGTATATTCTCGGGCGTAGCCGCCTCATACAGCCCGTGCAAAACCTTGCTAATAATATGAGGCTCCCGTGCTATCTCGGGATTCGACGCTATCATGCGACGGCATGTTTCCACTCTTAAGGCATCACCGCGCGTTGTGGCATCATTAAGCAACATCATAACCGCATAAGAGTCAGGCAAGACTTTAGAGTAGTTTAGAATATCCCAGGCCATATCCGGATCGTCCATTTTCAAAGCATTTTGAATAACAACATTTAAAATCGCGCGTTGAGGTTCTATACCAAGACCCAACACTTCGGGGAGAAGTCGAAAACTGCGAATTCCGTTTTCATCACACGTGCTGTCTAAGCTAAGGAGCTTACAGCAATGACGCACGATCTCCTCTGACTGGAGTGAATCCCGGGAAGTAAGTCGGGAAGGGACTAGCCGTAATGCCCGAAGGGAATTTTCCGCATCAGCAAATTCATAGAAAAGGTCCATGAGATATAGCAGAGTTTGAGGCGGCACGTAGACTTCACTCTGGGCGATCTTTTCAAAGGTCTCCCTCAATTGGTCTGGTTCGCAATGCTTAAGGTACACGTGTATGCCTCGTTGGGAGGCGCTTATAACTGGCCATCGATGCGGGCCGATAAGAGAATGCATTGTGCTGTGATAATGATGCTTATTTTCCGGAGTGGACGTCAAGTCCTTGTAATAGAATGCGTCGAGATACAGAAAACATTCAGACACCATGGAAAAAGAAGGAGAAGGCCATTGGTCAGTAGATTCCAAAAACGTCAGAACATCGCCTGGTGAGTTCAACAAGAGCCAAAAGGCGATATCCGGCCACATTAGGCGCTTAGTCGCCAAGGGCAACTCGGACCAGAAGCTCTTACCGCTGCTCACACTGCTGAAATGTTTAGCCCAGTCTGCCACGACTGGCCATTTTTGCACCCTAAGTAGATTCCAAATCTCGACACTGGGCATGCCGGCATGCTTGTTTGCGAAGCAATTATCAAAATTCCTCTTCCAGTCTTGACGGACGATGGTATAGGGGTAGAGAGAATTCCACCTTGCTTCAAACTCAATGCCATAAGTTCTTGGATTAAAGGCAAACCCAGGGAGAGCATCAGCTTCCTCTGCCAGACATTCATCTAGCTGGCGGCGCTTCAGTTGGATTTTTGGTAATGTCGCACCCTGACTGTCAACTGGACGCCAAAGACGCGCGTCTCGCTTTTTCATTCTCTGTATTCCTTCTAGTAAACTCGTCTTGGTTTCACCAAGGGAGTCCTGAAGGGAAACGTGCGAATCGGATTCGTATAGCTCAGTTCCATTATCCTTTTTTTGAGTAATGTTAGAGATCCGATTCGACGGGGGTTCCTGCAGAGCTTGGGGCGCGGATTGGCCAAGACGTTGCCTTAATCGCCGAGACACTGACGAGAACGCAACATGCCTGGGTAGAGAAGGCCCATCTTGCGGGCGAGAGGGAGGAGACTTTTGGGTTAAGGGAGACAACTCCCCCGTGGAGGGTGAAGGGGAGGCCATGGATGAACAACCTCGTTTTTGGTCATGGGTCGGGAAAAGATATTTCTCTTCATCGCGCTCTTCGAAGTCAGGATTCTGTGTCGTTGCTGCTTTCGCTCCCGGTAAACCAACGCATTCTGAACTGTAGGAAAAGGACTGAGAAGTAGGAACACGTCTATCCGATATTTGGGCGCTTTTTAAGGCTTTGGGGTGCCAATTGGAATGTCGGGGTCGCAAACCGCGAATCCGGACAGAAATGCCATTCATGGAGGTATCGAGTGACACAAATTGCCCATGCGAATGGATTCTTTTGCGGAAAGGACTCTCGAAAACAGAGCAATCTTGTAATCTAGGATCCTGGTGGACAGCTTTGACGTAGCAGTCCGACTAACTACTCCGTACAGCCAATTTTTTTGACGCGAGCGCGAGACAGCAAGTTGGCCAGTCAGCTTTCCTCCAAGGCTTGGCATTTCTGTGGCTGGTTACTTCGCGAGTGTGGCTACGGAGCTTGCTCTCACCGCAGTTTTTGACCACGAAGCAAACCAGCTACAGGCCTTGCTAACTTTCAGCTCTCTTTGCTACTTTCAAATTTTACATCTCTCACCGTTTGGGTATGGCGTCCACACATGCCAATCTCGATGCGGCCTCGGTGGACCGCAAAACGCGGCTTGCAAGGCTTGCGGCACTGAAAAGAAAACAACCAGAGTCTGATGCGAAAGAATCCGGTCCAAAGGAGGAGGAACATTCGGAGGACAAGTCCGTCAGCATAACCTCACGATACCTTTCTGGAAGAAACTATGACCCAGAAACACGAGGTCCCAAACTTGGCTTCGAGAACGCGCCTACGGAGGGGCAAGTCACCTTGGAGGAACAGGCAGCGAAGATCGCGATATCCACCGCAGAGGCTGCCAAAGAGGATGAGGAGGTGGATAAACCTATCGATTTGTTCAAACTACAACCCAAAAAGCCGAATTGGGATTTGAAGAGGGATCTTGACGCAAAGTTGAAGATTCTCAATGTGAGGACGGAGAACGCGATAGCACGTCTTGTCAGAGAACGGATACAGAATGCGCAAAGAAACGCTAAACAGAAGACTAAGGCCGGCGACATGGATGGAGAAGAAATAGGCATCGAAGGCGAAGCCTTGCTGGAGGGAATGCATGCACGCGAGCGGGAAGAAGAGAAAGAGAGAAGGGAGCGAGCAGAAGAGGACTTGAGCTAGAACTTCACCGCCACAAACGACATGGCGGATCTTTTTGACGTCCTCTGCTTATACGAGCTTTTACCGGCTGCAATGGGATGGAGCATCGGAGCCAAGGCTACTCGAGATATCAAGATGTCATAGTTTCTAAAAGGATATATGGTACATTGCCGGTTGTTAACGTTATAAGCGTGATCCTCCTTGGCGCCGAAATAATGATCAAAATGCAGACGACAACGCACGCGGCAAGTGGAAAGAGAAAAAAGGAAAAAGGGAAAAAGAGAAGCCAGCATGCAAAGTGAGAAACAAAGAACGTTCACTTGCGGTGGAACATAATTTTCACGTCCTCATATTCATGGCTTGCGTCAAGGCCAGCCGCTTACTGTACGGGCTCAAGCTTCGCCTTTCGGGTTGAGGTGCCTCACGTCTCATAGTGTCATCATCTCCCCGTCTGTCCTTCGCGGGAGAGCGCATGCGACGCCTGATCCTGGATCTGCTAGGACTTGAACCTGGAGAAGGTTTTCTATACCCCTGAACAGGGCTTGGTTCATTCCACGTTGACGGTCCGTTTTGGTTCGCTGAGGGTGTTACCGAGCGCCTCTCTCTCGCAATCCTGCTCCTATCCATGCTTCGACTATCAGATCTACCTCTCCAACTCCTTCTCCTCCTTGGATCGCACCGTCTTCCCCGTTCGCTAGGGCTTTGCGACTTCCACTTGCGTCGAATACGGCGGTCGGTTTCACGCGAGCGCGAATGCGTTTCCGCATCTGAATCGGACGAAAAATATGATTCACTTGATGAACTTCTTGCTTTTCTTTTACGCTCATCCGTCCGGAAGGGTGATGGGGACAAGTCGTGCCGTCTCTTCGGAGGGGAGGACCGCGAGCGGTTGGTGGATATGGTGGAAACTGAACTCGAAGATCTACTCGACGAGACTGAAGGGGACCGCGATTTCGGCCTTCTCGTGCTAGACCGCGTGACATCCCTACTTGAATTTCTTTTGCTAAGGTGTATCTCCCCGTCCTTTCGGTTAAGGAGACTGCTTGGTGGTCCTTTTCTAGAAATGTCGCTTGTTAGACTTGTATGGACATTAATATTTGAGGTAGCCACACATACAAAGTCGAGGCTTCTGTTGGGATTTCCGTTGATAGTGGCTGTAGCAGCTTCGGGTTCGCTAATTGCTGGGTTCTCGATGGGCGCGACGTATATGGACGTTCTTGTGGAGTCACATTGCATTCGTAGCTGTAGTGACGTTTGTAACAGTCAGCACCAATAAAGTCTGGAATATGAGGAGTGGAGACATATCTCTTTTCAAGCATTTTTGACAGAGGGTATTCGGAGTCGCTTTCGACGGACCCCGGAGCCCTGGAATATTGCGATATCGGTTCATCCCACTGCTTGGTTCAAAACAGTGTTGCTCTTGCTTGTCGGTTCTGAATCCTGTCGCAAAAGTGTGGAGCGGAGCGGAACAAAGCACGGTAGACAGACTGCGCAGATGTCTCCGCGGTGATATCTCTTCTTCTAGTTATGCCTTGCTTTACCTGCCAACTGTGCAGCCTTGAAAAGTGACAGGAAGCGCAGCTCAGTCCTTATACCAGCTACCTACCGCAGCCGCCTCTGTTTTCTTCCAGCCCGTTCGGCAGCCCCAAAGCAGGGTCGATGACTAAGCTTTCACCGATGACATAATCACCACCTCCCCACAGCTGCAGCCGCCAAGCCACCTGCGCCCAACCTTTATCGACTTTGTGCACTTCCTCCTTTCCGCTGCCCACGCTTCAACGGCCTAGATTTGCGCCTTGACAGCATCACTCCTCTTTACTGCTGCCGCAGAAGACATCATTTCTGGTTGTGCACAGTATGGTTTGATGCTCACAAGGCACTCTACCAGGTTGCACAATCTTTTTCAGCCTCAAAGAATTCTTTCTTGCAGCCCTTGGGACTGGCCAGTGATTCAGCAATCATCTCCTCACCTTACCCTGTTAACTCTTTTCCATGGCGGATATCCATGTCCAAAGATATGTCGTCTGTTTTTCTGGGTTTCTGTGTGGTGGCTTGTCCTATTGACCCTGTTTCTGCTGTATGATCATTTGTTGCGTCTGTGAGCGGTTCTGCCAGGGCGATACTGGTCTTTCATATCTACTGGGGTTCATTATCCTTTTTTAAGCCTTGCCATGGCTTCAAACACAGCTCAATTTACTAGCCAATTATCATTTGCAAAGGTTTGTTTTGCTTATAAACCTCTTCCTTGATGTTGATCTTCCTCGCTAAGATTCTCCTTGCTAGGTTGCAATGATGAGCCCGCCCCTTGACCAACGCATTTTGGCCTCTCATCCGAATACCAAGTCTGCCAAAGCCATTTCCACCATGCCAATGGGGACCGCTCCCGTGGCTGATCCTTCCGATCAGCAACCTTTACCATCTGGTGATATCCCCAGTCCGCAAATGGACGATCTGTCGAGAGGGGTAGAACTCCTCCATCTGTCGAGCGAAAAAGAAGTGTCAGGTGGTTTAGAGGCTTCTGGAGAGGATGGTCAATCAAAGAATGAAGGAACATCTGATGATGACCAAACCCACTTATCCAGCTCTTCTACGAAACCAACGAGTTTTGACTCCAAGAGCATGGCTTCCGTAACAACTTTCGCCATGGATGAGAAGGAGTCCTTACGGCCCGACGATAGTGCGAGCGTTCAAGCGATAGAAGAGGATGATTTCTCTGGGTCTGCTTCCGGCGCACCTAATTCTCAAGTTGGCTCAGAGGGTAGTGCTCGTCTAAACCGTGTTAATCAGTTAGCCATGGCCCAGCGATTCTCCGGCATGGCACCGACTAATATTTCACGACTTAGCGAAGGATTAAAAACCTTTCATGGGGATTCAGCCACAAACCCTCCGAATGAGCGAAGCCTTCATGGTTTCCCCAACGAACCGGACGAGAAATTGCTTGAGGCAATGCGCTCACCGAAAGATAGATTACTTATACTACAGCTTGAAGAGAAAATTATCGCCTTCATCAAGAACCCTAGGTTAGTTTGGCCCTACAACCTGGTGTTATAAGCGAAGCTGATGACCTTTGCAGCGAGCAATCATTAGAGCTCCCTCCTTGTAACGCTTTCGGTCGCTTGCTAGCCCATAAATTGGGTGATTATTACCACCTAACTCATTTTGTGGATAACAATGTGACGTCGGTTCGTCTTCACCGGACGCCGTGGTGCAGGCTGTGAGTTGATCCTATTTTAGTATAAGTTTGCTATCTTGAGGCTAATAGTGTTAGTCCTACCCCCTTATCGGCACTCTATGCTGCCGATGCTATGAGAACTCCACCTCCAGCTGTTCCAGCGATGAAAATCATGCGCCGCGTTGGTCAACCTGGGACGTCAATATCCGCGGGAGGTAGCACTGCGCCTAGCTCATCAGCCCCATCGAAAGCTACTTCGGAAGCAGGGGCAGAAGGTTCTGGCGAAGATGGAACGGAATCGTCCATAGCCGCTACTCCAGCAAAAGAGCGCCAAACATTGACACGAGAGGAACGCGAAGCAAAGTATCAAGAGGCTCGCGAACGAATATTCAGGGATTTTCCGGAATCCAAACCATCAGACAGCCCCAATAGTGGCGAGCATAGCTCAAATGTCTCCAGGTCTAACTCCAGGGTCGGTCGCAAGAAGCATAGACAAAGAACACCTCACGATGATGGCTTTGAGGCGAGATCGCAGTTTAGTACCTACTATGGTGGTGTGCAGTATTCATCCACGCAGATACCTTTTGGGGGAATTGTGCACGATGCTTCCTTTGTCCCGCAAAGCAGCTACATGTTGGGACAGCCGCCAGCCGCGGGGTTGAATTTCGCCCAAAGTAATCAGACCACATCCATATATCCGCCTCATGCCAATCCTGGCGTTTTTCCACAGTATCCCGTTGGTATGGCAACGCAAGGCAATTGGCAAAATGGACATATGCCAGCCGCCCAGTATGCAAATTTCCAACAGGGCAATCAGCTCCCGATGATGTCACAGCAGTCGTCTACGAGATCATCCCCGGCAATGAGCTCTTATGCCCTGCCAACTGGCATCCAGTATCCGCAGTCTCCTCCTTCGTGGAACCAATCTACATACCAACCTGGCTATTCGTCACCAACAGGGCAAAGGAATTCCCCAGCTGTACACTGGCCCAACGTTCCACCTAATTCAATCAATCAAACCCCAATGACTTATCCGTATGGTCAGTCTCCAAATCAAGCATATTCACAGACACCCGCGAACAATGGCACTCCGAACCCCTTGCCAGGGAGTTTCATACGATCAACGTTTAATCCCCAAAGCAGATCATTTGCGCCCGGTGCTGGAATCCCTCGACACAAATACTCAGACAATGTTACACCCTCCCAAGCTTCCAGTACCTACCCAACCATCAGCCAACAATGGATAGCGCCTCAGGAGAATATGAACCGATTCCCACCAAAAGGTCCGGGACCTCAGCCTAATGCCAAATCTCCGCTACCTCAATCATCGGGCCAAGGTAGACCGGCCGATAACCAAAATTCGATTGCAAAATGGGGTACGCCTTCGCATCTTCCACCAAAGCCCCCACCTTCTGAGGTGCCTTATGATTTTGATCGAATGCCTCGGACATCAACCGTTCCTTCGCAAGCCTATACAAATAATACATCGACTCTTTCAAAGCCAGCCGCATCAAAGTCCGGTCCTTTGGTGGTAGGTGGGGCTGCGCCTCAGAATTCTCGGTCTCATGGAGCTTAGGCTACAGTGTTGTAGCAGTTTCCTTGCATGCTTCGGTATGTCAACATCCCGGTTATCTAATCTAGGACATCCGTTTATCTAACAACCACACTAGGCGCATCAGGGCATCTTCTGGTTATGGGTAACGTTACACATGTCAACACATAATGTTCACAGGTCGGCGTCTCATGGTTCCTGGTTTATGATTTCCTCCTTGAGAAAGGATTGCTTTTGCAAACCATGGAGTTCTCAAATGAAATTGTGGGGTAAAAATGGGGGATATGATTGATATAGAGTAGCTGCATGAAAAACTCGAGTCTTTTCTTAGACCTTTGCCATGTCCATTTCTTCATCTACATATACCCTATATTGCACCCCCATGACATCCTACTCCTCGTTGAGTTTGTCGTTTGCTATTAACTTTTTAAAAGTCTTCAGATTACCACAAGCACAAACATATCTTTCGATTGGGATCAAAGGGCCACATTCCTTCATAAGACTATAGTTCCCAATGACAATGTCAATGTCAATGATCATAACCAAAGCATAGACCTTGGGGATAATATAGAGCCCCAGATGCAAATATCTAAGCAAATCATCCACCATGCAAGGTATTACTCTGTGTTCAACATAATTTCAGCTAGATATATAATATACAGAAAAAGAGGCATCACTCTAAAACGCCATCAGTGCGAAAATCTTGGTCAAAAAGAAGACAAATTCCCCCCATTCATTCATACACCACGCTTCAGCAAGTCTGCCTCAGCCCTTTTGACTTCTTCTTCTAGTGCCTCCACCCCGTCTTTCCTGAAGCGAGTAACCTTCTTAACATTCCTCGCCGTAATCTCGTTAACCTCCTTGCCCTCTGTTCTGCGCCGGGCAAGAGCTTTAGCGGTCATGGCGAAACGCATATCCCGTGGTCCGTCGACAAGCTCAAGAATAGCCGAGGGTGCTTGATCGGGCTTTCGGGGCTCGACGCGCAGCACGCGGGTGTACCCGCCCGGGCGGGTGAGATAGCGCTCGCGAAGGGTGCCGAAGAGCTTGGGGAGGAGAGCGTGGGGTGTCTAATTGACGGACAGTCAGTAACGATACTCTAAGGGCACCTATCTCAACGTATGGGGTCCAAGAAAGATTCTTGCAAAACGGTTTTCCGGGAGTGAGGCAAAGCATACATAAAAGATCGACAAGGCCCTTTTCTTGCTGGCTTCCGTATTCTTCTTCCCCAAGGTTATGAGCTTCTCTGCTAGTCGCTGTGCTTCTTTGGCTTTGGGCCATGTCGTTGTGATTGATTCATGAGTAAAAAGCGATGTAACTAAATTTCGGAGGAGAGCTTGTCTGTGCGAGGACTTTCGACCTAGATGTCGATATTTCATTGCGCCGCCGGCCATGGTGAAGCACTGAAGATGGGTTAGGAAATTTTCAGGCAAGAATTGTAGACCTCTTTCGGACGAATGTCAAGCGGGGGACTAGGGACGTGTGGAGAGTTTTCAGGTAGACTGGAAGCAATGGACCTTCACACACGAGAGCTGGCGTGGGATGAAATACAGCTCTGGTGTTGTCGGAGGGTCGTGCATTGGGAGTGAGAATCGATAACGTTCTGCGGCGGACGACGAAGATCCGCCCACCAATCGGAGCCGAGAATTGGCAACCAGAGCTTCTCGCCCGCCCACAGCACCGCTTCCATCAACAGAATGGCGAACATCGAACGCATCTCAACCGCGTGTGCCCCTTGTGAAATGCACAATTAAAGAGCTTACTTCTCTCGGCAGACCAACTACACACTAGAATGGGTTTTTTCACCGGCTTTGTACGTCCATTCCTTCTCCTCGTCCACAACGACGTCACGATCTTACCAGTTTCTTAAACCGCTGCTAGTTTGGAGGATTCACCCTCACTGCCTCGATCCTCTATATAACCGTACACCTGCATCTTGCGAACCGGCATCATCAACATGTCCTTCTACGCGAACAAATCGATCTTCTTAATACTCTCTCGCTCCCAGCAACAGCCAGAAATGGGCTCATTGGCAATGCTGCCGCTGATGTAATGGCTCGTCGAGGATATCTTCCCCGACAGAGACCGGGAATCATGGAATTGGGCAAAGAAAAATGGAATCAGGAAGTCAGGCTATTAGTTAGGAGGGCGCAGGAGTTAAAGTGGGAGGATGTACAGGAAAAAGTTCAAAAAGGCTGGGAGACAGCAAGGCGCTTGACGAAGGACAGATAAAGTTTCAGTCATTGCCTGTTTTCTATCCTTTTTTTTTTTTTTTTTAAAAAAAAGGCGTTTGATACCCCTTTCTGCAATATATTGTATCACAATGTTTGACTGCATGGATTTATTGCAATGTTAAATGTATGACTTCCAATGTCCTAGTATCAATCCAGCCGTTGGTCTGACCTTAACCCTGGCGGCTTGACATTGATGGGAGGCCCTGAACTCAGCCCACGGCATGCAACCGCGCTCCCTAGGATCCGCGCCGGCAGGCTATTCAGTAGAGAACAGAAGCACCAACAACATGCCCTACAACAGCCATAGGACAGAAGCTTGAATTTTGGTATAGTTAAAGGACCATACCAACGACAACTCGGTACCTCAGCGAACCTAATTCAATGAAAAATTAAGGCTCCTTTGCATAAATTTCCTCAGCCATTTGATGCGGCAGAGTCCATGCTTTCGCTCTCGCTCCAAATTTCTTTACTCTCCCGCTCCACGGCTCGCATGGCATTGGCAACTTCATCAAGTTTCGCTACGACATCTAGAACGCTGCTATTAACCCGTTCAAAATACCGGTCGTTGGCTTCTCTCCTCTTTCTTGCAAGTAAGATGTCTTTTTCTGTCTTCGCATCCAGCACTTTATCGGGTGCATGGTCATCGGTTGCCGTTGATGCGCGCCGTATAGACTCCGCTCCCTTTTGGCCACCTAGACCAGACTCACTAGCAGAACTATCGGCAATCTCGTCCGTCTCACTTCTCGCCCATGCCTGCGCCAGCGCCAGCTGCTTAACACGGAGTTCTTCGAGGGCCATTGCATGTTCCGCACCAAAGGCATGATCTCCACTAGCAGCACTCAGCTCAACTTCTGCAAGGGTACTCTGCATCTCTTCCCACACGGCATCTCCATCATCTGATTGCGCTTGGGCCCGAGATTGAAAAGGGCGGAGGAAGGGCGAGCCTAGCTCCGTGCTAGCACCGAGGAACCCTTTAGAGGAGCCATGCCTCACGGAAGCTTGCGACCCTTTTACGGAAGATGATGCACTTCCAGGTTCCTGAGAGAGGTTGAGGAGTCCTGGAGGTAGCGACAAGTTAGACGCGTTGCGCGAGGGAGGTCCTTGGAAGAGGGCTGGACGGGGAAGACGCTGGGCGGATTTTGTCCTGGGTTGCGACATTATATCAAGAACTTGTGTAGTTGTAAAAGTTCACACCACTAGCCTAGAATTCACGGAGGGACTCGTCAAATAGCAGTTTGTTGCTCTCTCTCGTGCTGTCTTGAATGATGAGTGGCTGGGAGGACCTCACGGACGCGGTTGCCGGATAAATATATTACCGATAGCTATCCCAAACTCGCTTAGCGTTAGGGCGAGGCGAGCGACACATCCACAGTTGAGTTTGGAAAAATCGACGACAGCGACCTCCACCATCGACAAATCAACCGGGCTCCCTGAACCGTTGTATTTTTGCGATAACATTTTTCGGTACGTATATCGAGAATTTCCTATCGCCCCTGCTGCATGTACTTTCCAGCCTTTCCAGCCTCCTGTTCAGCCAAAAGAAGCCTTTTCGATTTTCGGCACCAGAGACTAACTCGAGGGATCCCAAATCGATAGCAAAACTACCTTCAGACATTATTCAATATGGGTAAAGGAAAGCCGCGCGGCCTGAACGCCGCCCGTAAGCTCCGCAACCATCGCCGCGATAATCAATGGGCCGATCTTACCTACAAGAAGCGCCTCCTCGGAACTGCCTTCAAGTCATCTCCCTTCGGTGGTTCCTCTCACGCTAAGGGCATCGTGCTCGAGAAAGTCGGTGTCGAAGCTAAGCAGCCCAACTCCGCTATCCGAAAGTGTGTCAAGGTGCAATTGATCAAGAACGGAAAGAAGGTCACTGCTTTCGGTGGGTTTAATACTTTCGCGGGGAAACTATAGATAAACGGATGGCGGGTGCTGATGCATTGTGGTCAACTAGTTCCCAACGACGGTTGCTTGAACTTTGTCGATGAGAACGACGAAGTCCTCCTCGCCGGTTTCGGTCGCAAGGGCAAGGCCAAGGGTGATATTCCCGGTGTTCGATTCAAGGTCGTCAAGGTCTCCGGTGTCGGTCTTAGCGCTCTCTGGAAGGAGAAGAAGGAGAAGCCAAGATCTTAGATGATCTTAGGGAGTCCCGGGATTGGGGAGTGCTGTGTGATGGGATGGCAAGGGGGACACGGCTTTTACCGGCCGAAACAGCATGGGATATTTTCGCTGCTACTCCTACTACGATAGAGTGGGCGGTTGTGGTGGGCCAAATCATGCAAACTGGTCTACGGTGTTGAAATGCTACCTCTTAACCCGACTGGGTTCATGTTGGTCTTGGGGAGCAAGTAGCACCCATGGAAATACCGGTAAAGAAATAGCCTATTCCCATTTTCTCTATGATAATGTTCATAAAATTATAAACGTCATTGCATCATGATTCCAAGTTCAAGACTCATGTTCGTGTCACAATTTGACATCTTCATTGCGATAGTGATCTGCCACAATGCGGTATAGATATGACGGTGCATGACCCCCACTAGAACAATACATTCATTAGCTGTGATCTGCCAAATAAGACCAGCCAAGGAAATGAAAACATACATATTTGTGATATAAAGGTCGATCAGCTCGGCGGGCACGTAGTCAGACAATGGATTCACCACATCAATGTTGTCCACCAGCTCTCCATCTTCATAGGGAAGCACCGCACTTGGATCTCCATATTCAACCAAAGACTGCTGGTCGAATGGGTATACAGGGCTCAGTTTGTATACACCGCTCACAACAACTACTGGGGTCTTGTGCGCTTTCGCAGCATTAGCAATGAGCCTTGTGCCTGCGGCAGCAACCAAGCCACCATTTGCAAGGACACAATCGGTCCCAAGAATGACTTTATTGACCTGTGACATCAACGCAAATACCGCTGAATCGGGTATCAAGATAACGGTGATTCCTTGGGCAATTAATGGTTTCTGGAATGCTTCCGGCGTCAACCGTTCTTCGTCGCCACTCCTGATACCAGTTACTGTCGCATGGGTATCATCATGGTTGTTTGGGTATGATTCTACCTGAATAACGCTGAACTTTCGTTTTGCTGCAGCTTTGAGGAGGAATTTTTGCACCGTGGTTGACGCTGTGTGGGTGAGAATCACTTCGTTTGAATGGATGTGATCGAGCGCATAGGCCGCAATCTGGTCATTCGCCTGGTTCAGCTCTTCGAGTATCTCTTTTATACCATCAAACACTTCACCTCGGTAATCTCGGGGCTTATCGTCGCTAGTATCTGGCTCTCCTCGGGAAACGCTGACAGGCGAATTGGGGTCTGTAGACTCAGGTGGGTATGAAAGCAAATTAAACATTGACGTTCCTGGAAGAGCGGGTGCTGCCGTAACGTGACCTGTGAAGGACGGCCTTTCTAGAGAATCGAGGTGCGATAGCTTCTCGAGTGCGCCGCCGGGGTGTGTTGGCAGACGCGCGAGGTTGTGAAAACCACCGTGAGGAGGGGTATGAGGGCGCGTATCGTCTGATCCGGCGTCGCTCATCATTCCGCAGTCTCGTTTCCAGCTCTCAGCTTCATCTCTCATCATACCCAATACACGGCGGACAATGTTGCCAACGATCAGTTGTCTGGGCTGCGCGGACACCAATCGTCTACCAATTCGCTTGACATGGTCGATTAACGTCGCCGGGTCATTTGATTTATTGGTGTGCATAGCCCTCAAAAGGAGATGCGCGGTCGCAAGCGCACATGAGTGCGGCTGTCGGATGTGGCGTCTTTTTAAGAGCCTGCGATTCCTATTAGTACGATAAGGCGCAGTTGGCTAGATTAACGAACGTTATTAAATTTTCTGTGGATGCCTCGACTGAGCTTTGTTTCAAGGATTGAATATAACTAGATAAGCTCGGAGTCATGGGTAATATCGCTGGCGCCGCCATCCTGGCTATCTTCTCGCCCTCCTAACTGTGCCTATTTTTCTGGTGGGAGTCTTGACGATCTTTTGCTCATATGACTCAATTGAATTTTGAGCTCAAGCAAAATGGCTTCGAATCCAGAACAAGGGAATATCAACTTAGAACATACAAATGAAAGCACAACCAAATGATAAGGAAGTAAATAGACTGGGAAGTATCAAGCTGACTTCCTAGATTTTTGCCAAACAAAGCATCACTTAAAATACTGAAGCAATGAGCTTCCCAAACACGTTCGCGCAGCGAATCCAAACCATCACCAAGAGAGGAAAGGCGCAAAGCTTGGCAGCAACCTTCATTCAACCTCAGTCTGCGCAGCTCACCACTCCTCTCAGGCTATAACATACCCTCTCCTTCTTAAGAGCTTACGGATCAGATGAGAGGGAAAGCTATGTATTGGATCAAGAAAGATCAAGGCTGAGAAGCTGGAGACTAGCATCTCGACACATTTCAACGGCTCTCTCATCCAGACTACCTTCATTAAAATGGTGGGTTTTGCTTACAACAGTGGATATGTTTTGAGGTTTCAGAGGACTATTCTTATCGCTGGAGCTTTTTAGTCGCAACATCTTGATGAACCGCGTGATCAAAGTGCCTATTACAACATATATTTCCATGTACCTCAGAATTCCGCTTAGAAGCTTAACGTGTGCCCATATTGTTTCCAATTGAGATAACTAACACTATCCTTTAATGAACAGCACAGAAGAGCTTTCCTTGAAACCTTGGGCCAAATCCTCGAGATCTGGCGGGAAAGATCAGTCATCTCAGGGAACCCGCAAAATTCTGGACACCAAATGCTGCAGCACTCAGTCATACAGCTCAATGCTGAAAGGTGGTGAAGAGAATTCTTCCCAGTCCCGCGGATTATTCCGGTCACCACGCCATCTTAGTGCTCTGGCTCTGAGGGTGAACTTTCCTTCAGCCATTGATTTACCATCAGCTAAAACAGCTTGATAAACTGCAATGCGTTGGTACGAGGAAGTGCCAACTTGTCCAAAGGGGTGGCCGCGCACTGAGCTGTTAAATCCCGGTATTGGATTTTCTGGAACCTGATGTCTATATGCTATGTACAATACATTTCTAGCCGGGCTTTTGGGCTGATCGCCATAAATAATTCCAATAGCATGGAGTGTGTCTTTTTGGTGCATCCTGAAATATTGTCTTTTTGGCCTTGCTATCTGTATGGATGGATAACTGTGCATCTGTTGGGTGGGAAGGGTTGTTTAGTGATGTCTAGAGCAGCTTTGATAACACTTTCAGAGCTTATCACGAAGCAAAGAATCTTCTTCATAAGCGATTCAGGGGAATCTCTGCATCTGTTATCAGTGCAAGAAAGCCTCATAATTTGCAAATTAACACCCAGAGATTAATATAAGCAGGGTGGAAGATTCAGTGTCAAAGCACTAGCCTTGATGATACCCATCTACACAAAGCAGTTCTTAGGTGCACCTCTCTTTTTGCAGCCAGGATAGGGAAACCGGATTCGGAAGCAGGGTATGTCAAGGAATGGAAAATCGGCAGCGAAACAAACTGAAAACTGACGACTTTAATTGTGAAGCCGATGATTTAGACGACAGAATTTGAAATTAGGCGAGGGACAGGAGGTCGCAGAGGGCCAAATAACGTATTGCAAGTCGGTTAGAATGCGGGGTAATGAAAGCCGTTTCGACTAGTTAAAACTTGCCCTGCTTTTCCATCGATTCTCCCGCGTACTCTCGCCCTAATACTTCGTGACAAGATGTATATTTGAAATCGACACTTCTTATTCCTTACTGCATTATCGCCTGCAAGTGCTGTCTCGTTTCCGAGTCTTTATTTCTTGCCGGTAGTAGTGGCGACCTCAATACTGGCTGGGTCAAGCTAGTCGACTAGCAACATCTTATGGCCAGAAAGCACTTCACCGTCGCACATTTCCTGTCTGGTGGCTGGTTGATCAGCATTGGGGAACTTGCTTGCGAGTAAAAATTTACTTTCGAATCGCGGGCGGCATTTGGATTGTGAGGGATTAAACTTGATGCCGTGAAGGGGCGCAGCTTGGTGGTTTGATGCTAGAAAGCCGAAAACCCGAAAATGCAGGATTGCAGAATTGCAGCAAGGTAGAACGTATTCTCACTCTGATGTGTTGTAATTTCAAGCAGGGTCGGGGTTCCGGAACCGAGTTATTCCTTGCCAGACAAAGGAGCTTCGTTTCACAAGCTTCTTTCTTCACCATCTGCGTGCACACTGTACGATCAGGACGGACATAGAGACCAATCGCGAGCCTTAAAGATTTAACTAGAGTTCATCGACTCTTATATCTCATCCCCCTGCAAGAGTTTTCTTTGATCTGCCAGGGTTCTTCACTAGCTACATTGAAGTCGAAGGTTCTGCTCATCGGGGACGAAGAACGTGAGTGATCTGTAGAGCTAGGGAATGGTGTGGTGTGAAACGGAGGTCTTACGGAAGAGCTTCTTGTTGAAACTGAACCCGGGAATCGTTGGACAGCATATCAGCATAGCCTCGTCTTTGACGTTGGCCAACTCGACACCGTTGCGTTCTACACGGTCTTTCCCGTCTTGGAGCTGTCCATCAAAATCAGCTTCCCAAGTCCCGTGCATATTCATCGTGCACCAGCTTTCCTTGTCGATCCCTGGTCAGGGATAGATTGGATTCATCTCGTTGAAGAATGCAGTATCAATGGCGTTGTGGCTATCAACATTGAGTTGACCGGCCTTTCGCTCGCTACGAAGCAGGTACTGCCTTGACAGCGGCTGGTTTGCGTGCCGGTCAAATGGTAGAACTTGTGACCACACTCGATGAGGCTTTGTTTCACATTGTCATTATCGGGGTGGTGATGGAGAGGGAACGCCTCGAGATGGTGAACGGGGGCGCGAGCCGTGGAATCTAGGAATTTCGAAATGGACACCAGCTGTCCCGAAGATTTCGTCTTTAGAATCCAAGCGATGCCATTCCACTTTGTATTTTGAGCCGTTTCGCTTTACCTTCCTTTCGCCAACATCGAAGACCACGCATCTCGGATCCGAATTTCACGCCATGCATACTTGTAGCTTGGGTGCTCTTATCAGTCGCTCCACCATCCCCGCTCCTTTCGACCAAATTAAGGTAAAGCATCAGAGATAGCACGGTAAGCCCTGCTTATCCAGTGTCCTGAGTCCAAATCCTGCATTTTGTAAGTAAGTTGCTTTCCCCAGTCCAGTGTGCCTGTAATATCTGTTATACTGTTGTGTTCATCAAGAGTGGCAAACTCTAATCAATGTGCCTGCTGTGTCTGTGGCTGAAGCATGCGGTGATGGTGATTAAAGAAGCATTCCTATATATGGAATATGGAATTTGGAGTACTCTGTACGAAGTATTAGCTCCCAAGTTGAATTGCGTTTTGAAGAATTCTGCCCCGCTTCGAGTCGATTAAGCATGCCCTCATGAGTTGGGTTTGAAACACATCACATAATAGGAGAATTATTTTTGAGAGCTAATGAGTCTCAACCACTCACTGAATGATGGTAGGACGCATTTATTCCTCGGGCGGCAGACAATCCCACACGGCATCAAATACTATAATATTGTCATCCTGAAGGGATTGGCAACTCTTGAGGATAAGTCCTTCTGGTGGACTAGCCACGGAGTGATCGAAAGCGGAATCTTCACACCCACAGAGATCCCTGCTGAAACGTCACCCTCGTTGGGTGCCCTCCTTCAGGTCTCCATATGCTCCCGTCGGAGTGTCCCCAATTGCGGTTTCATTTCAATTAGTTGCTTTCTTTTTTTTGGAGTAGCATAAATCTTTGTACATTTCTATCCATGAAACGTATTGTCGGAGTGCCAGGGAGTGTCGCGAACGAGGAGCTCTCACGAGGCTCTATTTGTTTTAGAGCAGAGGCGGAGAGCAACCGTAGTCGCGTTGGGAATTAGTTATAACATGCGCAGTTCTGTCAACTCGCTGGGAGACTAACGCACTCAAGAACAGTCACTGAGAGCATTCTGGTTAAACTCCCCACCAGCAGGCATGGTGGTGGTTGGGCACGAGAGACCGCAGTGCTGATATCGTTGACGCCGGGCTTGGCCCAACAACTCCGCGTGGGCTTCCCGACTCCCCACCTCACCTCAACAATTGATCCGGCTCTCTTTCGTCACTTTGGACAACGCATTGTGCTGGATCTCTGTCTGGATCTTTTGCTTGTGATACATGCCATCATTGCATTGGAACCTCTGGATGTGAAACAGCGGCGTCTTGGGGTAAGACTACGTAGTGATCGGAAGCGATCCCATTCTTTTATTATTGGCGGCGCATTTTGGTTTGTCCACGCCTCACTCAAACTCGTCTTCTCAGCGCCTCCGCATTCTGTTCACGAACGACAATACACTTTCATATTCTCGCACCAGAGTTCAACTTGGTCAGTCATTTGCTCTATATAGGCCTGCGTTCATGGCCTACGCCAAAAGATGAACTCCCTCAACATCCTCTCGTCCCGCGTCATCGGCCAGACTACGCCGTCGTCCTCCCGATCGCCCTCTCGATCCCGTTCCCGTTCCCACTCCCAAGGCCCCACGCTCTCTGGCAGAAGTGCTCTAGCAGGGAATAGGTCCTATAGCGAAGGAAATTTACATGATATCGGAGCACTTGAAGGGTCAACGGAAGAGGAAAATAATAGTAGTGACCAACCTAATGACGTTGCACCGACCATGGGAGACGTCGAGGAGAAGGCCCCTTTGTTGCATGGCCTGCAGAAGGACGGAAAGACATTACGAGCAAGCGAATTGCACGCAATAGCACAGCAGCTAGTTGAAGCCCTTGCGGAAACCTTGTCATCCATATTATACACTCTTGCATCACCGGCTATATACCTCGTGCGAACTTTTCGCGATGATAATGGCCGGTATTCCCCTCTTAACCCTGTCCGACGGATGCGATTGTCCGGCTCAGAGTCCAGGAAAAACGCAATGGCGCTCGAAGCTCCAGGAAAAACAACGAGAAGGTCAAGATCCGGTTCCATGAGGAGCAACGTTGGTTACAGAAATCTGAGGACCTCTCCGTCCAGGGAGTCAATGTCTTCCATGTCGTCCAACGCCTCCGAGTCCGATATCGATCGAACACCAACCAAGGCGGGCCGCCGGCACTCAAGGTCAAAATCGGAACAGATAACCAGCATTGGAAACGAAGTGACGCCTAGACGTTCAATTCGAATCCAGATACAAAACGGTCGAAAAGGCACAGGAGATAAGGTGCATAGAAGGCGAAGTAGCGAATTAAGGGATACTGCTACCAACGTTGCCGCTGAAAGCCTAAAGTCGCCGATATCTCCTTCAATCCATCGACTCACCAAATATCCCCACGCTCCCGCTCCACCGCGACCACTGATTCCACCTCGACAGCCGTCTTACGCGCCCGGCTCAGGAAGGCCTAGATTCCCTCAGAAGACTTTAATCCTTGACCTCGACGAAACCCTCATCCACTCTCTGGCCAAGGGTGGTCGCATGTCTAGCGGCCACATGGTTGAAGTGCGGCTCTCCACGCCCATGACTACATCCACCGCACCTGGTGGAGCATCCACTACCCTGGGCCCGCAGCATCCTATTCTCTACTATGTCCACAAACGACCGCACTGCGACGTATTCCTGCGCAAGGTTTGCAAATGGTACAAGCTTGTGGTCTTCACAGCGAGCGTGCAAGAATATGCCGATCCAGTGATCGACTGGCTGGAACAGGAGCGGAAGTTTTTCCATAGTCGGTACTATCGGCAGCACTGTACGTTGAGAAACGGGGCGTACATCAAAGACTTGAGTTCGGTAGAACCAGATTTGAGTAAGGTCATGATCTTGGATAATAGTCCAATGAGCTATATATTCCATGAAGGTAAGGCTGTTCACACTTGGTAGCTTTGTAATGGACACGGGATGTGGTATGCTAAAGCAGTATAATAGACAATGCCATCCCGATTGAAGGATGGATTAATGATCCGACGGACAATGACTTGCTACATCTCATTCCATTGCTGGAAGCAATGCAGTATGTGACCGATGTACGAGCATTGCTTGCCCTTCGACGTGGTGAAGCTATGACATAGAAAACCCCGGCAGTATGCTCGGTAAATGTTAATTGTGTGAAGTTGTATATACATAACTCAACAGTTCCTTTTTTTTTTTCCGTTTACTTTTCTGTGTCTTCCTGTTTCATCGTACCACCCAAGCATTGAGCGTGCATTTTCATTTATATATCTCTGCCTGTTGTCTGCAGGGGTTCTATTATCTCTTTGAATGGGTTTTGACGCTTTTTCCCCCTTGTTCTATGATACACCTTTTAATAGCTTGCCAGCCATGGTTTTCTCTCGTCTCTGACGCCCACTTTATTAATGGGTTGAAACACGCACTCCTCCCTACCGTCTTCATGAGAGCGTGTAGCCGAGTTATCCGATTTGCATACCCCATTTAGAGTAATTTGCTTTGGATCACCCTTGTCCTGCACAGCTGAAGAAGAAAAAAGTGTACTGTTAGTACTGTATAATACGCAAGCCGGATGGTCAGGAAATTATATGTCTTTGTTCTATCCTTGTGCGTCGAGAACCCGAAAATCTATGTACATACATACAAGAGAATTATTTCAAAATCTCTCCACTTCTAGGACCACTCTTATGGTGCTTTTCAAGGGAATGGGAGAGAAAGCTAGGTTTGAATTTTATTTGGTAACTTCCACAAATGCCTCCTTCAAGGCCTGGATCGCTTTGTCAATATCATCCCTTGCAGGATCCGTCACACTCACACCCATGTGACCGAACCGGATATACTTGCTAGCAATCTCTTTGTGGAGGCCTCCAGCAAACACGACACCCTTCTTACCCAAGATTGGCAGGATGTCCGCGGGCGTCAGACCCTCAGGCAGTCTGATAGCCGTCATGGCGTTGGCCTGGTTCTCAGGCTTGGTGGCCAATTGGTGCAAGCCAAGCTCAGCAACAGCGCTCTTGACACGCTGGGAGGCAGCACGGTGAGCAGCAAAGCGCTCAGAGAGAGGTTTAGATGCGATCTGGACGAGGGACGTGTGGAGTGCCCTGACGAGCTGGGTAGCTGGAGTGGCAAAGTATGACGGCTTGCCGGCCTCGTAGTTTTGCATGACGGGAAGCCAGTTGACCATCGAAGCGTAGTAGCTAGCCGGTGGGCTCTGGCGGGTCTTGAACCTCTCCATGGCACGGCCGGAGCACATCACGATGCTGAGGCCGGGAGGACAGCCGATGGCCTTTTGGCTGGCGGTTAGGACGACGTCGATGTCCCATTCGTCAAAGGCGATTTCTTCGCACCCGACGCTGCAGACACCGTCGACGACAACGAGGGTGTTGGGGCTCACACGTCTGACGAGTTCAGCGACGGCCTTGATATCGCTGAGGACACCGGTGGAGGTGTCGACGTGGGTGATGGTGATGACTTTGTAATCGGCGAGTTTCAATGCCTGTTCAATGTCTGACAGGGATGGCCGGTCCCCGATGGGAGCTTTCAGCTGGGTGGCCTTGGCGCCGTAGGTTTCGAGACAGGCAGCGAAGGAGTCGGCAAAGTAACCGCTGTGGAGGACGAGGGCTTCCTGGCCGGCCTCGATGAGGTTTGACGCAACGAGGTCCCAGCCAAGGGTGCCGGAGCCCGCGAGGATGAAGGGCTGGGCGGTGGGAGAGGTGCTTTGGAAGAGCTTGCGGACAAGGGTCAAGGATTCACCAAAGGTCTTGACGAATGCTGGGCCGACATGGCTCTCGCTTTGGAACAGTCAGTGCATCTTTGATTCTCAACGGAAGAAGCGTAGTAGAGACGAAAGACGAGGGGGCAAAAGAGCTGTTAAACTTACGCGAAATGAGACATGGACTGAAGGACGGCATCGTCAAACTCAATCGGGCCCGGGATGAGCAGGGTAGGGTGAGGAGCTTGGGCAGACATGGTTGCAGAGGCGCTATTCCCGGTCGTGGTGCTATAGTTTCGCTGTTGCTGCTGCGGGAGTTGCTGAAGTTGATGGCGAGGAGGGGCTTCTCGAAGAATGGGTTTATATTCTAGGTCGTCGGGTTCGACAGAGACAGCTCTCTCGGTCGAGAAGGGGGTGTTCAGTGCAGGCAAAGGCAGTTTCTGATCAAAATGCCTGGAGATCAGACTCAGACGTTGGCGGGTGGAGGAGCGTGAGGACGCCAGGGTGACGGAGGGGGAGCACGCCGCGGGGTAGATCCGGGAGGCCGCGAGTCGGAAAGTTGCCGCCAGCTTGACGAGCGCGTGGAGACAGACTACTTGTTGAAAAGAGTGCTAGCTACGCCGGGCAGAGTGCGTGGGAATCTGTTGAAGAAGCGAATGTGTCCTTTCTCAGCCGATGTGAATCATTTCTCTACCTTTGATGCCGTCGGCGAATCGGTGGATAAATACTAACCAAATTTTTTAACTATTTTTTTTTTTTCTTCTTCTCCGGCAGTGAACCTTAACCGCCGAAAAAGGGGTTTCTACGGAGGATACTTATTTAGTTGCAGGCAACTCGACGCCATGTTCTCCCGTACTCCGTAGGTATTTAGTTAATTAGAAAGACATAAAACATAAACTACCAGCTTCAAGTCCAATTGAATTGATACTTCATAAATATGACTCCGCCTCCCAGTACCAGTTTCTCCCCATCAGACATCCTCCCTGCAACTCTCTCTCGCCTGCTAGCCCTTTACCCAAACACTGCCCGCAACGTATACCAGGCCAAGCTGGAAGCAAAATCAAAGGCTTCTAAAAATGACATTGACGAGCAAGTCCGGTCATTCGTAGACCTGGACAATTGGCGCTACGAAGTCCTCCCCGCCACGTTAAAGCATAGGGCAGAGGGACAAGGCCCGTCCAAAGCGAGGCCGGCGAAGCGCGTCAAGAAAGCGGCAGACGCTTCCGATGAACTGCGCCTCAAGAAAGATGAACTGGTGCAGCTGATGGAATGGAAACTGTGCGAGTTTGGCCTCATTCCATTGCATGTTGAATACAGAAATAATTAAACCCTTCGTAATAGAAAGCATGGCTCCTTTAGGCCAGCGCTGATGAACCTCATCCGCTCAAACCCGGAGCCCGCGATCTACACCGCAACCAGCAATGCAGCTTCTTCCTTGCCAACAACTACCGTTGGCAGTGATACTGATGCCGATGCTTTCTTCCCTTCCCTCAGCCTCGAGGTTCTCACCAAGTCCCTCCGCGGCGTGGGCCCTGCCACCGCATCACTGATCCTCTCCGCCAGCACCGCAGGCGGAAGCGCCAACCAAGTCCCCTTTTTCAGCGACGAGATGTACTGGTGGCTGTGTTCGCACCGGTATCCTTCACCAGCAAACCCTGCAGGACCATTAAAGCCTCCGCCAAAGCTAAAGTACACTATGAAGGAATATCGGGAGCTTTGGGGCTGTGCTCGGGAGCTTAAAGCACGCCTTGACAACCTGGATGGTAATCATCTTTTTTCAATGCAAGATATCGAAAAAGCCGCCTTTGTCATCGGTCACTTCGAGTGTTCCGGCTATGCTACTGCTGCTGCGAATCCTGATCCCAAAACCGCTTCTTCTAAAGCCGCCAATGAGGGTGAGGATAACGAGCAGCCTGTAATTCAAGAAACTGATGTTGGCAACAAGGATGGAAAGCCAAAGAAGAGAAAAAGGAAGCACTGATGCCCGGGAAATCATTGACGTTGATGTTTTACTTGCTAGCAATGTATGTTTAGAGTCAAGAAGACTACACACTTATCGATACCCGGAGTTCTGGGAATGGAGATTACATTATGAACTGCGTTTAATTTCCGTTTATCAGTGATCATACCCTATTACTTCGACAAAGAGCCATCAGCGCATGACCTTTTGTCTCCAGCAAAGAAGAATTTCTTATCATAGTACACCATGAATAACCGCCCTAGAACGGTATTGTAAAACGGATAGAGTAACTTGTCAAAATACATGTTCGGCCAAATGGCTCTCAGAGGCTGCCGGGGGGGGGGAAGGGGAAGCAAGGCATGAATCTTGACCGGAGACCTTTCAAAACCTGATCTCACTACAGACCTAACTGCCTCTATATACTATCTGTACATGGACTCGTAAAATAGGAGAAAGGAAAGCGAGCAGACACTAACAATTCCTCGCCCATTCCAATAAATAGTTCCCAGGAACGAGGAAGCGATGAGTGACCCTTTAATAAGTTGCAAATCCAAAGAAAAAGGGATGCTATGGTACGACAGTTTACTCTTGCCCAAAACCAACTGTTTCTTCCACAGCGATGGACAGTTTGTTTTGTAGTGCTTCATATGTCTTGTACGGTGGAAGGTCGAGGCGGTTGAAACTATAATATTCCTTGTCAGCGAGTCGATCAAAATCATCACACAGATGAGGAGAGCGTACCAAGTGTGAGATTTGGGAAGTGCATTGATGTCTCCCGACTTCTCAATCGTAAACCTTCTCGGACCATCGCTACCCTGTAGGTCTTTGAACCCGTTGACGGGAATACGCGAAGTACCCGTGGCAAACTGCAACAATCTCGACTTTTGTTCCGCATCCCAAGTTCGTATAATTTTCCAGAAGTTCTGAATGACCTCGTCTTGCTCCTGGTATCCACGATAATCGGTATGCTTTTTCCAATCATCGACATCAATATCTGCGATTCCACCAATCAGGAGCTCAAGCTCTCGCTCATCGAAGACATTGACTAGATCTGCAGGAATAAGTTCGTTAAATCCGGTGATAAAGGCGTTGAATTGCTCTTCCACTCTCTTCTGAATCTTCCATTCAGTGACCAACCTGGGGTCTTCGTTAGAACTATAACATTTCAAGAAGCAAATGATAACCGCTTACTCAACATATTGTCGCTTATTCTCATTGGTAACAGCAATATCTCTTCCATTTGGGATTAGGTCGATTGTTTTATGTTCCCCAAACTGTTCATCGTCGACGGCAAAAGTCAACTCAAACACTCCCTCAATATCATTCTCCCTGTGGAAAAGAAAGTTAGCTAAAAGCACCAATAGCCGCTGTGATTTTGTAATCCAACTTACAAAGTCCATGTTAGATTTCGGTGGAAATCTTCATCCACACCTTCCATGTCCTGCAACGTGACCTTCTTCCTCAACATCATCTTGTAAAAAGCGCCAATGAAAAATGAATCCAAGAACCGTCGATGGAAAATCGCAAGTCCAACCACTCGTCCGATGAATCTGAAATAATTCAGGTGCTCTGGGTTGACACCGGAGTGTGGGTTGATTTGGAGTGTATAATTATCGTGGGCGGAATATTCAAACAAGCAGTAGAACGGATTAAACATTTCGTGAGAAAGAAGGAAGAAAAATTCACTATACATGTCAGCATTGAGAGGGATCGCAGATTAAAGGCAGAGCAGAGCATTGTACTAACCGTGACAAGCCACCATAATCAAGGCCGTCCTCGCCATCAAACTTGATCATCAAACGTTTCTTAAGGTCCGATGGGCTCTGTCGCATGATCTCCGCATATGAATCTTCGAAAATGGCACTTCGCCGTATCTTGACATGGCACTGGCCGGACATGATTCTTAGTGCGGGCTGAGATCTAAAGTAGATCAATTTACGGCGGAAATCGCGTTTATACTGTGGAACCCCTTGATCGAGAGATGACGGCAATCGCGGATCGTCCCACGTAGTTGTCTTCGTATTATGATCCACAAAGTAGACTCGAGCAGTATTTGTCAGGCGCATTTCCCAGCCACTTGGTAGAGGTCCAAGCTGAGAAAGTGGTTGTGAGGAGATAGTAGTATTATTCCCATTTCGCCCCAGGGCCGTACATACGGATATATTGTTGGCGGCGAGGGTCGACCCAGGTTGTTGTTCTGGTGTTATGGTCAACAAAGTATGGACGGCCTTCGGGAGTATATCTCTGCTCCCATCCTGCCGGAAGTTCTCCAGAACCCGCTGTGGTAGCTCCTGTAGTCATCATCTGCACTGCTGTAGCATTGTTGGCAGATGGGGGAGTGCGAGCTTGTTGCGAATCCGGGGAATTTGCACCAGTGCGATCCTCAGGTAGCATCCGGTTCTGATGAGCTCGCCGTTCCATTTGCATATTGGCTTCGAGCTGGGTCCTCTGCGTCTGTTCATTGTAGTGTGCTGATGGACGAGTCCATGTCGTCGTCCGTGTATTATGATCTACATAATAGGTTCGACCTAAACCGTCTTCTCGCCGTTCCCAACCCGCAGGGAGTCTTCCCTGGCTATCCTCAAAGGAACTCAAATTCCTATGTTGGTTCGGCATCCCGTTAGCCTGTGACCCACCGCCGTTTACTGGTACTGCGGATGTAACGGCGGTTGCGGTGGAGGGATTTCTTGAGGGTTGTAAATGGGATGTAGGAGGCGGATTTGAAGCGGGAGATTCTGCAACACCTGAATTTGGGCGTGGTCCAGGAAGCGTTACCGGTGCTGTGAGGGCCGGGGGGTGGTGTTGCGTAGGTGCTGGCGCAGGAGGAGCTGTAGAAACGTGGGAACGCGGCCCACCTTGGTTCGCAGGTATGGGCGTCGATAAATTGGTAGAAAGGTTGATAATTAGTTTTCCATGAACAACCATGTTGTCATTGGATTTTTTAAGATCTCGCGTGAGCATCTCTGTCAAGTGAAGGCAGTGAGCATCCACAATATTAACCTGAGGCACAGTTGAAAGGCAGGTCCAACTCACCATCGTCACCAACGTCGAGGTCAATCACATCTCCAATTCGAATGTTTATTACGCCGAGAAACCCTTGGTCCTTCTTCTTGAATTTCTTCTGGTCAAATATCTGGATCGCCAATATGCTATCTTCCGTGACCCTCCTACCAGTCCAGTCACAGTTAGTGGCGAACCAGGAGAGAGCAGGACGGGGTATGTGGTCATACAAGTCAAACATCTCATTCCAATACGGATTTAGCGTCTTCTTGATCACAGAAGTCGTATGTGTTTGTTCACCTCCCACCGTCGCCACGGCGAAAGGATCCGGAAAGCCTTTGAAACACGTCCACGTCAGTCACCCTCTGCAGCAGCGGATCAACTAGATACGGCAAGAAACTCACGGAACACATCTCGTTTGTATAACCCATCGGCAGCGATGACTACTCATAAGCAGCGATTAATATCACAACTGCGGAGACAAATGTGTACGGGGCCAACAGGGGGAGGGGGCAAGTATAGATGACGCCTTACTCGTAACTCGGAGGTTTGGTTGTCTGCAGCAGATAGATGCCGGTCATTAGGGGCCGCTCATTGAAATGAAGTGTAAAATCAGGAGTTTACTCACGCAGGTAAATTTGAACCCATTCTTCTCACAGTTTCGGTTGTTCAGTCAAGAGGCAGCGGACGCGGTCCCCCGTCTGTCGAGACGGTTTTGATTGAAGCCAAGCGCTGTGGCTTCGACGATAACGCACATTCAGCGCGGGGCAAGGGTAGGATAAAGAGAACGAGAGGAATAATGCGGTCCACCCAAGGTAGTAAGGAGCACAGAGAACAAAGGCAGAGATTGAATATGCTCGCCTCCTGACTGTCTGTCCCGATCGTGATCCTGGGTTGCTGGAAGGATGGGATGGGATGGGATAGATAGGCTCAGCCCCATTAAGACCGACCTAACTTAGTCTGTGGCAGAGTGGCGCTCCCCGCTCTTGTCTCAAAACCACCAAACGCTGACAGATGGACAGGAAATTGGAAACGGCTGAGGGGGAAAAAAGGGCGTTGCTCGACAAAGGAGCAGTTTAGAATGAGGTTGTTTGCTGCTCTTTTGCCTGCAGGATCAAAGCGGCGATGATGCGGATGAGGCAGCGTGTTGGCTGGATCCGGCGGATATCAATGTGGAGAAGTCAACGAGCTGACAAGGATTCAAAGCCACCAAGATGCCGCCGCCAGATGTCATCAAGATCATTACATGCCCAATGAACCACTGCTAGGGTCGACTGTATCTACAGATATGATTAAAGTGATGTTCCAGCAACGATGTGCACATTACTACCGTAGGAGAAAAGGTTTCCTTTTCAATGAAACGACAAGCCCTGCCCGTGCGCGATATTTAACAAACATAACAATGGAACAGTCTACCTGTCAGCTGGTCGCCCGTGAGCTAACATATCATGATCTTGCTTTTTAAACCGAAGGAGATCGCAGGGAGAAAGCTGATTCAAACACACAAAGTCATAAGAAACCTCAAAACAAACTCTCCCACACAGAGTCCAGCAGAAGTCGAAAAACAATTGGCATCGAAAATCAACTGCTACCCATCGTATCTGCTCTTGAATCTTGGTCCTTTCTCCCCTTTGATGAAGTGTCGTGACGTATCATACACACACGGATTTGCCCCAACTCCCAAGTTACCCTCTTTTCCGCCAGGTTAGAAAGCGTAGACGCCCTGGCCCGTCCATATTCCCAATTAGATAGGCAAAAGCGGGAATCATCCCGAGTTTAAATGGCCCCAAAGTCTAATTTCTAATAGGGAGCGTAGCCCCGGCCACGGCCGCGATAGCCGCCACCCCGATAGGACCCGCGAGGATGATAGTAGCCTCCACGGCCGCCGCCATAACCACCTCCATATCCACGACCGCCTCGGAAGCCGCCGCGCCCACGGCCACGGCTCATACCAGGCAGGTTTGTGCGTTTTGGGACAACCTGTTATCGTGGAAAGCAAATTAGCTCTGCGTGGGTCATTGCATCTATGTTGCTACGCGGATCAGACTCACCTTGAGATTTCTGCCGCGGAACAAGCTCTCGTTCAAAACCAATGCCTGCGCCACCAGGCTAGGCTCACTGAATTCGACATACGCATACCTGCCACATGGACCACCATTAGCACTCCATCTCTTGCCAGGCAGCGATGGCGACATGGGGAAACAGAAGAATATCCATGTAGACAAGAGACAATGCAGAAGAATGTCATCAAAGAAAAATAAAAATAAAAATAAAAATAAAATAAAATAAAATAAAAAAAAAAAAAAAAATCAACACCGAAAGCAATGAATCAATCAATTAATTAATTAATCAATCAATCAATCAATCAAAACGCACCCCTTCGGATGTCCCGTAAATTTATCCAGCAAGATTGTCACCCGGTTTATCGACCCGCAACTCTGGAAATGAGCCTGAATCTCCTCCGGCGAAGCACCGTAGTCGACGTTCCCCACAAAGATACTTCGCGCATCGATGTCTTCTTTATCTTCACGAAGGTTTTCCGATTGCTTGTCTAGCGACGCTTGCATTTCGCGCAGTTTGGCGGCCTCAGATTCCATTTCGGCGACCCGTCGCTTCATCGCTTCGATCTCTTCCTGTGGACGTAGAGGCATCAGCATTTAGCTTAAGACGTGGAAAAATGATCGCTTGACGCTTGAGCGCTCCCGGTCCATATGTAGACTCTAGGAGACTGAAACATGCGTACCTCATCGTCGCCGGGTTTGTCTTGCGTGTTCAGATACTCCTCTGGGATATCTCCAGTGGTAGCCATATTTAAAAGGCGAGTCGAGACGTCGAGTATTCTTAAGTTAAGCCTGTTCTATAGGCCGAGGATAACGTATTTGACGTTGTCTGTCGCAAGGGAAAGAACTAAGAAAAGAGATAACTATGCAGTCAAGAGGGCTGATAAAGCAGTGGATCTGATGTCAAAAATAATATGCAAATGTTTTTAATAGAATTCTGTATATTTAGTACGGCTCGGCGCAAGAACCAACGGGCACTGTCAGAGCAGTGAAGGTTTGAATTGTTTCGCAGCCAGTGAACCGATCATCGCTTTTGCTTGATGCAGCGGAATTAGTTAGCTTTGATGGGTGATGGATGAACTAGCTTAGCTTTGAACAAATTGGGCATGGTGGCGACCAGATTGCCCAGTGGCTGCAACTCCAGACATGACCTCGCCATCATCAAAGCCCCAGCAATCAGCACCCTTTTTATAGCAAATCTTGTGTCCTAAAGGAAGTTGGGCGTGAAATGATAATCAATAAGTTCACTACTATAGGAGCCTGGCTTCTCTGGGTGATAGTGCTGTGTATCGAGATGTGATAAATAACAGCTCCTGTACTATTACTCTACAGAGTACACTGCTGAACATTGTTTTCGTTGACGTGATCCAAGATAGCGCTGGAGTTGCCAACCCAAGAAAGATAGGAGTCAAGCCTATACTCCCATTCTTCGTTATTATGTATGTACATAAAAGTCTATAAAGTAAAAACAAGCAGCAGATAGAGATCATAAAGTAGAGGACATTAAGCAGAGCAATTAAAAAAGAGCTGACTCAAGCCGCTTGGGCACTTGGTTTTCGATACGACATCTTCTCAACAGACACAGTCTCAGTTCCCTGATCATCCGTCCGTAGCTGATAGACATAGAGCACCAACACGTCGCCTTGGACCTGGAAATCAAAAATATCATCAGTAATCCACCCTCGACATATTAGTAGCAAAAGCCGGCCTCAAAACCAACACATTCCCCAACCAGCCCGCTGCCGGATTGAAGATCTGAAATAAAATACCGGGAACACTCACATCCATTAGACAGAAGCTCGGCACCACGTCCTCACCCCCACCGTCCATTGTAAATGCTCCCGTAGCACTTCCGGGATTCACGAAAAATCTCCCCTCCGCCTCAAACGCATCAAACCGATGTGTACCGCCCCACAGCAAGACATCCACATCCATCTGCCTCGCCGCGATCAGCAGCGCATCCGCATCACCCGACGGAACAATCGTATGGCCATGCGTAAAGCCGATACGTAGCGATCCATGGGTTATAACCTTCGACAGGGGCAGATTCGGCGAGTCGACGTCGAAGTCACCCTTAACGAGTTGCAGGTCGGGAGCAATCTGGCGGAGAAAATCAAACGTTTCGCGGTCTGTCAGGTTTCCCAGACATAGAATCTGGCCAATTTTGCCTGGCGTAAGGAGCTTTTTGAACTATTTGCCGTTTGCCGGGAGATGAGGGATGGGAGGTTAGTCTTTCTAGCCGGTCTCGCGCGCGAGCCTTCCCAACATGCCGTGAAAAGCCGGGGGGAGGGAAATAGAAGATGAAAAGGAGAGGGCGGTATCACACCTTAGCCGGTAAATCCTGTTGAACAGCAGGGCGATTAGCATCCGAAGAACCCCTTAAATGAGCTAGGCGCTGCTGCAATGCCCTGCCGTACGTACCGGGGCTCTATCAGGTATGAAGAGGTCACCAATGACCAAGACCAAACGGGAGGTCATTTCGAAGTCTCCTTGTGCAATAACTTCTCTAGAGGCCCATTCCTAGAAAGAGTTCCAATTTTCTATAAGCAGAGACGATGATACCAGGGACAGCCTCGTTCCTTTGTCAACTTCAATAGCTACTCCAATCGTCTCCCGGGTTGTTCGCAAGTCGACAATTACACGTGACGTCAGGCCGGAGCTGCCAAGAGGAAGGCCGAGACTGAAGCTTGTAAATGGGAATATCATGGGCGGAATCAACCTAACCCTACCCTAACACGGCACGGAATCCTACTCCCTACAATCGAAATATGTGCATATAATTCGGCAAAATGTATGCAAATAGATGGCAAAAAGAAATCACTGACATTAGAGGAGTGATGCCTTCAAAGGAAATTCGTTCATAAAGCTCTCTACAGAGTACAATTTCCCGTAACCCAGATATAGGAAGTTTTCACCCGACAGCTCATACTTCATATATAACAACAAGGCTCCTGAGCAATGGAGTGGAAAAAAGAAAAGTTAGGCCACGAATCAACCATGGCCATAGCCACTCACAAACCCAAAGCAAGCCAGATGCTATCATCACGAATTCAGCGTGCAAAACAAAGAGTAAAGTGGTGTATGGAGTATTATGCAAGGAGGGGGGGGAAAAAAAGGACACATAGCAGGGAATTGAAAACCCGCGAACCCCAAACGCCAGTGGCTGATTGTGCAAGACCCAGCCCTAAACCGTGTGACTGAGGAAATATACTAGTCAACCGCCCGCTCGCCACCAGGAAAGTAGAAAAATTATAATGAAATAATTGGAAAAGATCGGTATAGGGAAAGGATCTAGAACATCGAAAAGTAAAAGAGGATATCGTGTGGCTGTTGAAATCCAGACCACGTCCCGATACATGGCAACAGTCAGACTATTTTCGGCGAGGTTTCCTAGCACTACCTTTCTTGCCCTTCGTGGGAGAGGCTGGAGGCGAGACAAATGTGACGCGCTTCTGTTCAGTCTGGATACTGCTATTTTCAACAGTGCCACTGGTGCGACTGCGTTTGATGGATCTCGTTTTCACAGGATTTGCTTGCGGAGGCCGCGTAACGGTGGATAAATGGCGCTTGTGAGGTTCGGAGTAGCTGACGGAGGTCGTGGAAGTTGTTGATCCGTCACCACTCGCTTCAAAGCCATCCTGAACCTCAATATTGTCAAATGATATGTCGTCCTGGCCGGACTCCGATGGGCTGGGACTCGGGCTTTCGGATTCTGAGGGAGCCTCATATTCATCGTCATCACTGACCAAGCTAGGTGCCTGGTTGGATTCAACAGTGTTTGGGCTCAGATTAGGAGAGTTCGAATCAACCATCTCAATATCACTACTTGGCACCGGCTGCCGTTCACTTCGCGGGCTCGTTCTTGTCGCCATAGCCGGAGAGTAGGGAGATCGGTGCGCCGCTGGCGCTGAAGGGGGGTGTCTTAGAGGTGGTAGAGATGGCACCTTTTGAGAACGCTTGTCAGATCCTTTGCGGCTACTTGGCCGCTGAGTCTGCAGGGGAGCAGCCACAGAACGAGCTGGCAAGCGAGTACTTCGAAAATTAGGCGGGGCTTCTTGAACGTTGGATGTAGTATCCACATCCATAGCATCCGCATCGGAGTCGTCCTCGGAGGAGTATGAGGCGATATCTGTCTTTGTTAAAGCGTCGCCAACGATATTAAAGAGATCCAAGCCAAGGCCCTGCTTCTGCAATAGAGCAGAAAGATGCGGCGTCTGTGGTGAAGCTTTGAAGTCGGGGCTCATAGCAGAGTCACGTATGCTTGGTGGAGGAGCTTTGGCCGGGGAGTAGGATTCCACGTTAGCCGTCTCACTTTTGGCAGCGGGTCTGCTGACAGGCTTGTCTTCACGCTGGGTGTTTGACGGGGACCGTTTTTGCATGGCATTCCTCGCCGTGGAGTCTAAAACATGTGCAGATCTAATCAAAGGGTGAACGTATCCCGGAGGGGCATTAGAAGCTGTTTCGTTGTTCCGGCATATCATCGCGCCAGACTCGTCAACCTCTACTGGCTCACCCGACGCTGCAGCGGCAGCATCGTGGCTGGCAAAGCTGCGATTATGAGCTATCCGACAGTGATTAATAAATCCTTGTGTGCTTGAGAAATTGTCTCTTCGACAATCCAAGCACACCAATTTTACTAATTTGCCATCTGATTTTCGCTTCATAATCATGGGTCCGGCTTTGTCTTTGGGTGGAGGGTAACCACTCGAAAGGGCCTGTAGTTTTGCACCGGCTGAGTTTCGTTGCGACCTTGATGTACTTTCCGCCCACGATCCACGCGTCGTGCGACCTTCCATCAAACTCTTGCCCGCACCATAAATTCCAGAGGGTATAGGCTCGAGTTCGCCACCGTCGAATCGAGGATCTGGCAATAGCCATCTTGCGTAGTGGCGACTGTAAGGGCCATCGGTAACTCCCCATGGAGAGGGAGAGACCGGTTGTCGACAGTCTTCAGGCCGTGAGACCGCAAATCCCGTGCCATTGCTAACAGCTTGCGAAATTCCGGATATACTCGAGGTTGGAAACGGAATCTCGGAGCAGCGACGAAGTTGCTCCATAGCGACCTGACATTTTGCGATTTCCTGATCGATAAGGCGCAGTTCGTTGTGCTTGAGCAGGATTTCGAGACTGAGCTGAGCTTCCAGCGTTTGGCGCAACGTTTCGACATCCATCCTGTGAATCGATGCGGCGCCTAATGCGCCTTCTGTTCCCTGCTGTTTCAATTGTTGGCCCTGTATGCTCTTTCCTTCTCCTCCACTGTGCTGCAGTGAGGCAGCCGTTTGTACTATAGCATTATCGGTGGATGTTGCAGAGGGCGGTGTCCTGCTCGTAGGCTCAAGATGTTGCGCTTCGCTCATGTTATTCTGGGCAACGTTGTTGGCTTGGTGAAAGGACTCTGCCTTAGTTGTCGGTGAAGTGACTCCGTTGCCGCCACGCGGTGGTCCCAATTCACTCGAGTTCGTCCTTTTCCGTTTTAACTTGTGCGGTGTCGGGCCTGCCATGTTCGGCGACTTTTGCTGCGGTACAGCCAACATCTTCACCTCCTCCGCTGTCACCTTATTACCCCCAATAGACCAAGGAATCAGTCGAAACATTCCATATGAGAGCTGACCCTGCTCGATCTCCCTTCCTCCTTTTTTCCGTCCCACCGTAACCAGCACGAGTTAATTCAGCGACCGGGCAAGTCGCGTAGGCAGCTCATCTACTATCGCAGTATCACCGCCACTGATACAGTAGGCAAGCGCATCGGTTATTCGATCGTATCGATGCCAAGTCGCGTTCAGTCAGGGCGACGGGAAGCCAAGGGGAAGGTGACGTCGACAGGCGCGGCGTTTCAGGAGCGGAGCAGGTGGCGAGAGAGCCCAGCGCAATCTGGGCGCGATAAGTGATCTCTTTCGGACCGGGTATGGAGGGATTAAATCAAACAAGTATCTGCGTCCATGGGGTAGCGGAGAGAAGAGGGAGGAGCATGGAGTCGATGTCGCCGACACGCATATGGGAGAAGGGTTGAGTTGGATCGGGCTGAGACAGTCGGAGTTAACTAGCGTGTGGAGAATGCCTAGACGTCTTACTGTAGCAAGCCAAATTGACGTATGTTATGCGCGATGTATACGACAATTTTGAAGATACGGAGGATGGCGCGCAGCAAGCGACTAACCGCAAAGTGAGTTCGAGGAGTTGCTGTGGTCAGAAAGTGGTTTGGTGTTGGCTGGTGGCTATTGACTGTCGTTCCTGTTGTCTGGCTAAGGCCGGAAGGGGGGGGGGTGTGACGTCCACGGCTATTTTCTGGTTGAGTCGCCCCAGGCACGACGGCCCAAAGAACGGAACGGAGCAAAGTTGGTCTAATAACGGAGTACCTAAAATAGGATGAAGCAAAGAAGGCTTCTACATAGCAGAGCCCACTGCTCGGAGGTGACGGACGAAAGAGGATCAGCCCAACACTGCAAGACTTTTGCAAATCGAGGGTTCGAGATGCATCGCTCAGCTGGTGCTCCAGGGTCGCTCAACGTGAGGCGGAGATGAGAGGAGTGCAAATACCGCGTCTTACAGGGAATAATACGGGCCTTGCCTGCCAGTCACTCAGCTGGAACTGGTGGACGGATTACTCACCCACTAACTCCGACTCGGTGCGTGTATTTCAAATACGGAGGTTTCGGTTTCTGGAAGAGTCGCGAGGTGGGAGACCGTATCACGCTAACAAAGTCTAGGCACGGCACTTGTAATTTACCGCCAAGCCTCCATTAAGCCTTATGAAACACACGCGTTCGTTTATGGACTGTACGGAGAAGCTCCGGTGCGCTGTGACATAAAATCCGACGTCGCCGCAGTCTCCAGCCCGTGTGTGGTGAGTAACTATATGTATAGATGAGTGCTGTAGAGGATAAAGCGAGCGAGGACAGGCTGGCTCTGCTGCGCGCATGCTGTTGGCCAAGAGTGGATTTGTGACTGGTCAGCAATGAGCATCCACGCCCGCCAAGCGCGATGCTTCGTAACTTCTGGATCGGCTTCGACCCTGACCAGGGGCCCACCGCGCTGCAGCCAATGATGAGGTCAACATCGGTGTATCACGTGATATCAACTTCGGGTGGCCGCCGCGTCGGGGCCAAAGAGCTTCTACAGAATTAGAGGCATCACGAAGTCGAGGGAGCTCAGCTTCTGCAGACGATGGAACGTGGACTGCAGGCAGCGTAAAGGCAACTGCTATGTAATGGATTAGTGTCTGACGGCGGCCTCTGCTGTTCTCCCGTTCTTTGTGTAGTCACTCACATAACTACTGGCTTTGTTGATCTTTGGCGTGCGATCCACGGCAGCTTCTCTAAACCCACAGCAGTACACATTCCCTTCCCTGTCTAATCTTGCCTGAGTAACCAAGATCACAAGACAATACGTCTACACACTCCATTACACTAGCCCTTCAATCACAAAGGAGCTTACATAGCCGCCACCTCATGGTGCAAAGGTTGTGTGTGTGTGTGTGTGTGTGTGTGTGTGTGTGTGTGTGTGTTGTAAAACGGCTAGAACAGTCTTGATGGAACCTGTTAGACCGCTCCCTCCCCGAATCATCGTCAAGCGCATTGTTTACTTTAAATAGTACCCTGAATATGTTGGTGTCTGTCTTGGTAGGAAAGGCAATACGATAGCTTGCAGTAGAGGTCAATGCTCTGATAACACCCAATCTCGATAGCCCATTCTGCTAATAATATGCCCGGACTTCCCAGATATTCAAGCAGACATTTCTCACAAGTTGTCATAAAAATACATATCAGATCGCCAGCTGCAAAAGCTCAGCACGGAGCTGACCCGAAACATGAGCAGCATAAAACAGAGTAAAACGGCAGCCAGGATCCTTCACACCGGTTGGTATATGTTGCACAAAAAATCATCCAGAAAAAGACTCGTATCCTCGTATAATCCAACAGACATCCATTCTCTCACTCTTGCTCCCTTCTCTTGTTTTCTTTCCCCCTCCCTCCCTCCCCTCTCTCCCTCTCTCAACCCAATTAAATCGATGTCCAAATGATCCGAAGAGGCTCAGGATGCACCTTCCTTCATCCTCAGCGTAAAATTCACGATGACCGCCGCAAACAATGCCACCGTCAAGACCGTAGGGCCAAAGCGATCGTCGAACCCGCTCTGGCCCCTTTTGCGAATGCTCGTCGCACGCCAGTGGAATGTCACTAGCGCATATATCATGGCAGCCATGGCCACAAAAGTAAAACAAGCAGCACTGATCTGGCCAACGCGATCCCCGAAATTAAGCAGGCCCAGCGCCAGGCCGCCGAGAATAATGGTGAAGTTCAGCCATGAGAGGAATGTTCGTTCGTTGGCGAAAAAGACTTTGGGTTCGACGCGGGTGGGAAGGGCGATTCGCTTGCCTACGGGAGGCATTTGTGAGCATGCTGTTGAAGGGTCGGCAGAGTGCTACATTCTGAACGAGACTAACCTGGGGCAGACTGAAGGAGAGGTTGACTGGACATAATGTGGTTCTGGTGACTGGTTTTTTTGTTCAAGGATACGGAGTGACGACGGGGTATGCCATACCATGGGCGGTTGCCTAATATAGTTAGTTTAGCGTCACCCACATGCAAGGCGCGTATCGCTGCTTTTGTAACTTTATATAAGCTGCCATCCTCCATCACGAGAACAGAAGAGCCAGAATGATTGGATAACAACCTGGATGAGGCCGAGTCACAGACCAGAAAGGAAGAATCTTAGGCAAAAGGGTCACAGAACTGGATAGTCAGGATAATTGGGACCTATCTAGACTGGTGGATAGACAGAGTAGTCATGACTATCTAAACTATCACCCCAAAAGCATCATATATATAAGAATGCTTATTATCAGTAATCTGATGAACTCACCTGCTAGAATTAAGTCTTTTACACTGTTGATATCGCTTTGGATATAACTTAATATACTTATTAAACTGACTGTTGGGACGAGAATGGGATAGAATTTCCAAACATCTCTTCATAGCAAGTGTATTCAGTAGCTCATCATATCATTCCTATTCTATTTCTTTGTATAGAGATACCGAGTTCAGTTCAGTTATTCAGTTGGATTAACCCCTTGAGGTTTTCTGTTCAATGACTGCCTCGATTGTCCCACAGTTATACCGATAGAATTTCCTTGCGTGGCTGTATCGCAGGTCGTACATACGTCAAGAGAAAGTATACCCTTCAGTTGGTACGATGCCTCAGTACCGTGCGTATACGATTGAGACGAGTGTGGCATCCTGGCAGATCAGTGGATAACACAAGCCCGTGACTTGTACTCATTCTCACCATTATTTTTCTCAGTAAGGATTCTGATGCAATTACATGGAGGACGGACGAAATGCCCGAAGCCTTGGCTGGAGCTTGGGTACTCTCCTGATAAATGATTGCAGCTTTGCCCGGAACTAGGCCAGAGGGAAACCTCGCTCGGGAGGACATGATGAAACAGCGGAGGCAGCTTTAACGGTGGGATCCAGAAACACTCACGCGCGACCAAACAGCATAGGAGTATAGATATACGGGGCCTGATTAAAAGCGATAGAAAAAAGAGATCAAAAACAGCAACAAGGAAATAAACAAACGCGTAAAGTCAACATCCAGCAAATAATAGGCTTTCTGGCGAGTTTAGATAAGTGATTCGCCGTTGCTAAGCTGCAAGGTCACCGCCAAAATAATCACAGCAATCTGTTGCGACATCCTCCGCGCTCGAAATGTCTCAGGGCCCAAACTCGTTCATCGTCAAGAATGAGTTATAGTCAGTAGTGCGCTCAGGGCCTGTAAGGTACTCAACATACTCGGCGTCATAATCCGCCATGACAATAAATATCTCGTGCCGCTCCTGAGCAAGCAGCATGCCACTTCGGCCTTGGTACTATTTGAGGGGCTCGGGCTTTCAGGCTGCGATGGTTCGGACTGCGGTATCTGGTCCATAGTTTTGAACCGGGTCCCCTCCGCGAGGGGGTAAAATTGAATATGGCTGTCGATGTAGCGGTCCTCGATGTCCTCGGTGCTCAGCCTGGATTGTAGAACGAGCTGTTGATAGTACCACATGGGCTTAAAGTCTCCCAGAGGCGGGACGGGGAGGAGATCATCCGGAGGGTCCATTTCATCTTCCCTGACCTGTTTGACGAGTCCTTTCCAGTACGAAACGTCGTTCAACCACTCTTTGGCTTTTCGGTCCCCTTAATTCCGCAATTTTCAGGCACGAGACCGGCAGAGCTGTGGATTTTCCAAAGAGCCCGGAGGGCAAGGTACTGTTTTGCTTCGATTTTAGAAGCCGAGGAGTAGTCCTTGATCATATATATATATATATATATATATATTTGGTGTCACGGCATCTTGTTGGCTGGCATATTTTTTCCACAGTCTCTTCGAACTAACCATAACCGGAAGAGACTTCTCGACAAGGTCCATCTAGCTTGAGTTAGAGGTATGTATCAAGCCAAGAGAAAGAAGAGAGTAAATTGGAAACTGGTGGTGAGCGGCAGAAAATAAAAAGAAACTGAAAAAAAATTAAATGCCGACAAGGTACAAAAGCCCGCTGCCTTGTATATCTAGTTGCCCTATAAGTGTAGTCTAGGAGCAATCACTAAAACGGTGCAACATGTTGACTAGAGGCATAGTGATTGGAAAGACACCCTAGGCCCAAAACGAGATACCTTAACTGGTGACGGGCCATGTCACCTGGTGGATGAGATGTTTCCATCTCTGTTCAATGAGAGCAGAGGCATTAAACATTGTTCTCATAGCTGCAAACATATCCAGACATCCTCTGTTCAAGCAGGCAGTACTGTCCAGAAGTTTCAGACACAATATGATCCCAAAATTCATGCATCCTATTGTGAATTTTGAATGAGCCCCACTTCCATGAATAGCAGTGGAATGCGGTTTGGCTCAGCATAGGCGCCGATATTCTGGAGGCTCATGGGTTGTAAATTGAAGAACTTGAATGGGATTGGTTTGTGGCAGATGTGAGACTTCTTGGCACTGTAAAATCATGATTTTGCACTACTTTGTACTCCGTAGTTGGCAACATTCGAACTCGATAGCCTCCTATTATAGTTACAAACAATTAGCCGGAATTATACTCTGTACTACATTTTGTTATTTGATTGAAGCTATTACTGCTTCCAAATTACAAGACAACGCCACCGCGCTTAGCATTCTTGGACGCTAGCGTCAGAGACACCATCCGAGTCTGCCAGCAAGCAGAACGTGGAATATAAAAATGAGATGCTATCAATTGCTCTCACTTGCAACTTGTTTAAATTGTCTTCCTCTTTTGCCCCTTCCTGCCATTTGAGTTGCGCAGTTGACTTGCGCACATACATACCTCGTCAACATAACGTCCTTGAATATAAAACACGTGCGTCATTTTATCATTTCTCGCTTTGGGAAGATCCAACGCGTAGCCCATATAGTGGACTGCATATTCAAGGAAACAAGGGCTCTGAAGCACAGCGAGCTGACTGAGAATGGCCTCTGGAACTTGAGAATCAGCCTATATTGTATTGATCCCGAGAAGCCTTCTGTTAGCGATCGGATGAGTTTCTACGCTCCACTTCCAAAAGAATGTCCGAAGATTTACTGGGATGAAAAGAAAGACTTGTTTTGGAAACAGCGAACTGGGCTCAAGTAGGGACCACGCCCTGTCAACAATCACCTCCAAATCGTTTCTAGCGACTTCTGGGCCGCCTTGCTGGACCAAAATAAGAGCCAGCTGTGGGACCAGCGCAGGTAGTCCTTTGCATTTTCCTTTTCAGACTATGAAGAGGAAATGGAGAAATTTTTATCGACTTCCCTTTCACTTCCAGATGCAATAACGAGTTGTCGAGAATCGGATCTGGTGAATATTCCGCGTCATGGCAAATGCTCGGGGAAGCCGATTCTGTGGTGACCCGGTACCTTCACTGCAGTTTCAGGATAGCCCATGCCGCTGAGCCCCTGGAGCCCCTTCGGCTCAGTGGGATGCTGCCGATTGTCGCAGTCATGAAGTGGAGAATGAGACAGTGGCGCTATGTAAACCATGATATTTTTTCAAGCACTATCCCCAAGAATCGATATTTGTTTTTGAGTATTTCGCGGACCATCTCCTACATCTTGCTCAAAAGGACTTGCCACTCGAAGTGACAAAAAGGATTCTCAGGGATGCTCTTCGTGGAATTGTAGAATTCCATGATCAGGATATTGTTCATACTGGTACGTAATCCCTATCGTGGATTGTAAGCGGTGCCTTACTTGGAGTAGATATCAAGGCGGACAATGTTTTTAAACGCGTCATCTTTGCTGTTGGGGAAGATGAGTTGGACGAGGATGTGGACCGTTTGAGCATTGTCATTGAGCGCCAAGTATCATACTTTGCAGATGAAGGTGGAATGAGTGGGTTTTTGAAGCATCTTGGTGATAATCCCTGGGTTCGTGTTTTCGAAGTAATTCGGGATGGTTTCGACAAAGATCACCCTCGCAGACCATTTTCCCTCTGGAAGGGTGTTGATAAAGACTTTAAAAGTCTTGTCTGTGCCATGACAAATTTTGATCCGAAAAAGAGAATCACGGCCCATGAGGCGTTGGCGCACAAGTGGTTTGAAGATGTCTCACATGAGCAGGAGAAGCAAATTCTCTTAAGAATCAATATCTCTAATTAGCGCTTCTCAGATTGTTACATTAAGCCTTCTCAATAGGGAATGAACAAGGGGAACACACAGATGAATATTCAATCACACAAACTTCAACCGCGAGTAAGCAAGGCGGAGAATGCTAACTGCTTGATGACCTGTGGATTGCGGAAGGGACATGTGTGTATCAAAGGGAAAGCCATGACAATTATGTGAACTACACTATCTACTTCTCCACTCAAGCCTTCCTTGGTCCACCTGCTTTCTTCTTCACTGCTCTTCCACAACATATTGGCTGCTGATGTAGTTTCACCTTGTCTGCCTCAACAGGGGTAAACTCCTCTACAGGCTCCCAGATGCAGTGCCATGCAACATAAACCCATGACTTCTCATTCTCATCTCATAGCCAAGGAAGCCACACTTTATTGCCAAATCAGGCCACATGGATCCAATCAATATAGAGCTACCAACATGTAGTGGTTTCCAACAGTACAGGAGGCTGGGGTCTAATTGTTTTGGGCTGCTTTTGGCTTGTTGTTTTGGAGCCACTGTCAGTTGCAGTGGTGGTGTCAATCATCTCAGTGCAGTTATATTCACTATCCTCATACTTGCTCTTGAGAGCCCAAGTGAGAGGGATCATATCATTGTTGTCTGATGCATACCCTTCCTTGACCACATGATCCAAAGATATCTTAGACTGCTCCCTGTTACTTGAGAGTCCCGAAGTCTTTCCCAAGATCGCGTCCGACTGGGACACATCACCCCCAGCCATGGTCTTGTTATTGCTCAAGCACAGGTTCAAGTCCTCAGTAATTAGGATCAGTGTGTCTGGTGCACATTAGAATCGTAGAGACCGAGGGGTGTAAACATACGTTATCTTGAGTGTCTCCAGACTCTACCTGCATACAGGGACCATTCCTGAAAGCACCATCCAAACTAGTAGAATTAGCAACTGAGTGGCTAGGCCATGGGCGATTCTTATTGCCCTGGCTGGGATTCTTCAGGTGATAGCACGCCTCATCCAAGTCAAGCAAGACATCAGTATCTAGCAGGCCAAGATTATCATCATCAGAGAAGAGATCACAGAGCAGATCTTCATCATCACTAGTTATATAATTTTTTTTTTCTCTGTCTGCAGGCTGGCTCTGGGATGGTGAGGGAGATGTTTCCATACTCAGTGCTTCCACAATTCACACAGATGTTAGTTTGTAGGGCTCCAAGCTCGTTCATTCTGTGTAAGTGATGCTAGAATTTGTAGCAATGTTCACCTCCGTAGCCTTTGGATAAAGATTGCCAGGTTGGTAGTCAATGAAGCAAAGGCTTGACTAGAACTAGGAAACAACCCAGAGCAATTGAGCTGAAAATTGTTCATCTTGCTACAGGTGACTGTGGGAGCAGGATTATTAAGTTGGGTATAGAGTAAGGAATGTGTAAAACTAGTAGGAAAAACAGTAGATTTTATCTTCGAATCTGCGCTGGAAACATTGTGGATCCTGTACTTTCACGCTAGATCACCTAGGCAAAAATGCCAATCACCAGTTCAATATCCCTAATAGCATGCCACATTGTTCATGATTCGTCCCACCAGACCAGCGAAGAGGGCAGGCCAGATCTTTGACCGCTCCGGTTTCCCCCAAGCTAGTTACGGGTCTTGGCGTGCTTATCTAAGGAATATTCTCACGACGTCACTGTTTGGGACGAGCACGCAGCGGCCTGGATTATTTTCAAGCTGAAGCTGAGGCGAGGATTCCGCAGTGAGCTTTAACCTGTTGTTTCCAACTTTATCGTCCCTCTTCAAAGCCTTGAGTGCTGCGGAGCCTTCCCCTCGTTCACCAAACCTCGCTTACCTTCTTGACCTTGCGACATCTCACAATGACCACTGAAGCTACGCCTAACAATCCTGTTCGTATCCCTTTCTCGAAGAGTACGAGCCGCTTGTTTTGTTTGTTAACAGCTTCTCCCCTGTAGCCTGTTCCGATCGAGGAGTTGTCAAGGATTGCGGCTGAGGTATGATTGGGATTGACACCCGTGTTCCAAAGCGAAAGTTGACCCCTCCATACTCACATCGCAATTTGAGCTGCTACGCAGGCATGCGACGCAACACTAGAAGGTGTTAGCAGCTATGACCACGAGAAAGTTGGCCAATGGAGCTCTCAAATAATCGTACGTTCTATCGAGCCCTTCCATTTTCGCATTTCGTCGCAAATGATACATTGACCAGCGACATATCAACTAAACCATTCATTGCCCACAGAACAAAATCCTCCAATCGCTAATATCAGCCACCACGTCCACTGGTTCCACAACCTCTCCATCCCCATCAGAGTCCAAACAACCCTCCTACCGTTTTACCGTGAACTGCACTGTAATTCAACAAGGCCTCACCGACGCGCAATCTTCAGACTCTAACCTAGGCGCGAACTCGGTCGAAGTTGCGGGGCGGCGTGGCATGCACTCTGCGTCGGGCGCATACTGGGATATCAAGCGCGACGGGATGTGGACATATAAATACCCAAATGGAATCGAGAAAGGGTTGGACTTGGTGCTAAATGTTGTCTGGTTCGGCTCTTTTTGAAGTGAACCCTGAAGAAGCGAAAGTAGGCAGTGTGCCCCTTTATGGTGGGGAGTTATGTTGCTTCTTTTTCTTTAAGCTAGGCTCATGTTCAACAACACAAAAAAAGGAAGTAGGATGAGCCCCGCGTGGATTGTAGATTCTTTTGGGTGTAACGAGATCAAGAAATTAGCGTGCGGAGAGGTCAAGGATGAAGGTAAAGAGGAGCTTCAATATACTCCGCGAAGCATTGGGTATTGGATCCATTTCTTATGCCGATGGGTGTTTATAATGAAACTGGATCTTTCAGGTCCCTCGATTCGCGGATTGGCGTAGAAAACCTTTATGACTTCTCAGACCTATGACATGTATTGGCAAATTCAATTTGCAAAACATTAAACCTTCGGAGCCTCTTCTATCCTAATGTAATAAAATCCACCCAACGCCATGCCTGAAGAAATAAGTCATTGAGAATTTGGACATGAAATACAGGGAGTCGTAAAGCAATGACGGGGCAGAGAAGGTATCATAAATTCGACGAAAAGGGTGCATATACATAAATTTCAACACCAACAAGCTTCTTTTAACAAATCATCTCGGTTCCGAGTAATCATTCAACGCAACACACACTGCCCCTCGATGATGGCCGCTGTACTGTCGGATGATCTGCCCAGACGCGAGCTCCCACAAGCGGGCATAATGATCACTGCACACCGTAACAAGATATGCGGAATCTGCGGAGAAGGCACAATCCCAAACCCAACGCTGGTGAACGGCAAGGGTGGTTTCAAGATAAAGCGTGTTGGTGGTTGGGTCTATAGGAGGCCTTTCTAGCAGCGCTAATGACTGTGGGCTGGGTTCCTCATTTTCAGTGGAGCCTTCGTAATCAAAATCTCTTTGGGTGGGGTGCGAAACCGGTCCATCTCTGGAGTCTGAGCTTGAGCCGTATTCGTGGGGCCTGTCCACGGTCGTATGCTGACTAGCGGCGGTTTCAGGGACCCCGTTGGTCAGCTGAGGTTGATACATATGGGCTTTGCCGTTTGGTGCTGGAGTTTGGGGTATTGGAGAAGAAGCATTGTTAGGGCCTTGGACCTCCTCTCCTGCTGCGGCCCTGGCCTCAGCCGCGGCTTTTGCGGGGGGGTATTCCGGGTCAAGGTTCCAAATTCTAGCAGTATGATCTGCCGAACAAGTTGCGAGATGTTTAACATCAGGGGACAACAAAACCCTTGTGATGTAGTCCTTGTGTGCCTGGAAGGTTGCGATGGGCACTATTTTGGTAAGGTCGTGATCTTGCACCATGCGCCATAGGTATACATTTCCCTATAATGCACCACATGAGCAAGGTTGGCATTTCACACAAAGTCAGCTCAATGTAGTGTTACCTTATTATTTCCAGCGCAAAGCAATGATCCATCACTGGCAACACTAACGCTTGCCACAGACACATCTTCCTCGGGTATCAACTGATGACTGCAGCGATTCTCCCCTAGATCCCAGACTCTGATGGTACCTGAGTAGTCGCAGCTAATCAACTCTCCCTGATTCGGGTGGATCACAACGTCGTTAACCGGCGACTTGTGATTGTAATTCCTCTGAAGCGACCCGGACCGCGTCTCCCAAACCTTGACTGTACCATCTTCTGAGCTCGTAACCATCCATTTTCCTTCGCAGTGAAACGCGACGCCGGTGACATTGTTCGTGTGGCCATTGAACGTCATAACAGGATCGGGTATATTGGACTTAATGTCGTAAAGGTTCACGCTGTGCCGGCCAGCCGCAGCGATATAGCGCTTATCGGGGGTGATGCATAGCCGATTCACCTGGGACAAAGGGTGCTGGATTGTCCTCGAACATATTCCTGAGAGGGCTTCCCAAAACCTGGTTGATGAGTTAGAGGTGACCTTCCAGAATTCACAGGTCAGCATTAAAAAATTTTAGAAAATGTGTTGCTTACCGGATTGTATGGTCATAGCCAGCTTTGAAGGGAGATTGGCCTTAGCTGCTTTCCCACTTCGTGACAATGAAGAGGCATGAAGGCTTACCGGTACATAGAATGACACTCATGCTGAAAGAATTCACGTCCTCAACACCCGCCAAATGGAAATACAGGATTAAAGAATTAAGGAGGCTCTGTCGCACTCCCTTGGAGGACTCTTGAAACTGCGCAGGCAGCGTTTCTGGGAGCTGTGAATGTCCCGACTCTTGGCTGATAGCGATAAGCCCAGTTGCGGCAACGCCACATGACTAAGATTTGGTTATTCAGCATTATACTAGAATAAAAAAGGCTAGTTCGGTAGTTCTAGTGCTGTGATTACACATCACAACCTTCACTTTGGGGCAAACGCACGGACCACCGCTTAAATTGACATTTTGTTCGAGAAAATTGGTGAAGGACGTGAGGCTTCGAGCTCAATTCTGTCGGAACACAGCGTTTTCATGTCCTCTTGTGAACAATAGAGATCTCTTTGGGCCTTCTATTGGTCTAACTGTTCTACCTGAGTGATTGGATTGCCATCAGGAGGTTGCCCCAAGGCACACATTTCCTGGTCCCCATTCACGGCTCCAAAACTTCCATCAGCATAGTGCTGGTGGGCTCCCTCTACCCTTTTGAATCAGGTTATAAACCAGGCTCATCTCTGGGGCTTTAGATGGTCCAATCCATCAAGCTACCTTTGCAGCTTCATCTTTGATAGATTTCCTATCCAAGATGGAGACAGCAACGCCATCTTCAGAAGGTATTTATGCTTCTTTAGGCTTGCAACAGCACCCTACTCCAAACCATTCTGAACTCCCTTCTTCTCAGCCTGTCACTGGTCAAGGTCTGGGGCTTACACCTCTCCCCGGGTCACAGCTGCAGCAGGATCGAAATCACAATCAGAACCAGGACCTTGATCTTCAAGGTCTTGGTGCGGGTGATGACCTGTTTGACCTGCCGGCCGAGTATGATTTAGATCCGAACGAGCTCGATCGGTTTCTCCGCGATGTAGACCTTTCTGGTTTGTTGTCAACTCAGGGTCAGCCTGGCCAGACGCCCACCAATGATGTCCCGGTGGCTGGACCTTACCAAGCCCAGAACCTGATCACTGGAACGCAAGAACTCCATCGTCCTGTCCCGACCGTCCTTCCTGGTCCTACTTTCGCGAGTGATTCGAGGTACCGACGACTTGCCCCGACACCAGGTCGTGGACCCGAGCATAAAAGATCTGTCGATGATATCAGTGTTGATGAGGATCATGTACTATCCTCTGTCAAAGGTAATGAACCTGTTGCAAAGAGACAGTGTATGGGCCACTCCATTCAGTCCACCTTTATCGGCGATAGTCATCCCGTCTCCAATGTGTTCCGTCACGACCATCGACGCCGTCCACCCCGGATGGATGCAGCCATAGGGTCAATCGAAAAGCCTCAACCCTATGCTAGATCCGGCGTTCCTGTGATCGCAACGCCTATCCTTAGTGAAGCACACCAGGGTTCAAACAACCAATCACGTTCATCTTTGGGCATTCCCTCGACCGGCCTGTTTAACGCATCTAGCAACTCGAGCAGTGCGTCAACGAACAGCGTAGGCTCCGTATCGACATCTCTTGCATTGGAGAAGCGAGGAGATCTCGCAATCCACCAATCCACGAACTCCCAAGCAGCATTATCGTTACCCCCGTTTCGCCCCCATGGCGTAGCACCCGCTACTCCATGTCACTCAGTAGATATAGATGCTGCTAGTTTTGAGCGTGAATCGTCTATTGATTCTCTGTTTGATGATCGGGCCAACAGCCCGTTGTTGGACGCCGCATCCACAAGCCAGAACGCCGGAAAACCTCAATTTATGATGCCTTTGATAGCAAATACCACTGGACCCCGGATATCCGAGCATCTCAAGAAAGTCTGTCAGTTAAAAGATGAGGATATCCTTCTAACTCAATCTCGAGAAAGTGGGTGGTTTTGCCGCCAAAGACCCAAATATATCTCCCCATACCCCCGACCGGGGGGAGATCTAGGCTATCTTCCATCTAGCCCATCTCTTCACGTCAGATCGATCAAAGCCGCGGATGACGAGGTTGCATCTCTCCTCAACGACTATCGAAAACGACTCGAGACGTGCATTTCTGATCGGGATAAACTCATGGCGGAACTCCAGATGTATAGCAACGTTGATCCGGTGACTCAAAAAAGTCAATATCAGAGGTTTAAAGACGACATTAAATATCTGAAGCGGGCGGTAACTGTGAACGCGAAAAAGGAGGAAGAGGCCTCAAAGGAGGCGCGTTATTGGCAAAACCGGTATTTCGGTCTTGTCAACATATACAATAACCTTTGCGCACAGTTCCATCAACTGCGACAGCTAGTGCAGCCAATGCAATTTCAGGTTCACCAGACTAGGCTAACCCAACAATGCTCCGCACCGGCTCCAATTCAGCAAAATACCCAGGTACCCAGACTACCAAGCAATCGCCCTGCACCAACTAGCGTGACGTCGACCCCTGCTACTGGTAGCGCCGTACCATCTGCTGCAACTTCTGCGCCTATGACTCCTAGCGCTTCATCTGCACCAACCCCAGTCATGGTTGATTTAACTGGCGACGCGGACGGCGATATGTCAAGTCAACCAAAGAAAGCTCAAAACGTCAATTCCACTCCTGCAACAGACATCCCAGTTTCGCAGAAAGAACTTTTCAAGTCCATGCGCAAGAAAGAATATCGGTGGCTGGGTAACAAAAATCACATGCAACAACGTTTCACGAATGCTTTAACCAGTCAGCCCCAACCGCATACTAATGTTCCATCAAATACGGCTAATACTTCCTCTACCCCTACGACACCTAACAACTGTCGACATGACAGAGTAAAGGACAACAGTGTATCTGGTCGCCCTCGTCAAACCGCGTCAAGTCGTCAGATTGAAACGGGTGTGCACCAGACAGCAACCATGCCCGATGCGTGTGATCCCGGAGATAATGAATTTGCAAGGATGATGGAGGGAAATTTGCAGGGTTCGAGTGATATAGACACAACAGGCTCAGGGACGATTTCTGACCCAGCCACGGTTGCGGCCGACACCTCAGAAGTGACGGAAGGAGATGATGATGAATTTGCGAGGATGCTGGAAAAGGATCTTGAAGCTTCAAGTTGAGCAAGAGGCATGATTGTGTCTGAAGGATGTTGAGGTCGTCTGAAGCATTCGACAGCATTGTAAGGTGTTCGAGGACGACTATTGTGTGGGCTTTGTGGATTTTTGTTTTTCTTTTTAAAATCAAGGCTGGTATTGACCTCTGCGAGTGTGTTGATACTTTGTCTCCCTTCAATGTGTGTTTGTTTTCCAAGGATTTTTACAAGAAATTGTGGATGAATTGAAGGATACGGCGTGATTTCAATGATGCTGTATGTGTATGATACCCTTCACGCTTATGGTATGTGTTGAAATGAGAACAGCTCCAATATTATCCATTCCGGTTCTGGGGTATTTCTTGATCTACGGCACACTTAATAGAGCCCTGTTCGGGAGTCACAGATCAAAGCTTTCCTAATATTTCTAAAGTTTTGAATTTTTCGAAGATACAGATATCAAGTAGGGATAGGATAGTAAAAAGGTGAATTCTGCTGTACGGAGTACTTTCCGGCGGTCTTATTCACACTTCTCATCTATCGCAAGGGGACGAAGGGGGGGGGGAAAAAAAAATGCAACAGGGTATATAATCTAAACGTCCACCCTCATCCTGTTCCAGCCATGGGTCCTCCGCCTGGTATCGCTGCTTTTTTCCTCTCCGCCACTTGCACAATGCCTAGACGAGGAGGAATTTTCTCTCCGCACGAACAGCCCCTTTTTCCCGCCGCCAACACCATTTTTTTCTTCCCGTGCTTTCTTCCTGGGGCCACAGCAGCAGCAACAACAGCACGCGCACAGGCTGGCGGCATGGAAAATGAACCCGATAGCTGTCAGGCCCACAGCAGTCCACATAAACGCTAGCATCCGGGTGCCCAACTGAGCGTGGATATTCAAATCTGCCTCGTTTCTCACGAAGACCATTTTGAAAATTGTGAACATTGCCGTGGCTATCACGGAGGCGGCAGCGGTGAGGAAAAATGTAGCGAAGGTGAGAAGGGTGAGTGGGAAGAGGTATCGCTTCTTTGCGAAATGGGTTCGTCTTTTCGACGGGGAGGGAGAAGGAGTGGTGGGGTTCGTGGTGGAGACAGAGAATGGGGTGAGAAGTATACAGATGAATGCTAGGACGGCGGCGGTAAGGAAGAGGCCAAACATCCAGTGGGATGCTATACGTGCGATGTCGAGAGCTTGGGTGACGTCGCCCGGGAGCGCAACTAGTCGAGAGCACTTTAGTGCCTAGCCTTTGGGTGAAAGCGGGATTTTTGAAATGGCAATGGACTTACTTGTAGCCCCAGCAAGCAGCTCATTCAGTAAAATCTCAACGGGGTTGAAGAAGTACATCTTTCTCGGGGCTGAGCAATATGTGATTCCTGAACCGTCATCGTATCCTTCGCAGAAATTCCACAAACCGACCTGGTAGAAATCATGCAGCCCGATCGTCCGGGCAATACTGTTGATGAGGACGGCGTCCGGAACGGAACGGGGTATTATCTCTGATAGATCGATTTTAAGGAAGTATGTGTCTCGGAGTACGGGTCTGTCGCTGACATTTCCGATCTCGACGAGAATGAGAAAGATGAGGGCAGCAAGGTAAAGAAGGGCGTAAAAGAGACGCCATCCGGAAAATGAGCCTCGTTGTAGGTCTCTGGATGTTGGAGGAGAAGCCTGATTCCTATTCTCTTTACGACGGAAGCTCAAGGGTAGAAAGGCCATTGTTCATCCAATCGATTACCGTGGAGGAAGGGCAACCACCGGTAGCGGGTATGGACTCCCGGCTACACTTCGACTAGAAACGAACGTCACCCGAACGGAGGAAGAAATTCAAACGTTCGAAGCCAAAAATCGGCAACGATGTGTTCCAGCATGACACAGAACAAGAGACAGGTGCGGAGGGATGTGTTTGATATTTTCAGAAACGGGTGAATATACCAAAGGGCCATGAAGCAGGAGTAATTCGCCACCGCCTTTGAAGGAGACGCGTCCGCAAAGAAACGACAAGCTTTTTCAGCCAGTAATCGTGCGATTGATTTGGGGACAAAATCAGGGAATCAAGGTGGAGCTCCCCGTACGGTGCGGATGGGGCGTTGGGCGTTTGGTTCCGCAGCATGGTCTTTGTCTCCGCCAGCGGGCGCTCTCTGACATCTGCGCAAGCTCTGGTCGATGTCGTGGACACTTTGCGGCTCCACACTCCCGTCAACCAGCCATGTTCAAACAGCGGCAGTCCGGAGTACAGTATCCAGCACGGTGATCCGGATCTCAGGCCGGCCCCCACTGCCCGGGATCTCTCCTGTCAATGGCAACGGCCGTGTTGGTTGCCGAAGAGAATTCCAAACGCGCGGCGCAGGGGCTTACGTAACCGCGGCTGAGGGAAAGTGGGGCTTGGACCCACTACGTCATTGCCAAGAACCGTCAAGCATAACCTTGTTATGTCAGCAGGACATGGATCAGATAAGATAGGGTTCGGTCCCTGATCCGACGGAAGTTCCCTGTACCGTACCGACGGCGAGAAAACCGAGATATGTTCAATCGGCAATTAAAATTAAACGTCGAACTGTTTACTACGACAGACGGGTATGGTGCGGTGCGGTGCGTTTGCCCGTTAAAACACTACGCTGACTGGAGTACAACTCGCACCGTTGGCCCAGAGCACATCAGCCCTTGATTTTTACCCCGCTCCAGAGATGTTCGAAAAACGGCTACATATGTAACCGTGAGCAATTCTGCTGCCTACAATGCGGAATGAACAGAAACTCAATTAATGGCGGAAAGGTTTAACCTGGCCAACTTGTGCAGATAGCCGCTTGAACACCCTGAAGGGCGAGGCAGGACCATTGGCTGAACGGAAAAGCCCGGAACTACATCTCGTATGTTGTACATGCCTGGGCCAAATTCCCCCTGCCAGGAGGGATGTCCGTGTGGGGGTTGGCCATGTTGAAGATATAATCTCAAGTCTTCCGATCCGGACAGGACCGAATGTCTTCCTCATCTTGTCTGTCGCGCCTTTCTCTAAGCTGTGGCCATTCCCTTTCCAAAAAAGCGCTCACACCTATCAGTACCGTACCAGAATGGCTACCTCCAAGAGCAACCCACTCCGAATCGGAGTTCTGATCAGCGGCTGGGTGCAACTCCTAGACCTCGCCGTAATTGACCTCTTCGCCATAATGTCCCCCGGATATATCAAAACCTGCCATCTCCCACAGTCTATCGTCGACCTAGCCGTACCTTTAAAAATCCACTACATCGGCGCGTCATCGGCGCCTGCAAACCTATCTGCGAATGTGTCCATCAATCTCACTGACACCGTCTCTTCTCCCTCCGTATCCCCGGGAAATCTTGACATTCTCATGATTCCAGGCCCGGATCCGAACCAGGTCCCCTCTGACGACCTCAAGACGTTTGTCCGAGAGCATCACGATGTCGGAACCACGATCCTTAGCATATGCACTGGCTGTATAGTAGCGGCACATGCGGGTATTCTCAACGGCAAAAGGGCCACTGGGCCTAGGATTATGATTCCAGGACTGCGCGAACAATTTCCAAAGGTGAAAGAGTGGGATGGTTCGTGCAGGTTTGTCAAGGATGGGAATGTTTGGAGCAGTGGTACGACCTTTTCTCCTGGGACCGTTCTGCTTTTTCCTTTTCGTTTCTTCTTTCTTTTAAAATGCGTGAATCTGACAGTGCTTGTCAAAAAGGGAGCATAACCAATGGATTTGACCTTGCCATCGCATATTTGCGCGAAAATTATCCCGCACCCCTTGTGGACGTGGTATGTGACCTGTCTGAAGTCGCAGACAGGCCATCTGAATATGTTTCGGGCCTGAGGTCAGAATTTTTTGGAAAGTTATGAACATTTTACCATTGTTCTAACTTGATAAGAAAAGGTGAAATGCCTAAAGAAAATAATTGTTCTTAGGACTCAAGCAAAAAAAAGATGGTTCATGGATATAACTTCTGCGATGATTCTCAACACCTCTCTCCCCACCTTTTTTTTTTTTTTTTTCTTTTCATACAACCCAACATTCTAGGGTATATAAGAATCTTTTGAAGTTCCCAGACCTATACCAGCCCATATATACCTTTTCCCAAAGCGCCATACGCAGATAATCGAAGCCGCAAACGCCCATCAGCAAAGAGTATAACCGCCATCACGGCAAAGTAAACAGAAAACTTGTTGTAATAGTGGCCAGAAGCCCAACAAAAAAGCTTTGCTTCGCACCGGAAGACAGGCCTTTGGACGCGGCGGAAGTTTGTCGGCCACAACACTTTCTGTTGTATGTGACGTTATTACAGTTCGCTGCAACCTCGAATACAGATCCATTGAAATTGCCGATGTTGTAATAATCGACCAAGATAAAATTTGGTGGCCGAGTCCATTGTTCTAAACGCAATTTGTGGTTAGACAGGTATTAAATGAGAGTCGAAAGGCGTAAAGGGGTCTGACCTGTGCAATTCCCAGCCATGGCGCCGGCACTTCCGTATCCAGAAACGGCATTTGTCTCATTCAGTAGAACTGTATTCGGGACGAGTAGGCTGGCACCTGCTAGAGAAACCTCGGTATTGAGGTTATGGTTGGCCATGTATAGGCGCTTCTTTGCATCTTCTGCACTTAGGCCTGGTGGTCTATGGACAACGCAAGGAAAGTCTCTATTTGTCGGGGAGAAAGGGGTCTCCCACATTTGTGAAAACTCATCCAGGAGGTATGGTACTTCGGTCTGGTTAGCTTTGTAGTCGAGATATACAATTGCTCTCTGGCCAGTCAAGATGAAGTGGGAGAGAAGTGGCCAGTCATCGAGGGCCATCGGTATCTTTGAAGGGGTGTAGACATAGTCGATTAGACCGGAATTCTCTATGGGTTTGGTGTAGTTGGTCGGAAGGATGAAGTTTGAGTTGCCCATCAAAATCGAGACAACGTCGTACGGATTGGCTCTGAGCCAGTCGGCTACTTTCCGCAAATAATCCTCCAACGGGCCGACATCGAGTAAATCACAAGAGGAATGACACAGGCGAATGGTACCGTTGATATAGTGAGTCTGGAATTGTACTTCAAAGGGAGCACGGAGCAGTTAGTGAAAATATGCGATAGGAGGGCGTCGAAGGTCCCGGATCGGATCACTTACGCATACGAATTCCATCATTGAGTTGGATGGTCACATCAAGTTCCTGGTTTCCGGCGATATTTCCCCGCCGTACGAAAGGGCTGTTGTGGGCCGCAATATGTGTGATGTTGGAATACTTCCTTTCACAGAACTCTGGATAACCGTTACACGGACGGGTGTTTGTGGGGACGGCAGCCGATTCGGTCGAAGTGGCTGTAGCATTCCCAGACAGTGTGGTTCCATTTGTGGTGCTCACTCGCTTGCTACCGATGAGGAGAGTCCCCCCGTCAGAAGTTGCAGCGCTCTCTGAGCCGGTAACTGTCTCAGTGCCGGTCCGGGCAGACTCTAGCTGTTTATCCGTCGCACTGACAGTAACCACCGATGAGTAGCTTTTGTAGAGACCTGAGGTGTCGGAAGGAATGGGATCACCAACGGATAGCGAAGAGGGTATGTTTGTCCCTGTGAGGGTGATGATATCGTCTGCATATATGGAACCCAGCAAAGAGGCTACGGCAAGAAGATGGAAGCTCAGCAGCATGGTCAGAAACACCGGCTGGTTCACACAACGCAGGATCTCGGAACCAAAGGATTGTTTGGGTTAAATCGAGAGAAAGTTATTCATTCAAGGACGCAAAAAAGCCAGATGAGATAATACAAACAAGGGGAAAGGCCGAGTTCATCACTCGTAAATCGAATGCAACGGCTGATGCTTCAGAGCTAGGCAGAAAGGGTTTCAACTTGCAGGCAAGGGACGATGGAAGCAGCCCACTCTCTGGAGGAGAAAAACGAAAAAAACTAAATTCAAATTCGAGATCAAGATCAAAACACCGCTTGCAGATCGAAACAAGAACAGGAATGACAATCGCAGCCAGATCATCGTCGCGGAGCTGGTGCTATAAAAAGCTGTCAAGCAACTGGCTCGTTCGGTGGCGATCCTGACAGCGCCCGCCGTCGTCATCGCGGGCCCTGCGGGTGGGTCGAAGGCGGCCGTGAGACAGTCGCTGAGCCAGCAACGTACATAGCGGGTGGGCGGCGGCGGTGAATGGTCTCTCTCGTGGGTTGAGAGCTTGTTAGCGGTGGAACCCGGCGCGCCGTATTGCATGTAAGTACATTTCCAGTTATCAGGGCTGTTCGACAGCCAACTAACTAACTACTGGCGTGAGCGACATCGAATCCCATTGTTTCCCCCCTGACGATGTCAAACTGTATTTCGAACAGTCCTCGTTGCGTGTCTGCTAGTGTCAGCCAGAGCATGTAAATTGTGGCACCCATTTTAAGTAGCCATCAAAAATAAACGAATCGTCGTCGTCGCGGGGGAAAATCGCTGCTGGTGAATCAATCGGTGACGGTGGGCGGGGATGCACATCCGGGCTCAACGCAAACGGACTTTCAAATTTGCTTCTCTGAGCTGCCTTCGCTCGCAAAGCAGCCCGTCCGCGATCCCCTCCACATTGTCTCTAGCCAAGGGAGCAGTGCTTTAAGCCTTGTACCTCCCCCCCAACAGGACCTAGAGAAGAATTTGATTCACCCTTCAAAAAAAAAAAAAAAAAAAAAAAAGAAAAAAAGAAAGGAAAAATGGTCGACATCGTCCCCCTCTGCTCCTATCCGTCCTACCTCTCCCTCCTCCCGTCCATCCAGACATGTAACATCACCAATCTCCCCGAAAACTACTTCCTCAAATACTACATGTACCATGCCCTCTCCTGGCCACAGCTCAGCTTCGTCGCCGTCGTCCGATCCCCGCCCAATGGCGGCAAAAACAAGTACAGCGGAGATTATCCCAAGGTGGTCGGATACGTGCTCGCCAAGATGGAGGAGGAGCCACTCGACGGAGTTGCACACGGGCATATTACAAGCTTGAGCGTGATGAGGACGCATAGACGGTTGGGCATCGCCGAGAGGTTAATGAGAATGAGCCGTATGTTCCCAGATCCCGCACCTCCTTGAGGAGCCCATCCACTCTCACGCTGGTTTTCTCATCCTCTTCCTCTTTTGTTGATTTCTATCACTTTTTGATGCTAATAATAGAAAACCTGATCCATAGAACGGGCGATGGCCGAATCTCACCGGGCCCACTACGTCTCGCTGCACGTTCGAGTCTCAAACACCGCTGCGCTGCACCTGTACCGTGACACACTCGGCTTCGAGGTCGAGAAGGTCGAATCGAAGTACTACGCCGACGGTGAGGATGCGTACGCCATGCGCATGGATCTTCGGGACCTCTGGGTCAAAGAGGACAAGGAGCCCAGAACCGCTGCGAGCGAAAGTGAATCCGCTGCCAAGACGAAGAAACAGGAAGACGAAGGCGACAACGATGTGCAGGATGAGGGCGATGAGGTGGGAAGCATGGGCAAAAAGGAGGACGGCAAGGAAGGGGAGAAGATGGTCAAAGTGAAAATTGGACGGGCTCTGGGAGTGGGAGACTTGGTGGAGAGAAACGAAGCGGTACGATGAATGTGGTTCTGATTAGGATCGTTCCATAGCCATTAAACTCCGCCGCGTTGTGCTGTTCCCCCCCCCTCACGGCATCATCTACGTATTCTTCCCAGCTTGTGAGATATATTTTATATTCATAGAATCCTTCTGAAGCTAAACACTACTTTGGTGTGGGGGCATCTATAAAAAATATTAGCAGCATGCCGCTGCACCTTATTGCATGGAATCCTACCGAGTACAGTGGATTCGTACGAACTGACAACAGATGAAAATAAGAGAATCATCAGTTCATTAATAGCACCTGCTAAATCATTATAGGCTAATACCATCAGACCTGCCTTACGCCATAACAACCAACCGGAGAGAGCCTTGGACGAAGGGGACACAGCAAAAACGGAATAAAGAGGGCTAGATATATGTATATACACATATATCCCACAGGGCAAAAGTTCTGGTTTCAATTATTTCGCCCCCTGTGGAGGATTGTCTCGCTCACTGTCTTCTCGCTCTTCATCGTCAACAGGAAGCACTCCGGTCTCCTGCTTGCCATCACCAGACCATTGAACCGACGGCGCCTCGGCCTCGCGTGATTTCTTCCAGAATCCCGACGACTTTGGTACCGCATTGCTGCTGGTATATCCCCAGCTCATCGTCTGTTGTGTTTGCTCCTTGCTCCAGCTCTTTCCTTTCCCCTTGCTAGATTTTGTAGAGTTGTCTTCAGGTTTATCCTGCTGATTTTGCATTGGTGGGATGTCTGTCTCCTCGGTCTCAGTTCTCGTCTCCTGGGTTAAACCAGTGGGTATCACTGGGGGCTCAGAGACGAACGGAGAGGAGTACGCCGGAGGCGGTGACATTGGGGGACAGGGCGGCACGGGGACATGCGTCGGGAGAGAAGAGGTCGGCGGAGCGATGTTAGCGGGATTGTGAGTCGTGCCAACTTCCTGACCTTTGACGCCTAAAGCTCGAGATATTAGTAAAAGAATCTTTAACTTGATGCATTTCTCGCACAAAGCGGAAAACAAGCTCACCTTTTCCCCTTTGCTGCTTTCGCTCCGCCTTTCTAGCCTTTCTATGTTCTTTCTTCGAGCTTTTGATCATGCGTCGAAGCTGTTTTTTCTCCTGGCGGAACTCATTTCTCATAGCTTTATACTCTTGCTTTAAATTCCCCATTTCGGCTTTAATAGCTCGTGCTTCCGCAACCTTGTCGTTGAACATCTCACGCGAATTCGCCCCACGACCCGGCCCACATCGGCTCGAAGATCGTAGTTCTCTATGTGCTGCCCTCAGCGCGCCCATCTCATGGCGTAGCGCTGCAACTTTCGCGCGATGTTCCGTGTTCAGATTACGGGCCTGAGTGCGACTTTCGCGTAAGCTATTCATTTCGGACTTAATGCTAGTTTCATTGTCACTGTGTTCCGAATCTGAAGAAGACGAGGACGAGAGCGAATCCGAGAATGATGACGAAGAGGACGACAGAGAGGAAATAGAGCCGCTCCGTGGCCGAGAACTCATAGGACACCCGGAGTTAGACCAATAAGGTCCCATGCCACCGCGACGGCTGCATCCTCCCCTGCCAGCGCCTGCGCCCCATGGACCGGATGGATTCCAACGGTATGACCAGGGCGAGCGCCTGTTGCAAGCTTTTTCGAATTGTTCGGTGGCCCGCTCGAACCTGTTCCCTTGCTGCTCAAAGTAGTTTTCCCATGCCTGTCCCTTGGCTTCCATCATTCGGCCGAATGACTCGGCACTTTCTTCGAATCGCTTTCCATGCGCCTCGGCTTGTTGTTCGATGTGTTCGCCATATCGTTGTGCCTGCTCGGAAAAGTTGTTTGCCCAGTTAACGATCGCGGACGCCCAGGACCCAAAGGGCGACTGGTGTTGCGCGATCTGCGGTCGGTTTCCTTGGTTTGTATCGGCTTCGTTTTCCGTGTGAGGTTGATATGGCCGAACAGGTGTAGGATCAGCGGCATTTTCGCCAACTGGCTTGCGAGGAATGCTATGCTGCGATGCAGGTGGTGCCGTCTGCGATCTGGACAGAGTCGGGTGTGCGCCGCCAGTTCGCAGTGGCATTGATCTGACCGTCGATGGGTAGCAATTGGGGCAAAGCGGAGAGATGGTTGTGGTCCCAGATTCAGAGGGAAACACATATGCCACCCTCATTGCCCGGGGGCCAAAGAAGTGCTCATTCCATTCATCGACAACGGCCGAAATTCGAGCTTTCCGCTCCTCATTAGCTTCCTGGGGCCGATCTTTATGGTCTCTTGCAATCTCCCGACGAAGCTTTCGTGGAAGATCCGGATGATTGGACGCAGGGCCCAAATGTGAAGGGAGTAAGTAATTTAAAAAAGTAGCCCAATCGTGCTTAGAGGCTTCCGCAGCTCGAGATCGCCAGCATCGCGGGAAGCGGGAATAGTCCTTGGCCTGGCTTCGAGTGTAGATGGTTATGGTATGCTCCAGGATCTCCTCGTCTGGGCCATGAGGGACGACTGATGGACGCTCATTGAAATACGAAGCAGCAGAGATGAAATTATCCGCTGGCTGTATAGAATAATTGGGTGATTGTGCGAAAGGTTCACCTTGAACAGACAAATTGCCAGAGGTTGGCGTGAGGGGATCGGAGGGAGTATACGGAGGAGGGGCGTCGTCCGGACTTCCTTTCCGCAGTGTCATATCGCAGAAAATACTGTAGCTAATAGATAGAACTTGTTTAAGGAGAATTAAAAAAAAAAAAAAAAAATGTTACAAAAATAAAAAGATGTTTTGGGTATCAAATGATCGAAAGGCGGATGTTCGAAGGAATATGTATCCAACGATTTTGTGCTGGAATTAACTACATAGCCTGCATCCTGATCAGCCATCCTCGTATCGCCCTGGCCCCAGGCAGCACAATAAGGACGAACGAGGTGCAGGGAGGGTGGCACCCCGGTCGCCCAATCCTCAACCTAATTCTGCTGCCTTGGCTCGCTCTTGTCCCGGGTTTCGAGCATCGGTTAACGGGGTGAAATTTGTACACGACTTTTGTCCTCTCAAACGATGCTTCACGATTTCGAAGAGTTTGAATTACGTAGCAACGGCCTATCGGCGAAAACCATTTACCAAATTCCATAAACGCATTAACTCGACCACTAGCAGACTTGTCGAGCTTTGCTGGATTTTTTCTTTTTTTTAAATTCAACCGGAGTCATTGAATCGCTCTGCTGTACGCAAAAACATGGCGCTGAAACACCTGCTCTGAATGTGTAGGTTATCGAGTCCAAATGGCGGCTCGACCACACAATGCATCCAAGTTTCCATCCAACTCTAAGTCAATCGATTCTCCTTCCAAGGCCAAGGAAGGCTCAAAAATTGAAACTGCTTTCCCCGTCAAATCAAAACCCGCGCGGCGGCCCCGCGAAATCGCTTAATGGGGAGGCCCGTCCTTGATCCCATTTTCTCCAGCAACCAGCCCCAGATGTCATCGCTGACCCCAATCTCTAACGCTATCAAAGACTCTTTCGCGACAATCAACGACAGCGGCCCTCCGACCTGCTCTTCCTGCACCTTCCTGCCGGAGGGCGGCCGAGGGCTCAATATCATCATGAGCTTTAGACGGCGCAATCTTGGCATCCCAGCGATAATATCGCAGAATCTTGCAAATCTGGCAAACCCAAGTTGGGGCACGTCCTCAACAGGCAGCGTGATCTCAAGAGACGGGATACTTGCGAAGTGCGCCGGGGTGATCGTCCTTCGAAAGGCAAGGAAGTCATGTTCCCTTATGTCTAAAGACCGGTTGTGGAATCGAAAGCCGGTAGATGCATACATCACGTCGAGTGACTCGGAGTGTCTGCGTCAAATAAAAACTGCTTAACTTTAGAAGACCACTGGAGGAACAGGCAACCCGAGAACTTAACCATACATTTGGTGGCAGGTGTATGTCAATGCCAGATTCAGTTTACACGACTTTCTACTCTTGCATCTAGTCAAGTCAAACCAGTGATGCCAGCTCGCTTCGTGGCAGCGACAGGTGCCAGGTTTCAAGCTGTACTCGCCGGTGATGCTATCCAGCAGCCAGAATCCAGGATGCCGATGCTGCCGCTGAAACAGACACCCAATGAGTCGTTTAGGCCCGGGGCTGATCACAACCACACTTTGATGCTGCCAGCGGCCGTAAACATACTCATAGACGAGAAGGCGTATTTCAAATGGAAGATCCAAGAACCTGAACGTTTCTTTCTTCTTCTTTATTATAATGAGCCGGGCTCCCTTTCACCTGAAGCAAGGAAGGTTATGATCCGCTTACCTTTGTGAAGAGGTGAAGAACTGTCTTGAGCTTCATGGTGACTGCTTTTCAATGTAGCTTTCAGAGATATGGGGGTTGTGAGTAGTTTTCTAATAAGAATGGACCGGGTTTTTATGGTGAAAGATGTCAAATAAAGGTAAGCTCCACGTACTTAGTACTGATATGGCATTGTAGGCATCCTTGCCGGTTTTGTATTGTCGTGATGTGTAATTGGGCAAGCATCCTTCAAGTTGCCAGCCCGTTCTTTTTATTATCAGTGGAGTTATTTATGAAGCTTTCACGCACATTGTTCAGCCACTAATGTAATGTGAATCCCGGCGTCCACAGCTATGGGTTGTTATGAGGCAGGGATGCTCCCTCTTGATATCCAGGTACAAGAGAAGAAGGTCAGGTTGGTGCTATTTTACTAGTTATTGGGTACAATTAGAGTAGAATGACCTGACTGACACCTTTAAGGCAAAGGAAAGGATATAGCAGTTCTTCAGCATTGAGGCTGAAGAGCTGGGAACCTCAGGTGACAGGCATGTATCTCGATGGTAGATCATTGTCAGCCACTTTGAGGGCATATGAATATGGGGAGAGTATGATAAATAAGGCTTTGATGTCGAGTACTGGCGAAGGGAAAATCATGTATTGTGAGATTGTAAGGTCTGCAGTTGTGTAGGAATCGAGGTTTGTATGAGGATTCAGGCATTAAAATAAAAAGCAACCAAGAGGAAATATACATCTTGAAAATTTAAGAAGGAATTAAACCAGCGCAATAATCACCTTAATATGCATGATAGCAAGTTCCAGCTGTCTAGAAAGATGCGCGGATAAGGATGGGCGGCGGAACCGCCAGCATCCATGGCACCACAGTATCGACTTTGATGGAGAACGTCCTGACCATTTATATACAGACAGAACCTTGACTGACGCTGCACTATCCTCACGGTTCAGTCACTCTCATATGCTGCTGATGACCACTGCTCGCCAGGCTTGAGCAACCCCGTGAAGATAACGCCGCTGCTAAAGAAATAAAGATAAAAAATAGACATAGTCCTGACACCAAAATGGGAGGTTTCAGGTTCCGAAGAGCAATTGGTTTATTTTCCATTCAGAAAATAAGTTACGGACCATTCTGATGGTCAATGTAAAGTCAAAAAAAATGGGTTTTTCGCCTTCTTTCATATTTATTTGGCCCTTGCGAGAGTGATATCTGACTCTTCAAGGCTAAGATCAATAGGAAGCCCAATGATAAGGTGTGAGTTTGGGTACGAGCAGGGCTAAAATCCTTAGAAATCGTATCAGATGCGGTATTTAGCTTTACTTAGCCATTGTATAGTGACTGTGGGATTGTCACTCCCCCCGACAGACTGTGCTGCCAGTGACTGAACGGTATCGACCGGCTGGAGCGCATCACGAAATCAACCTCGGCCGGCTAACCATGCACGGCGTCATGTTTTTCCACCTCCACCACCCCTGTTTATGGCTGGAAGGCTTTTAAACCAGACATAACAACCACATTCTAAACAGATTCTTCACCGGGTCTTTTGACCAATTAGCGTTCTTGCATGTATGCTACAACAGATGAGCCAATCTGAAGTTCAAATCTGCCCCTGTGAGGCCTTTCTCCTGGAAAGATTCCGAGAACAAGCATTACTTTTTTAAGAGCTAGGTTAAATCATACATACGTGATGTCCCGTTGGGGTTTGACTTGATGAAAGTCTTTCCTTTCTTCCTCCTTTGCTTGATATCTAATTGTGTAGCTTTAGATATTGTTTTATGTGTGCTTACTATCTCCCCATGTAGAAGCCACATCAAACGCTTTCTCGACCCTGATTCAGAGCGTTGAGATGCTTATTCTGACACACCTTATGGACAATTGCGGCTTTCACAAGTTAACAACTGAATTTGCCAGACAGTTGCATTCTACCTGATGGTGAGCAGATCCAGAATGCGGACTAGATACACATCAGATAAAGCATGAAAATTTGGAGACTTTATATCTTCCTGGATGCTCTCTTTTCGAGAAACCCATACATCGAACGAACGCTAGTTTCTTATTTGCAAAATTCTCCATCGACAAAATCAAACACCAAGACTTTATCAAGATAACTAGCAACACTCTGACCGTAAGCTTTGTGTGCTGGGTCTTCTTTCGTGAAGTAGTCTCGATCCTCAGCGTTTGCGAGTTCAACGACAAAGGCGTGCGTCATCCCATGCTTTTTTTATACCACAATATATCAGCAAAAGAACCCATGGAACTGTGCGATTCTCTCAGGGTGCAAATCTTGTTTACCTGTAACCCAACGGTCGAGTTATCCACTCCACTGGTCATGGATTTGATGTACGGTTTCTGCGTTGTCGGATGGAGGCAGATGTCCTTCAAGGCCATATTCCGCGTAAGTGCCTTGTTTCAAAGAGTTGTTAGTGCTTTGCCCTGACGACAGAGGAGATGGTTACTCAGCATACATCCTTAATAACTTCCTGGCTGACTTCCGGTTTAAAGCTAACAAGGACAATGTGAAAAAGTGACATTCTGGGCCCTTGTTACAGAACTAAATCTAAGCTGGAAGAACAACCCAAAGGAGGCAATAGAGTGACAGCTTTCTGGAATGTGATGTTGCGAAGCAGAAATTCAAGGTGGGGTAAACAGATATACCTTTCGCAAAAAGAGTTGACAAGAAGGCATTCTACCAGGGTGGATACCCTGCATCCGCAAATAGCACCCTAAGATCATGAATGGGCCAACAATTCCGAATTAGTGTATGCCCCGTAGACACGTTGCAGCTAGCCTGGGCAAGCTAAAGGGCGTTTTCGGGGTTGGAGTCTACAAAATGCGATCTAATTCATCTTGATGCTATCATTGATCGTTCGAAGTACTAGTCGCAGCGTGTTTACTGGTTTATATACTCATCCTCAAACCTCCATTTGCACAAATCACACTCCCTGTACACCAGGCTGCATCTTTCGTACATAGCATCCCCACCACCCCAGCTATCTCGTCCGTAAACGCTGGTCTTCTACCTCCCATCTTCTCCCTAACCGTCTCCAAGTCTTCTTCACTCAGCCTCTCCTCGCCAGTTCCCGTAAAACCTGGCTCGACAATCATATTGCTCCCCGGTGTGTTATCCTGCCACCCTTGCATTCTTTTCCAAAACCCCTCCCCGGCTGCCCAGTACATATCACCCAGCACTGGACCAGGGTTAACCGCGTTGACGGTCGCGCGATCGCCCAATTCTCGCGCCCAAGTTCGCGTCATTGCTTCCAATGCCCCCTTTGTGCCAGCGTAGACGCTCTGGCCGGCAAGTCCCAGGCTAGTACTGATGCTGGATAAGTTAACGATACGTCCAGACCGGTTGCGAGGCAAGTATGGCGCGATGGCCTGGGTTAGGAGCAGAGGTGCGAGCACATTGACATTATACTGCTTATTGAACGTGTCGACGTCGATCGGGCCTCTCTCGGGGTCGTTGAGAAATCTATTCTCTGAGATACCGGCATTGTTTATGAGAATGTCGATCTGGAGGTGACTGCTACCCTGCAGAGCTACGAAGTGTTGCCGAGCTGCGAATAGGATTTTCTCAACTGCTTCTACAGGATTGCCGAGGTCAGCCTGTTGAGCAAAGCACTGGATGCCGCATGTTGCCTTTAACCCCTCGCAGAGATCATGAATGCGTGCTGTAGAGCTGGGAGAAGTATAGACCAAGAGAAGATGGCAGCCCTTCGAGGCTAAATTCTCAGCAATTGCAGCGCCAATACCTGGAGATAGTAGAGCCTAATGGGTCAATAATTTTGTGGGTGTCTTGCTAGGATCCTTATTGGGGTTGTCTACTTGCCCCTTGAGCCCCCCGTCACGATGCCGAATTTCCCCTCCAAGGGTCTATTCAGTGTACCCTGCATTGCAGGAACCTATAAAATGCTCTCAATATGGAATCAACGTAAAGATTCCCAACAGCCCACATCTATTAGTACTGGAGCTTATAACCTCCTGTCCGTCTTCATCGTAACCCCCGCCCCCGCAATATTGTAGGGATCGCCGGATCGGCCCGATGCCGATGACTTCATAAGCTGGATTTTACTATTTTTAGCATCGGATAGAAATCGCTTGCGAGATGCCTAACTTCTTTGCTTTTCTTTTCCTTTCTTTTCTTAATTCTTTGTCTTCTTGGAAGAACGGTCTGTTTGCCCCGATAATGGAGTTTTGGGTCATTAGTTATTGGAAAGATAGAATTAACCATGATTTATTTCCAACAAAGCTAGGTGCATAGTCCTCCAATCCCTCCGGTAACTATTTCATTAGGCATTCATTATGCAAATTCCGACAAGAAGGAAAGCTCACTAAAGAAGCAAAGGCCATACAATAGTAACCGCCATAGAATATATTTTGCTAAAACCGGATGTTGGTAGAATTTGAAAGATACCGCATTCGCCAATTCAGCTTATCCAATACCAACAAGGAGAGCTCGACATTAATCCCAGGCTTCTCCCCAGTTCTCCTCCTCAGCGGTGGGTTCGACTTTTGGCTTTGTCTCAACCACTTTCTTTGGTGGTTGAACTATTCTCTTTGGTTTCGCTGCCGTACTAGCACCAGAAACTATTGGCTTCGATGATGTCGTGGATGATCGTGTTGTTGAGGTCTTTGCTGTTGTGCTGGTCGTGGTGCTAGATTTACTCAGTCCCTTTGGCAGCACTTTCTTCGTCTTGGCTTTCGACTGTGCCGCTAGCCAGCCTGCAAAATCAGGCTCTCCTCCGTCATCAAATGGTACAGCCGGTGTTGCTGATGGAGCTGGGCTTGGAGACTCGCGGGCCTCGAAGAGCGCGTCTGCTTCTTCCTGTTCGTGATCTTTGTCTCGTTCTTCTGCCATGCTTCCCCATGCTTCGAATCCATCATCTTCAATAGTCGTTGTTTCTGGTGGACGCTCAGATTGTGTTCGAGCTATGCGATGTCCGTCACTCGATGACGTTGATGTCGTTTCTAGTCCGCGCGACGGCGATTTCACGGTCGTGCGGGGCATCGAAGATGCCCGGGTAGCGTTACTTGCTTGACTCGCGCCCCCCTGTGATCCGGCTGGCTGGATTTCACCTTTTGCACTGGGTGGTTTGTTTGTAAAAGATGATATGGCCCATCCTGCCCAAGATACTCCATTAGACATCGCGGATTTTGCTGTTCCTGCAGCGGACACATCTGGGCTTGCTTGAGGCGGCAGGGCAGTATCGGCCATCGTAGATGCATACTGACGGATTTGTTGTAGGTAAGTGTCAAAGGTCTTGTTTGCCTGATCGCGAACGAGTCTGCAACGCATTAGCATAGGTGGATACTTGCTACTTCTTCAACTTACTTCTCCTTGTCTATCAACGCTGGGCTGATCGCCGGGATAATTTTGGTAGCGCAATCCTCTTCACTAAAGAGATCTATGGTGGCGGCAAGTGCTAATAGGGCTGCATTTCTAGCATGGACGAATGGGTCTCTGAGCGATCGGGTGAATGCAGCAACGAGTACTTTTGTTCTTGACTGGATTCCGACATTAGCACCTATACCAGAAAGACGAGAGCCGAGTGTTTCTTACGCTTTGCCCTAAATTTCTTGCTATTTTCCCTAGGCATATTGTGGTATTTGTGCGAATACCTGGCTGCTCGTCGTTTGCGGTCTTAGCAAGGTAGCGCAGCAGGTCACCATTGATGGTTCGATCCGACAGTTTACCTATTACTGTGAGAACTGCTTTGACTGTTTGCTCCCGTACGACCGGTGCCATGTCAGTAAAGCCAGTCACCTGTAATCATACCATTGTTAGCGAAACCCAACCCGTGTTCGTGAGCTACCGTACCATGTGAGGGAATATCTTGTCGTTGACTTTTTTCTGTGATAATCGGTCAATCATTAATGGGAGGTTATCAAGCAGACACACTCGAATCGCTCTATCTGGGTTTGCGAACAATCGTACTATGGCCGGAGTGAGCTTCTGGTTATATTCGTCGTCTGTGAGTTTCGTGCCGATTTTCAACACCGTTGTCAGAACTTTCGGGCCGCCACCCCCAAATTCCACTGACTTCAACAGTTCAGGAAGGATTTTCATCTTGAAGAACTCTTCCGGGAAGTCATCGGATAGTTCATCGAGTTCACTGCAAATTATTAGATATTCCTTTGACTGGCAAAAAACGTTACGACAAAGAAGAGACGCACTTGATGAATTCTTCTCTCTCTGCGTCATCTTTCAGGCCCAAGCTATCAATGTCTTGCGTTAATCGAATCAAAGGCGAGTCGAAGAACCCGCCGGCTCGCTGGCCTTGTTCAATGAAATGCGCCAGACTCAATCTTAATTTCGGGTTTGGGTTCACTAGCTTTTTATAACTTTGGTGCATGCTTGGAGGAATATTCGACGTCTGGCCAGCTTGATTATTTTGAAAATTTCCATTAAATGTCTCGAAAATAAGACTCCCAAAGTTGTAAGAATCCACGGCGTGGAGGGGGTTTCGTTTGATAGTTTCCCATCCGCCCTTTACAACTTCAGGAGGCGCATAGCGGTGCGAGTCTGGCAGGAGGCTGCCATATGTCTACGGCAAGAATTAGTAGCCGTCCATCGCTTGATCCATTTTTCGGGGCATGGGAGAATAAACAGACATATATCACGGCATCATCTTCTTTCATAGAGCCTAAAATGTCAAATCCACCTAATTTCCATTCGCCGCTCTCGCTAGTATATATGGAAGAAACTCGGACAGCACCGTGTACGGAGGCGGCGTCTTCGTTAATGAACTTGAGAGTTGACTAGAGACATGGCTGGGAATTAGCTCGGTGACAATGGAGAAGAAATGATAGCATAGTAGTAGACCTACAGCAACGGAATGGAGACCCCATTTTGCTGTCTCTTCTGAAAGACTTCGCCTCTTCACTAGCCATGACAATGGAACAACTCTCTCGGTCACGATGTAGATATGGGTATCTGTCTGTCCGCCTTGTTAACCACCCCCAATCTCGAGACAGGCGCCCTCGTTCATCGCTTCCGCCTCCATCGAGCATTGTGCAAAAACTAACCTCAACAGTGTCCAGCACTCTGAGAACTCCGGGGTGGCGTAACGTTCTTAGTTTCCGGAGCGCGTTCTTTGCAAGCGGGAGGCGCGATCGATCCTGTGAGATCTCGAAGGTGAATATGCTACACGACGAGCCATCTTCCTATACAAAGAAATCATTGTTAGCGAAAGAAGACGACTAAACAAACTTCAAGGCTGCATACTCGTTTGGTGCCGTTGTGCAGGGACCAGATGGACTCTCCATTGTCAACTCGATCCCCGAATGAATAGGGTAATGAACTGCTTTTCGAAATTGCAGAGACAACGGCAGATTTTAAGAAATCCATAGCATAATATCCCCCAATGACAGCTCATACGATTCAAGGCCTGATTCAGACGTCGGAGCCTAGACCTGGCAGCTATGACATATACGGAGTATTTGGGAGTGATTTGGTGTTTTGATGACCACGGTTTCTTGTCCCTCCCTGCTCCAGATCTGCCAACAAAATATCCCTCTAAACCAGTGAATGGACTCACTTTTGCAAGTTTCCACACGCCAGGGAGCAGACCTCCTCGGACACTAAGCCGCCACTACTATCTGCCCATAAACACATTCAACAATCTTTTTAAATTCGATTTATCAACTGATAAATCACCGGGGAGTGGCGGAAATTCGTAGTTCCGGGAAGTCCTGGAGAATAGTTGATCCATCCGAGACAATCTTATCTTATCAGAAAACGAGCCAACTAACTAGTTAGTTAACCATATTAGGCCTAGTTTCGGCGCAGGTTGCTACTCGCTTCTCTTCTCGTTTTCACCTCTCCCGTACCCGTTCTTCGCTTGCTTTCTCTCATCCTCATCCGCTGCTTTCTCGCAACGGCTTCTTCTCCTTAAGATATCAGATCAACAGCACGGTGGGCTGCCTATGCACCAATAGAAGCTTCCTGCTTCCTCGTATCACATTGTACCCTCCATGAATTGCCCGCCGGAAGTGCAAGTCGACGAGGTATAATATGGGACCCCCTCCCGTTTCTTTTTCCTTCTTGAGAATGAGCCTCCGGGGGATTCAGAGAGATTCGATATCATGCGCAGCAATATGACGCTGCCTTTTTGTGGGCTGGCAGGTAAAAATGCGTCCTCTTTTCGCAAACGAATACCTAGAATAAGTCTCTCAGTCAAATATCTTACTTGCTATGAGCATCACGGATGTGGCCCGCTCTACCGTCTGGATACCATTTGATTTCAATGTCCATTATTCCTTGTTGCGTTTTGCTTTCTTACCTGTGTTCTTTTCCCTATCCCCTTTCACTTTCTATGGCCTCCTCCTTCATAGATTGAATTCAGATCCACTTCCACACCACATTTCTCCGATGATGATCAAATCTGGTAAAAGGTCAGACAATAACACGGAGGCGATAACGTTGCCAGATATTTACTCGCAGAGAGTGTTTGCATTTCAAGGTTCATCCAACACCTGTAAGTCAGCAGCAAAACGGAATCCCGGCGTATCTCTCTCCCCTTTTGTCCCACCCGAGCGAAAGGCATGTTCCACATCCTGGGCAAGATGCACTAGCAGGCAAGATGGGTCTGTTTTGCAAGCACTCCATAGCAATTGACCGCCATGGAATTTGCTAGTGCAGAGTGAAACCCCTTTACTGGGCCACTTATCACGGAGCTTTTGATCCACTTTGCTCTATGAGGACACAAGAGCTAAAGGCAGTGGCCGACATGACGGATGTTTTATCACCCAGGAAGTGAACTGCTTTCGTGGGAAAAAGGGCGGGGTTGATGGTGAGAGCGGAATCCTTTTGCTTTTTGATCGACCTGAGTGATGTATGTGAACCCTTTGAGAAGCTACCTTCTGTGTGATCCGGCACCTTTGACCCTCCGTCGAATGACGACCAATTTTTATAAACTGAAAAGACCTGAGGAGAATTCCATTTCTTCGAACATTTCTTGAAGCCATTTCGTCCTTTCCTTGTTATTCTGTCTCTCCTTTTGCTTCCTAATTGCCAGCGTACACCAATATCTATGACGACTTTTTGATCGCCAAGAGTCCGCAGAATTATTAGTATTTGCTATCTGAACTTCGTTTTGGTTTGACCATCTTTGCTTTCCCCTCCATTTGCGTTTGATACCCGCAAAAGCCGTCTACGGATTCGGGATATGTCTAGTTGTATACGTACATACTGAGCACCAAATGTATGGTTGCGAGAAGAGACTTATGTTGCGTACGGAGCTTATATTACTACTGTTGAGGTGTAATATCTGATTCCTACAAATTCTATAATGCAAATACAAAGTCCCCGGCGATTCATTAGCCATCAGGGCCAGAACGCAATAGTCACCCATGATAACCAGCTCGTATTAACTTAACTATCATTGCCACACTTCACAACTAGCAACAGAGTGCACCCACTGCTCTTTCTCTCCTTGCGCAAGAACCAAACTTAGAAAAGGGGGGAGAGTGGCTAAATCAACACATTTCCATCATCCGATGGGCATCATTCCACAAGTCCAATGCCACAATCAGACCTTCAACTCTTTAGGAGAGTGCCACATCACTAACAACTAAGACTGAAACCATACGAATCGGTTACAAATTGTGCCTTCTACCAGCAAAGATCCTCAAATTAGGTGTCACCCCTGCTTGCAAACTATGATCCATCTTCATCCAATCTCAAAGCTTCCTATGTGTGCTCATCAGCAAGGTAAAATTTTCCCACAGGTTTGTAGGAGCATGTCATTCGAATTCCGGAATTGATATTGCTTCTGTCAATAGCGAGTATCATCGGCGCGAGGAACGGGTGCATATCGTGATACAATGTGCACCAGTATAATTGGAGCTTACTGCCCTGGATAACTAATCACGTAGTAGTTTCGGAAATGTGCCGAGTTAAAATACCGAGGAAAGGGGCATCGGCGATATTTGACACGTCTTTGCTGCATGCCTGTTTTTCACACGTCTTCTCCGAAAACCCATCAGCATTGATGACAGTATCAGAAGGCAGTAATGCGACTCACTCCAAGTTTGTGAAAAAGATTTGCGCGCTTGGGTTCTGCTCGTAGTCGTCGCCCTAGACGTTGCCCATATCGTGAGAATGTAAAGAAAGTCATACATATGCTAAAAAGAGATAGTAGAAACCGAAACGAAATCCAGTCAGAGTCGTCCAGGTTCGTCATGCGGCGCGTGCAGCCAAATGGGGAAACGAGTATCAGTGCAAGCATCAATAGACAAGGCACCATCGCGCAAATGCGGCGCGTTTAATTTTGGAGTTCATTTCACCTCTTCGGCACCTTCGTTAGGATGAGGACCTGAAGCGGGCCCCTGAGGAGGTCCTTGGGATTGCATGTGCGGTGGAGGCATATGCGGCATTTGGTTGAAGTTATTGCTGGGTGTTCGATATTGGTGGTGGGGATAATGATGCGCTTGGCTTGGGCTCGACGCAAAATGTGGATGCTGTTGGGGGTGACCAGGACGAGCGCCAGGCACTATCGGGTGTAAGTAATGAAAACCGACAGAGATTATTTGGGGAGCTTACTATGACTAGGCTGCTGGGGTGGATAGAAAGGTTGTCCGTGTTGTCCAGGATTCATGACCATAACAGGCTGCGGAGGTTGACCTTGTTGCGAACCTTGATGGACCATCATGGGCGCACCCCGGCTGGGGCTCGGATAACCGCTGTGGGGCTGCGGAGGTGGTTGTACATGTGGATAAGCGTGGCCAGGGCTCGGGGAATACATCTGCATCTGAGGATTATATGGAGGCCCCATGCCCTGAGGCATTCCCATATACGGACCGCTAGAAGGTTGATGAACCATCATCGGGGCTCCCATACCGTTTTGTGGATTAACAAATTGTGGCGCGCCAGGGTAGTGTCGCATATGAGGAGGCTGTGGACCTTGACCAACATAAAACTGAGGTACCCCTTGCCCCATTGCCAGCTGAGCATGAGGCCCCATTGGTGACTGGTACGGCATATGAGCGTGTTGGAGCCGTGGGGATGGATAAGCATGAGAAGCGGAAGCCGATACTTGCATGCGGTGATGATCTTCAAAATGAGGCTGTGCGGCAGGATGGTGCTGCGGAGGGAGAAGGTGATGTGGACCATGGGGAGGACCATTGCTAGGTGGCACATTATGATTGCCATGTTGAAGGTGGAAAGGTAGTGGGGCTTGATGAGGCATTGGAGGGTTTGATGCTGATCGTGTCTGAGGTGAGATCGCAGGTCCTCCGCCGGGTGGTTTGAACATATCGGCATACGTTTTCTCTTGATTGATAGAAGCAACTTCCCATGTTGGTGGTGTCTTGTACGCTGGAGGAATACCACCATTGAAAGCAAAGTCCTTGAGGCTCTGTTCCGTGGCCTCTTTCTTCATTCTTTTGATAGGATTAAAATGATCATTCAAGCTTGGTCTTTCCGTAGCTGGAAGTAGCACCTTGGCGCCGAAGAAAGCCGATGGGCTTGCTGCTCGCGAAATTGACCGGGTTCGGACATTTGAGACTGGGCTTGAGGATACAGCAGATGTACTGGCAGGATTGAAAGTGTGTGCTGCAGGGTTTGGTCTGAATTCCATAGCTCGGGCATTGAACTTGGTGGACACCGCGGAGGTGGGAGTTTGGGTGGGCTTGTGAGCATTAGCATGATCGCCGGCCATTGGGCCACTTGGCGGGACACGAGTATCTTGAAGTGGAAGAGGAGCGGGCAAGGAGCCCATGGCAGCACCTTTGCGTTGCTGCTGAATGTCAGCTAGACGATGGCTTAGCAATCCAGATCCAGCACGTCCGGGGTGAGCAGGTAGATGGGAGACAGGACGCCCACTTTGTGGTCCTAATGGTGGATAACCCTGACGGCCTCGGGGATACATCTGTCGTTCAGGCGGCGGCATCGAGGGCGCAGTGGCTGTATCATAGCGAGCGGGCCCAGTCGATCCAGTTTGGCGGGGCGCAGTTTGTTTCTGTTCCGCCGTAGCGGTAGATGAAGCGGTTGACGCGGCGGCGGCAACAGCGGCAGCGGCAGCAGCTTTCGCGGCGGCCTCACTAGCCAGTTTCTCTTCGTGTTGCTTCTTAGCCCTCTGGATAATTTCCTCCTGTTTGTTAGGATCTTTAGCTAGTATAGGCACTAAGTCTTTTGGAACCGGTGTTCCCAATTTGAAGTTCTTGCTGAACTTGACTAGTTCGTTGAGTTTGATAGTTCTGTCATATTGGGCTTGGTTACGACGACGTTCTTGGAGTTTCAATTTCTCGTTGTTAGCAAATTGACGGAAGTGGTCGAGAACCTCAGTCTCGACATTCGTTGCTGCATTTTCCACACCGGTGCGCTTTGGGGGAATATTTAAACTCGGGATGGGTTTAACAGCTGTAAGCTTACCCTCAGTGTCATTGAGTTCAATGGTCGACGCTGGCTTCGGCAAATCCGCTGGTTTAGTAGCATCTGCAGCTTTGGCTCCGGTGGCCTTCCCGCTTTCCGCCTGCTTATCCTGTTGCTTCGCTTCTGTTTCCCTGGGGCCAGGCTTGGGTTGTGCCGTCTTTGGCTGTGCAACTTGAGCCGAAATAATGGCAGGATCCACTGGAGCACCGGGCACAGTAGGATGTCC